CATCAGGCGCTAGAAAAAGAACCAGCGCGCAACTTTAGACGCGCCAATTATTTGGAAGTTATCACTTTTCCCCGTTCCAGTAGCGACCCTTTTTTCATGTGTCGAAAAAAATGCACTTGGAAAAGCGAGAAAAGCGGATCACAGAAATATCTGCTCAGAATACGCGCCGCAAAAATAATAAGCACAATGCTTCAGAGTGTCGCAGATGGCCACTCACGGCGCGCTAGAAAAATAAAGCAAAGGCAAGTTAGATGACAAGTTTGGGCAGATTTCAAGGGCCTTAGGTTTTAAGAAATCTTCTTTGTACTTGAAAAATGGGTGAGTCCAAAGGTTCTAATTTGGAGCAATCCAGCGCCTGTTTTGACGGTAGTAGGGGGTTATCATTCGAGCTGCCCCTAATCCTAAACCTAACTCAGGGGGCTACGCCCCCCGGGACCTCCCTCCTAACGCCTAAACCAGGGGGCTTCGCCCCCCGGACCCCCCTTAAGAGTTCCAAGTCCCTAACCCTAGCCACTAGCCCAGATTCTAGAGATATTGGATGGCTCGAATCATAGGCTCGAATGATAACCCCTCTCCACGGTTTCGACGCTAGAAATCTTCAATCTTGGGCACAAATACTCGAAGTCCATCGACAATCTTACACCCCTCATTCGAGGCCCAGAGGAAATGCATACCGTATCGTGTCTGATTATGATAATTTTCATACGAAAAGACCTTTTAAGTAGCCACAACGCGTAACTTCTTGATGCGTTATCATGGGAATTTTTAACTAGAATTTGAGTGCAGCTCTTTTTAAAAAAAAGGTGCGACGCGTACGGTAACAACTCAAACTTCAAAAAAAGGTTGCCTAATCGTCAAAAAGTAAGAACCGCTCCTTGGCTGGAAATAAATATCCAGGGAGTCGAAATATCCTGGCTGCTTTGATCCAGCGACATATTTGATAAATATTCCTGAGGATCCTTAATCCAACTTGCTCCCCCTAAACTCGTAATGTTTTTTCTACATAACATAAACAGGATCGCGTGAAGGTCTACTATTTTGAATTCCGGATCAAATAAAGTAAAGCATGTTCAAATTACTTTCATTATTCGGAATAAATCGTTTTGCAAATGCTTACTATTAAAAAAGCTAAGCATAAATGAACAATTTTCAACAAATAGAACGACTTTATGGGGATGATGTCTGATACCGATAAAAAAAATTTTGACAAATTTTGCGTGGGCGGATACTCGGCTGCTGATTAGCCAGTTCGCTGAATCCAGGCTTCTGACTGTTTGAAAATCTCCACGCAAAGTTTGTCGAAATTTTTTCGTTGGTTCCAGACACCTCCCTGTTTTATGAGAACCTTCTTCTTGCATGAAGTTTCATTTTCAAGGTAGGTTGAGTGTTTAATAAGTAGGCTAAAAAATTTTCTTTCTTCTGAGGATCGTTAAAGGCGAAAAATTTGCGTAAAAAGTGTCTTAACTTCGTCAATTGTAATATTTTTGCTGAAAAATTCTTTTTTCTTATTTTATTTCGATTTCTAGATTAAGAAAAGATTCAAAGTCTCTTGAGTTGAAGGGTGAAAGCAGTCGGCATCAGATACCAAGTGTTGATTTCCATATTGTCGATCGATGGATGCTCGTTGACAAGACTCATTTCTATCCCGTTTTCTTTGTAATAAGCAGTTCTTGTCTGATCATCGAAAGAACCAAAGACAAGATCGAAATACTCGTAATAAGGGTTTTTCAGGGGAATTCGCACAACTTGGAGAGAAAAAATTTTAATGACATATCCCATAGGATGAAAGCAGAGTATACCTGGAGAGTGGTCTTTAAAGTCATTGTTTTGGAGAATGTACTTGTCGTTTTCAACTCGGTCAAGAGTCATTTGATGGAAAATGATTTCGCCAGAAGGAAATAAATAAGCACCGGTAACAGTTGCAGGTCTAGTGAAGGTGAATTTTTCGTGGAGAAAAACTGAACTGGGTAAAATTTGATAAAAGGAAGCTTTTACCTTCTTTGTACTCGCAAATTGATTTAGCGGGTCTTTCTTCTTTATTTTCCTCTGGTAAAATTTTTCTTATAATTTCCCAGCCACTTTTCATTAAATAAGTTTCCTGGCAAATTCGCTGAAGAAGAATCTCGATTTCATTTTGTTGAAACTCTTTTTCTTTTTCGTTTGGATTTATATTTAGTCCGGCCATGCTTCGAGGGAAAATAATCATCGTCAACGTTGCTAGAATTGCTTCAAATGTATAAACACCATATTTATCGTCGAAACGAAGATCATTTTTCATGGTTTGCCGGAGAAGCGTTGTGACAGAAATCGGCACGCAAAGCTGAGTACTTTTTTGGTCGAATACATTTTTAGTCAGATTTTGCATTTCTTGCTGGACACATTTTGTGACGTTGTGTTTGAGACTTGACATTTTACAGGATTTCGTCAAATTTGGATTGTCAAGGCAGAAAAGAGATGACGCGCCATTTAGGGAGACAACTTTAGTCACTTCGGTAAAAAAGTTCCGAGTCTGTTTACTGTTATTGTTTTTTAAATTTCAAATGGAGGCTGCGCCACTATTCTAAAATAAAATTTTAAACGGAACATAAAATATTCTTACTTTCATTAATTTATCTATCTCTTTTCGTTTTTTTTCATCAATCGGCTGGTAAAGAAGAGTCCACGACGTTTTCCAATCGCAAAATAGAAAGTAATAGATATTTGAAGCAAAATAACCATCTCCTTCCGCAATCTGACCATGATTCGAGAATCCTGGCGTTCCAGCAGCTTCATTATTTGTGAAAAAAAATCAAATCTGCCAAAGACTTACCAAGAGCTGGGCCATGTTTGTATTTAGATCCTTTTCTGGCGTACCCCATTTTGTGGAAGCCTTCTCCCAGTAGTGGCGTTCGTATCATGAGGAGCCCAAAGTCTATAAACTTCGGTATACCACCAACAAGAACAATGTTTTCTAATTTCTGATCTAAATGCTCAAGAGCACAATGATTCAACAAATAATTATCTCCATCCGAAATTTCGTTCGCAATGTTTCTTCTTTCTTCAAGGTCGAGTCTCCCCCTCCTGAGCAAACTCCTCAAATTTTCCTCTCCTTTTTCCATGATGGTAATCCATCCCAAACAGTCTTGTTTTTCTTCATCTTTTTCGTGAAACAATTCAATATTCACGTAATTTCGGATAATATTCTTGTGAAATGGCAAATAATCATTATCACTCCAAAGTGTTAAGATATTTGCAGGCTTAAAATCTTTTAAAATTATTTATAGAAGATATATTTATAAACCTACCTTTTGAAAGATTTATCTCGTAGAAAATTTCTTCAATTCCGAATCTTTCCGTAAATAGAAAAGGATCAAAAACCTGCACTCTTACAGCTGTCTTAAGACCACCGAAATCCTCAGCAAGGATAATTGCTTCTCCTCCTTTCGAAATCAACTTTTTCTTCAGATCATGAGCCAATTGCCAATGATCAGCGTCTTCTTTTATTTCCCATCTTCCAATTGTTTTTCCAAAAAGGGTCTCGTCATTTTCAAGAATTGTTCTTTGAAATGTGGTCAGCTTGAATTTCGACAGTTTTCCGTTATATTTGTTAAAAACAGTTGTAAAACCTTCTTTTTCAAATTTAACAAATTGCCACAAAAAAGCATTCCCATCAGTTTTAAAGATCTTTCTCTCTACCGATTCCAAAAGTCTGCATTTTTGAGTTCGCGATGTCGTTCTTTTCAATTTCGGAAGGAATGTCTTCAGCCAAATGTCAACTTTCTTTTTTTCTAGTTCAACAGGATGTTCAAGTATTTTTTGATGAGAAGAAAACGGGATTTCATCAAGCTTGATTCTTTTAGCCATTTTTGTTTGCTATTTTGTTCTCTTTAAAGATAGATTTTGATGAAAATGTAAAATTTGCTTTTTCTAAGCATCAAAGACTCTTCACATTTCTTTATTTTTTTGAGAAGGAAATTAAGACTGATCTGAGTCTGCAAAGCAAATAAATCGAAAAGCAAATGCGCTTTCATAAGATACATAAAAGGGGAATCTGGGTGAAGGGACAAATTCTTGTAGATAAATTTTGTTTCTTGTTGAAATATATTTCCTATCTTTCAGCATGCACTTTAGAATTGGTTTACAAATTTCTTACCAACTTCTTTCAAAATTAAGATAAAACAAATTAATTTCACATATGCCCGAGTTGCGAAAACGTGAACCGATCCTCCGTCAAGAAAACGGGGAAACGTAAAACTGAGTCCATCGATTAGCCGTCCGGCTTAATTACAAATGAAGGATCGTTACTGACCGAGGAACACGCGAAAAGCCCTCTAAGAAAGTTGACCAGGTTGGATTTATTTTTCTCGAAGGTAGTTCTTTTAAAATGCAGTGTTTGAAAGTTTCACAAACAAAAAAATGCTAAAATGGCGAAACAAGATATTCACGTCGTTTTTGAAACGAGGCACATGTTCGGAAAAGAAGAGTAATTGACAGTTCAAATGCTTATTACTGTAAGCTGCTCAGTTAATGAGTATATTCTGAACAAGAGTACGACGTTTGTGCAAGAGAGACCACGTTTTCTTCGTGCCAAACTTGAGATAGGTCATTTTTTTTCAATTTTTATGAATTTAAAATTTCTCAAAAACTTTTTAAAAAAATCAACAAAAATTTTTTTTAAATAATCTAATTTTTTTATTGAGCAGATTTCTTTTATAAATCATCTCCCTGAAAAAATTTACTCAAAGAGACTTGTAATACTTCTTAAGAAAATAAAGTATTTATGGACTTGCGACGCAACCTCAGAAATTGGCTCGGCAGGGTCTTAATTTCGATGGAATGTGGTCAATTAACATAACGTTGGGAGTAAGGCTCAAATTGGGAAGTAGATTCATGTTGCAAGGTGCCGCTGACATGAACCATTCACAGGTGAAACATTGCTTCCCAGACTAGTTTGATGTAATTCCACGGGTTAGGGATCATTCCGCGCATGTCTGACTTCTTGGTCCTACTTATAAGGAGCTTTATTGAATAGCGTTATATTTACAGTTGTAGCGAATCTCCGTATACTTCGAAATTCCCGGACAAAAAGCCGGAAAAGCAGGAGCAAATGAACATTCAGATTTCATCTCGCAATCTTCGCGGAGGAGTTTCGTAACGTCCTAAAATTGGAAAAATAAGAAAGCGGTAAGCAAGATATGGAATTTCGCGGTTTTCAAGTGAGATAATAAAAGTGGTTTGGGATAATTGGGGTTGAGGTTGTTAGATCTTATTTCTCCGCGCTAGAGTTAGTAAAACAAGCGTTGATTTAAAAGAAGCTTCTTTAGAAAAAGATACTCAGAATTTGTAAAGGCGTAGTTTTTCGATTGCCTTTGTTCAAATAAATCGTTGTTCTTACCAAAAAGCCCGTAGGACTGTAACTATCGCATGGAAGAAACCAAGCATCGTTTGCCTCACTTTTGCCTCTTGCGCAGGTGAGGCTATTATTACGGCCGTAATTGGCGAGCTCGATGTGAATCAGTTTTCCATCAGGACACTTGAGCCCGGCTTGGAAGGACGGGGCTGTTTGTTCATTTGCACCTCCAGCGCGGGCGAAATCGGCGCACATGGTCACGTGATAACCGAGCAAGGGTTCTATTGTTTGCGTTTGCCAGCGGTCCAATTTTGACGGGTAAATGTCATTGATTCAATTTGGGACGAAGAATAGAATAGACTATTCTGAATAGTACAAACGAGTTCCTGTGTTTTCTTGAGGATTGATGGGGGAAAGGGATGAACGCGCGCTGGGAATCAAACTATTTTTGGAGACTTTGAAATGGGTCTCAATTTTGATTTTTGAAATTTTGAAATTATTTTAGAGATTAGCGATTATACTTCTAATGCCCACTTTACTTTCAATTGAATTTGATCATCTAAAAAGAATTGCGCTTTTTTCACTTATTGCATCTTCAAAAGTCCCATCAACGCGGAAGTAAAACTGAGCTCGATTTGATATAATTAAAGTATTCAATTTCGACCCCTTTCTTTCGCCGTTTTCTGAGTTTTCTGAGTTTTCTGAGAACTTTTGATATCATTCAATTTCTTCTTGCGGAAGTCCTTTATTGCTACTTTGTAGTAGTTGCGCGAGCGTGTTGTTGTCGCGACTGGTTTGCTCGTAATCGCAGCTGCTGTTGTTGGCTTCGCGGTTGTTGTCACAGGGGCGAAGGAACTTATAGATACGCGAATTGGGCGCGACTTTGTGACTTTGTCTGAAACAAACAGTTTGAACTTCTTCAATCATCAATAAATTTAATGCTCATCAACTCATTGAAAGTATAATCCCTGCTCAATGATCAGTGATCATTATCTCGAATTTCATCGTCTCAGCACGAACCAATCAATTTCCATATTGATTTGAAATGCGCCTCCTGCGGAAATTTCAAATTGTGATTTTATTTTAAAATCGGAAAATTATCTTGCAGTTCCAAATATCTTTCAAAATATTTTTACTGACAAAATGAGAAATCCGAAAAAATACTACCTGCTTCAATAGGATTACCGCTTTTATGAATGAAAAATTGTTTAAAAAATGTCTAAAGATAAGGATTTAACAAAATGAAGACTGCACAAGAAAAATATGTTGTAAATGTACGTGTTAGTAAAAATTTTTGCGATGAAAAATGCTGTTCATAAATTAAGATTAAATAAATCTATCCTTTCGTAAATCAAGTGTATTTAATTTCAAAATTAAAAATTTCTTGCATGATACAGATCATTATGCATTTTCTTGTCACCTGAAATGTGTTCTACCGCAGGAAATCGCTCTTCTTCAACTTTTGCAGTTTCTTCCGTCGGGCATAATCTGGCGTCCGTTTGGGGAGTCTGGGCGTTCGTGAATTTGGTCAATCCAAAGATCTCTCGATAAGTCCCCTTCAGGATCAAAATCGTCAACCCTGAAGTAGTACTCTAAAGACGCAGGGTGAACCCCCGTTATTACCGTCCAGGCAGAGCTGCTCGTCTCCGGTCGAGAGCATTTGAAAAACTGCACCGGCGACCTAAAGGATTAATGAAAGACTTACGAACTCGGACAGAAATAAAAACGGGCTCGAGCTTTTAGATTAGCGCGAAGCTTGACCTCACTGACGATTACAATAATTGACCTGACGTGTAACAGAATTGCTGATCCAGTGATTCACAGATTTACAGGAGGTTGAAAGAAGCTCAATTATTGAACTTGAATCTACCCTTTATTTAAACCCTTTTATAGACCAAGGACCAAAAAATGGCAAAAAACAAGAAAAAAGTGCATTTCTGAAAGACCAATAAGCTTACTGTATATGGCCTACCGGCCAATCAAAAACTAGATCCATAAAATCACTTCCTTTTCTCGGGTTTTCCCCATAAAATGAGCATCTTAGAGTAAGGATGTTAAAAATTGCCTTACCCCTTCTTTTTCATTCCTCAAAATGCTGTTGACATAACTCTCAAGCCCCAGTCTATCGTCTCTTGCTGACTGTTCGCCACAGAATGCCTCTTTGTGAAATTCCAGCAGCTCCAGCTGGTCGCTTCTATCGGGCTTAGTGCTCAACACGCCGCCCTCGGAATGTGTCGAAATGAGCAAAATTATAATAAAAATATTGTTGCGAAATTCTTTAACAACTCTCATCTCCCTTTTCTCTTGCTACAACTTTTACTCGAGCAACAAGGCGAACAACTTTAGGGCCTGGCTTGGCCATTTCACACCCAAATAGTTCCGGTGAGCTCTTTTATGGCCTTTGATATCGGGAGTACGAGGGAAATATGAAACTAGAAAGAGGGTTCAATTTTGAGGTTTTAAAGGTGCCTTTGTCTTTTGATCATTCTGTGATCTTCCGCCAAAAGGGATGTTTTTCCCAGCACCACACTTTTGCCGTCAACAAGCAATCTTAGTCAGGGTCCTGAAAAGGGTTTAAAAAAACCGATGGTCTTTTTAAAGCCGCTTCGCGGCTTTTATCTTGAAAACGCCGCTACGCGGCTTTCTATATAACCATTTTCTAGGCCCTGACTAAAGTTTCTAATCAGTTTGCCGAGCCCAAAAGAGACTTTATAATAAATTGTCGCCAAAATTTGGTAAGGCTTGTTTTTTTAATTTTACAGTTAAAAATCTTGTTTCGCAACTAAATAATGCAGATTCCCTTAAAAATTCTGTTTATGTTTTGATTTTGGAGGCGTTTGGAAAGCCCTTGAGAATCGCCCTTCGCTAAATGCGTCTTCTAACTAACGCTTACACTTGGCAGGTCCCGGAAGACGATCAGCCATCGCGCAATGAGTAGTTGATCACCTCATTAGCTCCCTGGCTGCCCTAGAATTACTGATTCTGATTATGTAAATAAATCATTATCATGTGAGCGTTCATCTCGACACGACTCAAACTCCGGCATAAGCAATAATTTCGCCGTCCGAGCTTTTACAGTAATTAGTAAAAGAAGCTAATTTTAGGCCACAGCTATTTGACATGGATGTAAGCTTAGGTAAGAACTTGTCATTTTTGACAAAGTACAGCGGGCCCAGAGGTGGGAATATTTGATGAGAAGGCAATTTTGAAAAAGCACACCTCAAATGACGACTTTTAATTTGTCTGTTCATAAAGAACTTATTGAAAATTGAAACGATAAGTCATCTCATTACAGGAAACTTATTGAAAGTTCATATCGCGAACTGGGTCGATTTTCATGAAAGATTTTTCTTCCGAAGTTCCCATGATATGATTATTATTAAATCGTCTCAAAAGGGAAGTAAGAAATGTTATATAACACCTGTGATACCAAAATCTTAATTGAATGAAAGGATAAGGTAATAAAAGAAGCAACTTTGCTTCACTTGAAAGAAGGCGAAAAATTCTTTCGAAAATTCAATTCGGTAGGCGAGAATTATGGATTGAATAAAATTTTACCTTATAATTAATTAATTAACACACCTTCTGTGAATTCAAAAATGATATCTCACCAAGGTTTAACCATTTAGTGGCTGCTATCATTTTTTGACCACTCAACTTTCACGTTCCTGATAAGCTTTTTAATTTAACCAAAGTGCAACGCTATTATATTTTTATCTGCCGCCAGTGAGGTTCTAGCAATAAAGAAATTTCAAGAAATAGTTTAAAATAAAATAATTTTTATTCAGGAAGTTGGGAATTTCGAGAAAGAGAATTGAGATCCGCAAGCCAGGACGAAAAGGCATGAATGAGCTGCAGCGAATTACCATCGCGCAAATGCCCCTTGACTGCTTCGGAAATCTTCTTGTGGGAAAAGCCTCGAACTATTCGGAAGTAGCTCCAGAACCAGATCCAGGTCTGACAAAACGTATCCTGCGGAGACTGGAAATTTACTTTGACGGATTGAAAAATTGGGGCCTTCTGAAATTCTTGCTAAAGTTGATTATCTAAGCCAGGGTTTGAAATCTGACGAGCTCACGAGCACGTGAGCACGTGAGTGAGCTCGATGAGCATGCTCACGCGTGCTCATGCTCACAGAATTCTGCGCCCTTCGTGCTCACGCGTGCTCATGCTCACCAATTATAGAGCACAGTCGTGCTCACGCGAGCTCATGCTCATGGATCTCTGAAAGGACAAATTCTGTGCTCATGAGCAAGTGAGCACGTGCTCAAAGCTCACATTTTGACGTGCTTACAGTCGTTAACGACTCAAATTTGCAAGTTTTATAAGCGGTAACAAGTCAAATTTGAAGTTCCGCTAGTGGGATTTTTGGACCGTCTCAGCCCCGTTCCTTGATTTCTTAATTTAAGGGGCTTGACGGCCCTTCGGGCCGTCTCAGCCCCGTTCCTTGATTTCTTAATTTAAGGGCTTGACGGCCCTTCGGGCCGTCTCAGCCCCGTTCCTTGATTTCTTAATTTAAGGGGCTTGACGGCCCTTCGGGCCGGCTCAGCCCCCTTCCTTGATTTCTTAATTTAAGGGGCTTGACGGCCCTTCGGGCCGTCTCAGCCCCGTTCCTTGATTTCTTAATTTAAGGGGCTTGACGGCCCTTCGGGCCGTCTCAGCCCCGTTCCTTGATTTCTTAATTTAAGGGGCTTGACGGCCCTTCGGGCCGTCTCAGCCCCGTTCCTTGATTTCTTAATTTAAGGGGCTTGACGGCCCTTCGGGCCGTCTCAGCCCCGTTCCTTGATTTCTTAATTTAAGGGGCTTGACGGCCCTTCGGGCCGTCTCAGCCCCGTTCCTTGATTTCTAATTTAAGGGGCTTGATATTGGCTAGGAACTCCGAGGTGATCAATCTCAGTAATGTCCCCAACCCCACCCTCACCCATTATTGTTAAAACTCAAACTATCCGAGATTTTGTTTTTATTATGGTTTTTATTAAAATTTTTGAAAATACTCTAGGTACAATAGCAGCTTATGAGCACGAATGAGCATGCTCACGTGTGCTCATGCTCACGAAAATATGAGGATCCCGTGCTCACGCGTGCTCATGCTCACTGAAATTTGAGCAGCCCCGTGCTCACGCGTGCTCATGCTCACTGAAATTTGAGCAGCCCCGTGCTCACGCGTGCTCATGCTCACTGAGTTTTGAGCACCCACGTGCTCACGCGTGCTCGTGCTCACGCAAAATTTTCAGATTTCAAACCCTGATCTAAGCTGCCTGCCTCCGATTTATCTGGTGATCAATCATATTTAAGACCATAGATTGAAGGCCCTAGAATTCCCGCGATTTTGCAATCCACCCTATTGGCGAAACACTTTTGACATCGACTTCTTCTGAACTTTTCCAGATGGGCAATCTTTCCAGGCTTCTCTTGAACTTTGAATTGAGCCTTGTTCCTTCTGGATCAAAATATTCCATGATCAACTTTTTGCCAGATTTTCTCAGAAAAGCGCAAGTAATATGCCCCGGCGTTGAAATAAGGACAATTTGTTTTTCCTCCGGTCGCCGCTTGTATAGAGTGGTTTCTTTTAGGGTTCCGCTATCTTACGCTGTCTGTGTATTTTCTTAGTCAAACAGCTACAGTAAGACTCAAGCGTTTTAGAAGATCCCATTTCTTTCGCAAAAGTAACATTGAAATTGTCATCGAAGTTCAAGTCGGCGTCTGGAAAGTCTTCTAAATCTTCTCCTTCGTACCGTGGAAGGCGCAAAATTGAGCAGCGAACCTTTTTCGCGCGTATCATTTTGGCCATGACCCGGTTCATGTCGAATTGGAACTGTCGCCATTTCCTGTAGAAAGATAGGGATTTGCCAGAATGTGCGCGGAGCTTCGCCAGACGAGGGATGAAAGGACGGCTTTGAAGGGTGGTTGATAGAAGGGAGAATATGAAACTCAAGCAACTATCGATCTACTAGTCATACTGACAGTCTCTTCTACAAGTTGAGCATATAAAAGAGACGTCTTTTTTGGTTAGAAAATTAGAATAAAGAAATAACCACTTTCCTAATTGGAGTTTTCGCTTCTCCAAGATGCGAACTTCCGTCTAGTTCAAAGGCTTTAAAAATAGTTTTTAAGATGCTATCAAGATGCAAAAACCAAAATTACCAGGCAGCGAGGACCGCGCCATTTTTCCCAAAATTCCAAAACTGTCATGTTTTGAAAATAATGCTTGTGGTGTTTTTTAGTTCTAGAGATAGGTTCCCGTTTAATAACACCAGTTTTTAGTCGCCAGGATTAACATGACTAAAATTAATAATTACTGCCACTCAAGACGCGTAAAAATAATTAATTTGAAAAGTAAATGTCGCTTCAAGTAAAAGCGGGCAAATCTGCACTTGACTTTCGTAAAACTGCCATGTTAACGTCTTGCCCATCTGTCAAGCTCCTTATCAACCTCCCTTCTGTCAAACTCTAGCGTGCTGAAAAAACCCAAACATGAAGAAAAAAGACGACGTCCCCTTCCTTCCTTTGAAAACAAGTCGGTCCCATAGACGCTTTTTTACGAGCCGCAGTATTTATTTAGTTATCTTCCCTTGTTTTCTGATAAAGCAAAGCGCCTCCTTTTCCGCTCCAGAAGTTTTATCAGTCCCCTCGGTATCAATTTATTTACGGGAATGATCTGCATATCAGAAAGTTAGCCTGGATAGGTCTGAGCTCGGGAACCTGAGCAAAAAACCTGAGTCAGGCTCTGAAGCAGCTAAAATGAAAAGCCGCTACGCGGCTTTTTTAATGAAGCCGCGAAGCGGTTTCCAAGTATACCTATTTTAATCGATATTAACTTCTGGCGAAGCCGCCTCGCGGCTTCGTTCTTAAAAGAAGCAAGTCAGAAGCAAGAGGGTAAAATGACTACACATAGAACCACTTTTAATCAAAGCTAGAAAACTATCGCTGCGAAGAAAGGCACAAGACAAGGAAGTTTTAGAAGAAATTGATTTTATTCAGGATTGCGGTTGTGGCACTCCATCTTTCAGGCTGTATTTGATGATTCCGCCAGCGACCATTTTTTGGTCGCGGACGTGTTCTTCGTTGGTTTGTACCAAAGGGATCATTTTCTTCTCCGCTGGGAAAAGCGGAATGTCATCATCTTCGCGATCTCCCCGGAGGCGAGTGAGCTCTGCTTGGCTGGTTCTGAAAGTAAATCGTTGGTTTCAGTTCTGTATCACCAAAATTAACGGGAAATCTCTCTTTCTTACCTTATCTGTGTCCTTTTCGGACCTTAGAAATCCTAAGACTGGCTTTTTCTGCCTAAAATGCCCTGACAACAACAGTTTTTCTAGAGATTTTTTGCAAAATTAGCCGTTTTTCTTTCAAAAACACTCAGTTGAAAATTCTTGTTCTAGCGACATTTTTCAAAACAACACATCATTTTTAGGCTTTCAAGCGAAAATTGACTGTAAAAGGCATTCGCGGAGAACTAACTGACCTTTAATTTTACGGTTATAAGTTCAAATTGGTTTTTTATTGAAAATATCGACAGTTTTCCTTTTTTCTTACTACACCGTCACTGATTAAAATTTAAAAGAGAAAATTGGAAAACTGTTGACCTACTATGGTACTAAAAGGTATCAAAAATGAATGTATTAATTTAGTGCTTTCACATGAGGAGGCCAATACATTTGTATTGAACTTTTTCAATATTCTTCCCACTTGAAAGGGATTTCCAATATTCAAAGAACAGTATAAATATCTTAGAACTAGAAGTATCTTTCTTCCAATATCTACTGTAAAATATGCTATGGTTAAATTTAAAGAACAAGTTGTTTTCTCGATGGTTGAATAAAAACAAAGATGCTCAATCTAAGTTCAAATCAACCATTTACATAACCGGGCTTGTATGCAAAGCTGCAAATTATTGCCTCCTCGAATCGTCAAAAATTGACATCGTAAAAGCAAAAATCATGGTTTCAGAGAACACGCTTTAGAACCGCAGATTTTAGATTCTCGAGCAGTCTTCGTGGATCATCATTAGCGGGATTACTACGGGAAGGTGATTCTTTTAAGATAATCCAACTCACGAAACGCAAGGCTTACGACTTGACCGCTTCGTAACATGAAGATGTTCCGCAATGATCAAGTACTGTGGCTGCTGTATGTAACAAGAACGTCGAAGAAAAAGTTCAAAGCTCGCAGCAATCTGCTAATTTCGACCACTTAGCTGCTGCAAATTCCAAAATTTCGCAAATGACGAGCTTGCAAGAAGCAGCAAGTTTTTACAGAACTTCATTACTTTACTTCATTAAAAGAAAGCTGTAGAAAATCAGGTTTTGAAAAAGAACCGTGGGAAACTTGCCTCAGCAACCTGCGGAGAAAACCTGAGTCAGGGTCTGAAAGATCTCGAATGATAAGCCTCTCCGTGTCCTTTTTAAAAGACGAAGCCGCTTCGCGGCTTCAGATTTGAGAAAGCCGCTGCGCGGCTTTTCCTTTAAGATCTTCTTTCAGACCCTGACTCAGGCTTTCCACACAGGTTTTTCCTGAGTTCTGAGGGAACTCTTCGGGACGTCAAAAGTAATGCCCACTATCAGGAAAAAGAGGACCGCACGTTTGCCTAAGCATTTTTATAACATGCAGGATAACAGGAAGATCGATTGTAGGAATTCATGGAGAGCGCGGATTAAAATTCTTTCGTGCGATTTCCAGAAAACGTGCGCGTAAGATTACAAATTGCGACTCGAAGTCACATAACTTAAGTGAGTGAATGAAGTTAATGGAAGTACAGTTACTTACAGGGTGCACAGAATAAGAGAGCAAGGATGATGATCGAAAAGGATCGAGAGGCATTTGATTTAGATTCAGTATTTACTCGTCCCGGCCGGTTAAGTGTTGTCAAGTGACTTTTTGGGACATCTACACGAGGTCAATCGTTGATTTATTTAAAAGCAAACGAGACAACGACCGATTGAAGATCCGGAATAAAGAACCCTAGGTCAAAACGAAAGGAAGCAACTTGAAGCTACTTAGTTCAACCCAAGTTTCAAGTTCCAGGAAAGCAAGATTTGAAGGAGCAAAGTGCTCTGAATCTGGGCTCGGCAACCTGAGTAAAAGACCTGAGTCAGGCTAAAGCCAAATAGAAGAGCTAGAATGAAAAGCCGCGAAGCGGCTTTTTTAAATTCGAAGCCGCAAAGCGGCTTCGCAAATAAACAACAAATTTTCTTTAAATTCCACGCTTTGCGGCTTCGTTTTTAAAAAAGCCGCTACGCGGCTTTTCCTTTTCTTCCTTGGGAACCTATCTTACTTTAGCCTTACAATTGTTTTGTTGTTTTTGGTCTTACATAATTTGAGAAAAGAAAGGCTGGCTGGATTGTGGAAAAGAATCATGAGCAGTGTGGTTAAGCCATTAAAAGGTTTAAGAATGGATAATTCTTGGCGTGGACTGAAACCCAAGTGCAAAGCAGGTGGGGATTTTTCTTCTACGCCGGATTAAAACTCAGATCAGCTGCGGACAATTTTTTGAAGGGTTATACAATTTCGCTGACTCAGCTTTTCTAGTTTTTGCACATGGTGGCTGTCGATTTGAAGTTTTAAAGGTGACGTTAAAGCTGAAATTAATCTGATTCACAGTCAATACAGTAGCTCGTAGAAAAGTTAATATTTCAACATTTACATACAGAAAAAGAATTAGCTGTGAAGAATCCGTCAATTTTTAATTTATTGACTTCAATGTCAGGAAGAAGATAATTTGAAAGAAATGGTGGCATTAAAATTCATCTCTCATCGTTGCAGGAACGCGTGCGCCAGGCCAGAAGTGGCAATATTTTTTATTGAGAAAGTAGAAAAAGATAATTTTTTATTCTCAACCTTGCTTTTTTCATTTGCTTCGGTTCATTTCTGAGATTTTGGATAGAGGGGATAGAGCAAGATGAAGATTTTTTTGTTTTTGTTGGCTTTTTCAGAAAAGGTTTGTTTTGCGAAAATTTCATATTTCTAACACTGGGCCGCGAAATTCATGGGAACATAATTTTCCGGACAGATAAGCAACCAAGCACGTTCTATTCTTCCTCTAATCAGTGGCTTCTTCACCAGTTGGGCTTGTGATAGCTGTGTATAGAGTCTATACTATAGACAAATATTTTCAGGTACAAGGCCGTGGATTTTGGAGCAAATGCAAAGGTGCCTTGGACGAAATGAAAAGTGAGCAGAGTTACGACGACCATTTGGCTCTGCAAAACTCTCCTGCTCATCTTATGCTAGGAAAGGTCAAAACCCTATTAATGTCCGGATTTCCACCTATGTGAAAGTCCTCGACCTATCATTTCCGAGTCCTCCGACTCTCTCACACTAAGCCCGCCGCGTGAATATCAAATCATAACCCTAACCCTAACCCTAACCTACAGTTCTTGGGGTTTTTGTTTCGAACGATAACGGTATTGAATTCTGCGCAAAAAGTTAGCTTTGAGTTGAAAAATCGAGATTTGATTTTTGATAAATTCGAGTCTCGCAATATTAAATTTCTCTCTATCCATCAAAGAAATCAAAAAGATTACAAATTCGAAGTCCGCAAAAAAGTGCAGAATATTGTCAATCACGTTCAACACAGGAAAAATTAGATAAAGATGGTTTTGACTTGATTAAGACAACTGCATCAAACAGATATCGAGGATAACTGGAAGACGAGTAAAGTAAGTTCTCAATAATAACGAGTTCCTTTTTAGAAAAATATGATCTTGACCCTTATATGATACCCCTAACCCTTAATTTTAACCCAGGGGGCTACGTTCCCTCGGACCCCCCCCCCTAAAGACTACCACAGAGGGCTTCGCCCCCCGGACCCCCCCAGTAGGTAATTCCAGCCCTCTAACCCTAGTCCCTAACCGAGCAGTGTTTTCTATTGACAATCTTCCTAGCAGTCGATAGAACTTCAAGAGAGAATATACCTCATTTTAGTGGCGGAACCCTTAGCGGAAAATTTCACGAGTACCGAATAAAGACACGAGCATACCCAGAACGATACGACTATTGAGTTGTTGGCTCTCAATTCTTCTTCCTCTTCTGCTTCTTATTTTTATGTTTTCTCCCCTCAAATCTGTGCGAAAAAAATCTGCGTCCCCAAGAAATTAAAATTGTGTTAGCCGAAATTTGAAAAATGTGATTTGTATCTCCACAGTTGCGCGCCATAAGCAGCAGCTACTTTTTCAGTTGTATAGTTAGGCATCTGACCAAATTGCATCAACTCGAGCAGAGCTTCTTTTTTCGACGTGAGATATCAAGACGATGATTCTAGTGCCAATTTGGAAGGTAAAATTTAAAAAGGCAAAGAAGATTTCTTCACATTTTAGAAAAAAAAATTGAATTATTTTTTCAAAGACTTCCTCAAAAGAATGCTTATTTTAGTAGCGCGACTTTTTGTTTTCATTGAATTTTTCAAGGTCTTTGGAACCTTTTTTATGACTACCGTTGTTTTCCCTCACTTTGGATTTAGCCACTTTTTACCCAGTTTTTTGGCCGTAAATAAGACCTAATTATTTATTAAAAACTTGTCGTGGATAGTTCCCAAAGGCACGAAAAAACTGTCAAAAGATAAAGTAACGTGAATAAATTTATTCGATACTGGGATAACTGACACGTGAGGATGAAAAACTAGACAGGTCAGTCTCTCCCTGACAGGTCTTTCCAGCTGCTGAAAATTGGATCATGAGAATATTCAGTAATTTAGCAGGTTCCTCAGTACTAAGCGCCCAGGACTTGATTCTGGAGAATCCTTTTTTCAAATTTTATTTCAAATCGACCAGTTTAAAAAAGGAGAAAGTTACAAAACTCGCATATGATTATGTTGGAAATGAGCATTGTCCTCAAAAGCTGGAAATGATCGCTTTTTGTATTCGGCATATCCTGGATCCTCCTATAATATAATATAATATAATATAATATAATATAATATAATATAATATAATATAATATAATATAATATAATATAATATAATATAATATAATATAATATAATATAATATAATATAATATAATATAATATAATATAATATAATATAATATAATATAATATACAGACAAAACGGACAATTCCGGAACGGGCAATTCCGGAGATTTGAGGGAAATTGGAAAAATTTTGCAAGCGCACAATTCCGAAAAGTTAAGACAAAAATTTCAACTAAGAGGCCTATTCTCTATATATGGCCACCTTTTTCAAATAAAAAGGAAAAAAGAAATCAGAGAAGGGTAAAAAAAGCCTTGTGCAGCACTAAAAAAGCCCATTTTCTAGTTGCCACCCTTAAAAAAGGCACTCCTGCCGCAAAAAAAATTTCAAGTCGAGTTCGGACAATTCCGGAGATTTGGCGCTTTTTCCCGAAAAACTTCCGGAATTGTCCGTTTTGTCTGTAATTTTACCTGCTGTCCTTGAAAGTTATTGACCATATAATTTTGCAAAAATGACCGTCGATTCAGGTCCGAGATAAAAGCAAAAGCTTGGGCCCCCGAAAAAGCGAGTAAAAAGCCAACTTTGTAGTTCATAACTTAGTAGTTTCTTTGTTGTACAAATGACAAATTGTGATTCCCTACCCAGCTCAGTTCGCTTTTTAAACAGGAATAACTGCATGTTTAATCTAGCATGTGGTTCTTAAAACAATACTTTTTCCTCGCCAGATTATTCATTTATTCATATGAACATGTTTTAATGGTCAAGCCAGATAAGGGTCAAACCCAGTCATGAATTTGTGGTCAAATACGCACGTGCAGAAACACTATTCATTTTTCAAAGCAGCACAAGTACTAGTCATCGCCTCGTCTTTTCGAAGAGCTCTACTAGGGAAATTCTTTTCTGACTACTCAATAATTACTAATTATGGCCAGTTAATAGAGCACTCGAGTTTCACAGAGACAAATTTGAGGCTTCAATCGTTTGAATTGATAAAAAAGAGTTTCTTGGGAATAATCAGTAGACGCACGTAAAAGTGGTTTAATGAAATGACATGCATCTTTCAGCAGGTAAAGTCAGTTCGCCGCTTAGCCTGGCCGGAGTAGCGATTACGCACGGCAAAACGAGGCCCAAATGATCCCAAATGTTTACCCCAGACGTGGCGGGGGGATGGCAATTTTTGCTCCGCGCTTGGGCTGTTACTAATACTGCGAAATTGAAAAACTCATTCATCGACTTGGAGGAAAATGAGATTGAAGAATCCAGCTCACTTTCGACGAGAAAGCCATTTCAGATATTGAATTTTCGATCATCTTGAACTTCCAAAAACAACTTCAGGAGGAAAAATTCAGTGCTACGCAATTGGAATCGTAAACCGGTAGAATACACGGATCAAAAATGTTATCAGCTTACCCCCATTCGACCGCAATGAGTATGAGCGTCACAACACTTGTCAAATACTTCCAACAAAGTACTGTAATAAAAAATAACACCAAGAAGAAAATTCTTTAAAAGAACTTTCATCTGTTAGCGTTCATCATTCCAAGCTCGAAAATCGAAGAAGTATCTTAACCCCCTGCTGGCTCACTTAAGCATTTTACGAAGCCAGCAGATCGTGAGAAATTCTCTCGCTCTAAACTGGCGCTGCAGATGGGTATGAAAATATGGCAGCTCTCAATTTTGTTACGTATTTGATTAATTCACACGGCTGCTTAATTGACTGATACGGTTTCCTAGATACTGTCCAAAAAGAGACACTCTTACTAGTCTTAACTACAGATATAAAGACTGTCTTTGGATAACTCAACTGACGACTTGATTTTCAAGTTTTTGATAAAGAATCCTTGAAAAGCAATTTAAATCTGCTTGATAGAACACTCGAAAGAGAAGAGATTGCAAATATTATATTTTCAAAGCAGGATAAAGACACGTCGTGTTAGAAGACGAGAGGGTTGACGAGGAGGGAATCAAAAGATATGTACTGTGGCGAGTTGAGATTTGCTTCTGATGAAATTAAGTTCAAAATGGAGATTTGAGTTTGGTTTTTAAAGTTCGCCTTCGGTAAAGCCTGCCTGAGTTTTTCCGGTTTTCTTAGTTTGATTTGATTTTTCATGGACTTTGCTGAATGATATTTTTTATTTTTTATTGATAAATAAATTCAGCTTTCGGCTCATTCAAAGTCAACTCCAGCGTCTGGCCTTATTGAATTTTTATCCTAAATACACTTTCCTGGATAAAACCAGCTCTTTAAAAGCCAGATTCCACAGATAACTAAATGCGAATCTTAGTTTTTGCAAGTTTCATTTTGAAACTTACGGCTTTATTCACACAAGGTAATTTTTTGGACTTTTGGAGAGATGCTGATCATTTCGCGTACCAAATTCGACGCTCGATAAAACACTGGCGGGTGAAACACTCTTTCCGAAGATCTTATAGCTCTCTGAGGCGAGAGTTTATGAACTTCTACAATCCTGAAAAATGCGAAATGGCTCGTTTGGAACACAACTGGACCAAATCCGATTTTCCGCCGTTACCAGATCCAGAAAATATGAATCGAAAATTTGACATCAAATTGAGTTCCCTTGTCAATACATTCCACTTGAATTCGATGATTCTTGATTGGCTTGCATCGTTTGCATGCCATCTCTTCACTGCTCCTACCATGACGAAGGAAGAAAGATCAATACGGGACAAGCGGCATAATCTTTATAACAGTTTTAACGAAAAAGGTTATAATCGATTGGACGAGATGAAGTTTCATAGATTCAGAAAGCTCAACTATTACGAAGCGCAAGCATTGTGTTATCGTCATGACATGTGGCTTTTTCAACCTGAAGACTATAATCTGGAAACGTTCTTGAAAGCAGCAGCGAAGTCATGCAATATGAAAAGCTGTTGGATTGACAATTCGATTTTTGCTAACCAAAATGAATGCAATATCCTCATTGGCTCTAATGATGAAAATGGGCTCCCAAAAATAGTACCAAAGGACTGTAATGAAAAACATTACGTTCTTTGTGCAACTGGGCATTACTTGAAAACAACTTGAAAAAGAAACTTCTTTCGACTATTTCTTCATCGATATTACTCTTTCATAAATTCATATGCATCAATTATTCGACTTCAGTTCATTATTTTCGAAACTCAAAATTTTTCTACAGTAGAAGCTCGAAAACAAAGCAGCATGGTTACGTTACGTATTCTTCCAGGTGTTGAATTTCAACTCAACCTGTTTTTTTTCGAAATTCGAAGACGAGATTCTTACACGACCTCGAATGGCAATTAGTCAAATCTCGATGGCAATTTTTTTTCATAAATTCGCAGTTTCACATTTTCGTTACAAGCCATAAAACTTTAAATTGCCCATTTCCAACATTCAAAAAAGCATTCTTCGACGAGCTTAGTCAAATTTTTTACTCGCCAAGTTGGGTGTCAAAAAAAAAGCAAGAATTGGCGCATTGGTGAACCGAGAAGACGTTAATTGGGTCGCAACTGAGCTGTCTGCAGATCGATAGTCTGAAATATTACGCGTCAAAAATTCTTGCATGAAGGAAAAGAATGATTCTTTGAAAGAAAAAAAAACGGTTTCGGGTCGTTGAATCAGAATTTGCTCATGGTATTCAAAATTCTCTTTTGAGCAGGTGCTTGATCATGCTCCCGTGAATGTTCGTGAGGTTAACGTTCCCGCAACATATGACGTATCCAAGAAGAGAAGCCGATTCGATCGAACTTGACCTCATAATTACCGCCGAAAACCGACTCTTACGTGCATCAACAAACAAGCAACTTATACAGCCGGCGAAAATATGCGAAATTTCATTTCCAAGCTTCTCCGAAGATTTTTTAATCAATCGACTGGCGATGAGAACACGTGACTCAAAATTTCATTTTCCACTTTTTAGATCGATCAAAGTACCGAGGTACATTTCGAAGGTGCGATTAAATATTCAGCCAATATTTCAAAGTTATCTTGGGGAGGAATTCGAGCCCGCACGTTGTCAAAAAACGCTAGAATTTCCAAACGATTAGTTTTGCCAAGCTCATTTTCAAAAAAGAAAAGCAGGTGGATTTTCGAAGATCCTCGTAATCTACCTGGCATATCTCTGTAATGATCGCTCTTTCGCAATCCATTACCGGGTGAAACTTTAGCCTAACTGACGTATAACTGTGTCGATTCTTGAACTTCAAGAAACTTTGACACCTTTTTCTAGGGATGATGCATCCAAAAATTGATGAGAAGATAAGATACAGTAGTACCTTTCTTGCCTGAACTTCTCAGCGCTCGTGACATAAATGTATATGAAAATTATCTCGTCATTTTGCTTTTCTGTGAGGAGCAATACTATGCACTTATTTTTAGAAATAGCAACAAAATTAACGCAAATTTTGACGGTTCAAGTAAACTTCTTCTAACTTGTTTTTGCTTACGATTTTGAAGAGAGATCAACTTGCAAAAATTAGCCGAGTCATTCAGTTTTGTTAGAAAGTCACCCGTCTCTTCGAGTAACTCATCAAACGATTGTATCACTTTAATGGGCTTATAGATTTTCATGAAATCGGAGGAGCAAGAACCGGACTTGGCTCTCTCGACCCATCGCTAGAATTCACGTTTAGATCGAATTAACTCCCGCTTCTTTGAAGCGTGCTTTATTTTCACATCCCAATTTGCTCGCCACAATTCGATTGCCAAAGCGTCTTTGAAGTGAACATCTTTCACCCGTGGCAAAGCGTTTTTATGACTTTTGTATATTTATTATTTAGAGAATAGCAGATAAAAAATTCTTCATCTTTAGTGATGATCACCAGGATTCGCCGGAGTCGGGCAAGAAAGATCGATTTTACAAGCCTTCGAAGAGGGTCAATTCCGAGTTTTTGAGTTTCAAATCGTAATATATAATGGCAGGTTATATATTACAAACTCGTTAGTACGAAGTTTCTATGCTCGTTGTCGACCCTTAACTTCACGGCTTGACCGTCGACAAGAACTTGCCCAGATGTGACCACGATCGTGTTGTTTTCCTGCAAAACGTCCGCGTACTCCATCGACCTGAAACAGTAAATCACCGAATCCCTCCTTCAGCTCTTACCAGAGATCAGCATCAGATTCGTCTCCCAAGCTGACAATGGTCGTCTCAGTATCTGTCGTAGCCCATTTTCGGATTCCAAAAAGAACTCGCGCGAAAATTTCGCGATTTGCTACTTCTGAGCTCAGAACATACGTCCTTAAATTCCCCCATCAACTTTAAAACACAAAGATTCTCTTACTTCGCCCGGACAAGATTGCTAAAGTCTGCTAATCGCTCAGGAGTCGTATCAGGAACATAAGTCAAATCCACATAAATTGGTCGATCAAAGGCTCTAGCTCTCCCTCGCCCTCGTTTTGAATCGTTATTGTCTTTTTAGAATTGTTAATTTTTCGTTGAATGAAGAGTTTTCTTACTATTAGTATTTCCGATCGGTATTTCATTCAAAATCCGGTCAGGAACTGGCGGCGGCTGAGGCACTGCCGGCTCCTCTGAAACTGAGCTATTTGGCGAAATCGAATGGCCAGAAACTCGACGATGCTTTTCGTTCAATCCCTGAAGAAGGAAAAGTGATTAGTCAGTAATTTCAGAGGAAGAACTAACCGCAAATACATCGTCGACATCTTTCCACATCTCGAATCCTTCTTTCTGGGTCACATGATTTATATCTGCACCTGATGACGCCGCAAGGCCATCACCCGAGTCCCGATTGTCAGATTTTTCCAGACCTTTAATTTAAAGTATCGAATTAAGCGCGCGTAATTCGATCTTTCGACTTACCATGCATTCCATCAGCCGGTGATCGGACCTCGTCACTCCAGCCCTCTGTCAAATTGGCTTTGCTGCCCAGAGATTCTGTGCGTGGCTTGTCTTTTCTGTCAGCAGAAGAAGTGGAGGCGCGATTTGAATCGAAAAAAGATGAGAAAGAGGTAGGAGTGGCTTCTGAGGACTTTCGAATGACGGTGGCGGCGCCTTCGGAGAAAAAGTCGTAGTCGTTTGATTCCACACTCACTTTTGAACTGTTAAAATTGGGGGAAATTGTAAGCTAACCTGTAGAAGTCAGCAGAAGCGACCCTCGCTGTCGCTTTTGCTCGGCCTCTTTTGCAGCGAAATTCCATTCTGGCTCAGGCATCTTCTCCTCTATGTCTTCAGTTTCTTGATTTTCCAAAGTAGAGAAGCACTTTGAAAGCAGATTTGTGATCGCTTGAACTTTCTCATCTGATTTCTGCTGATCCGAGTTGTTTGGTTGTTCAATATCGATGAGTTTTCCTTCTGGTGTCTTTGCCGGCTCGTTGAGCTCTGGAGATGTTTTGGAAAACTCGAAGTCGTCGGTTTCCAAGCTTTCATTGTCGACGCTTTCTTCTTCTTCGAGAATCGTTGTTGTGACATTTTCCGTCTTCTTTCCAATTCCTTCTTGCACAAGTCGCGCCATGAAGTCTTGGTCAGAGAGATTTCCAAAGTCAGCTTCTTGATCAGGCGAGTCGAAAACAGGTGGGTTGTCGTCTTTATCTAAGTTGAGATTCGCAAGATCTTCGTGAGATGATCCTGGGTTTTCCTCACCAAGGGCTCTGTGAATTGAAACTGGCTCCATAAACGCCGGTTCATTTTTCTTCTTGACTTCAACGAGCTCAGGTACGAACTCGTCTGTTATTTCTTTTATGTCTTCCACTGTGGCTGAGCTCTTCATGGCCTTGATTTCCGAAGGAATTGTAGCGACGACGACTGGTTCTTCTGAATCAGGAGTCATTTCGAGCTTTGGCGCTGTCATGATTATTGCTTGCTCATGTTCTGTTTCGCCCGCTCTTTCTGGCTCAGAATCGGGCTCGGTTATGTCGTGCGTTTTTGCTGCAGGCTCGTGGCTGTTGTCGGAGAAAATTATTTCTTGTGTCTTGGGAGTCTCTTCTGTCAATGCAATTTGCTTCGGCTCGCTCACAATTACCTCTTTAGAAAATATATTAAATAATAAAACGACGTCTGATTGAACCTGATGGGTTGGACTTGAGTTCTTCAGCTTCACGGTCATTTTCCACTGTATTGACGTCTTTAAGTATTCATTAAAACTTTGTCCACGAGGATGAACTTACCATTTTTCTGGGGTGGAACTTGCATGTCAATTTTTGACGCTTTGAGAGGAATCGAGCTTGGCCGTTTTCTGGCCTTTGTTTCTGGGTCTTTTTTGGACTTCTTTGACGCGGTTGACGTAGCTGTCTTCTTAGGTGTCCGCTTCAGAGCTTTAGTACTGTAGTCTACTGGCGGAGATTTCTTCGAAGCTTAGTTTGGTTTACAGATATGCTTAGATAAAGGATTATTTGTCAAAAGAATCTTAAGACCAAAGACTGAGGCGGCTGTAGGAGCATCGATTGTTCTTCTTTTTGGGGGATCAGGTTTTTGCGGCTTGTTCAGTTTTTCGTTGTCTTTTGGGCTGATTTCGATCTGGACCACAACTGGTTTCGACTTTTTCGGACGAGTGAGCGAGCTTGACCGATTTGAAAAGCTCTTGGGCTGGCTAGTGTCTACTTTGCTTCTGATATTTCGATAAGAAGAGAGACTTCTTGATTTTTCTTCCTGGCGAGCTTTTGAAGCGTTCATAGAAGTTGAGAATGGACGAGCAAGACAGGTGATAAGCGAGCGATCTTTGATCCTCTCTCTCAATTTTTCGATTCCAGAGGCGAGTTGGGCCGTTTCAGTTGCTCCTGGAAACATGAGCCGAACTTCTGGCTTATCCGGTTGTCTGAAATCAAGGATGAGTACCGAAGTGGTTACCGTAATTTTCGACTTACCGGAAAATGAGAAGAATGCTGGAAGATGCATGGCTCAAGTCGATTTCTTCTCCTTTCGGCCACTTTTTTCGGAAATCATTCAACTGGTGCTCGTAAGGTCCGATTATGTACATTTCCAGCGATCCGTGGCCAAACTCGCTGAAGAGTGTCAACGGATCGTTGTTTTTGCCAGCGATGATTGGGTTTCTTGAGTAGCCGAGTTTCGAGATTCCGTGTTTTATGAAATGAAGACTTTCTGCTTCTTCGGGGATTTTCTCCCCCTTGACTCCGTTTGGAGCGCCAGGGTAGTTGATGAAAATATTTCCGATGTCGGGAGAGCCGCGAATCAAATTCGCGCTTGGGAATTCCTTGAGTAAGAGGTTAATAAAAGGGATGAAAGAAAACTTTTATGCAAAGTGGAGTTTTTGAATGAAAAGAACACGAAACGAAAGATGAGATGAAATGTAAGATTGAACTTCAATCAAGCTAAAAACCTCTTCCTTTTCCTCAAGTTTGCGTTGAATGAGAGATCTGATCCCGGGGATCGTGGTTTTTGAGACGTGGCTCAAGAGGATTGCATCCAACCGCGGAACGTGCGTCACATATTTCCAAAAGACGCTTTCAGCTGATTCTCCTCCATTCACCAGAAATCTTTTATCGGCTCAAGAACTGCTGCTTATTTATAATTCAGAGTAATTTTACTCTTTTTGGACATTTTTGTTTCCTAATTTTCTTGAAAAGCGGGCAAAAATGGACCAAAAAGAGGAAAAATATCTGCTTTAATTCCCTCAAAATACAGCTTTGACAGTTGCTTATTACTTGTTGAGCCATTTCCTGTATCCATTCGCAGAAAACAGGGCACAGTTTCCACCACAAAACGAGTAAATACAGGGTGGTTGTCTGAGAGACACCCATTGAGATCCTTCTTCTGCACTTGGCAGTAATTCTATTTTAACAGGTCTTCAAAATTCAAATTATCTCCCTCTTGGGAATCGAAGACAAAAATAAATTGAATCCAGGGTACGTTAATTAAAAGTGTGAAGACCTGCTCATGGCGAAAATGCCTCTCTGCATATTGATAATATTCCCAATGCTCGATTTTGTCTCGATTCTCTTCGGTTTTTCTTTCGATATATCTTTTTTTTGAAAAAGTAGTGCTGTCCGCAAAAGAGGGAGGAAAAAGACAAAATCGCTGAAAATGAGTAAAAAGGAGCAGATCCGAGAAATCGATCAACCTTTGGCTCATTCATTAATAAACGGAGAAATCGATATCCGCGCCGCCTGCTTTGCTGATAAATACCCCGGTTACACACCTGGATCAAAAACGGACGCGAGTTTGTGGTGATATAAATTTTATTTCAATAATTATTGGCAATAATCATCAAAAGGAAAAATCGTCAGTGTGAGTTTGTCCTAAGCGGCAGTTCGGTAAAGTCGCGAAAATTTTTAGTCAAAGAGCTTGAAGATCTTGTCGTCAGTGAATTCAGCTCGGCATGTTGGGCAGTTCTTCTGAGGAAGAGAAGAGAGGCAGTTGAGGCAGGCTTTGTGACCGCATGGAATAACAGCTGCTTGAGGGTGCTCTTCGTCGTAAGTTTCGAAGCAAACTTTGCATCTCAACTTTTCGTTTACTTCTTTCTCTTCGGGAACCAGCTTTACTTCATCAGTGGTATCTAAAACTTATGTAATTTAGCAGAAATCAAGACAGTTTTCACCTAAATCAGGATTATCGTCCTTCATCGTCTCTTTAGTCAGGAACAAGGATCGCTTTTGAACTTTTCTTCGAAAGACTTTAACGCACTCCAATTCTTGATCGGCATCGACGGCGTCATTTTCCGCCATCTCAAGTTGTTTTTTCAAATCTTCTACTTTCTTATGAGCACGCTCCCGTTTATTTTTTTGAGCTTTTTCTTCTTCGAGCAATTCCTCATAAATTTGATTAACAGCAGCAAGAATATCGTATTTGACTAAGAAAATATTTATTAATCTACAAAAACTAGTTGCTCACATTTGGAGTCGATCCAGGAAGCGGCATCTTCACAACATGATCCAATAAAGAAATCTCTCCAGGAAAGTTGATTCGCCCCACATTTTTTGTAACATCTGAATTTGGCGTTTGTCTCTTCGAACACAGCAATTTTCTTTCCTGGGGGATGCTTCAAAAAGCAAATCTTACAATATCGCTCTCCATTGATTTCCGTCGTTGACCTTCGCAATCTTGAATTTTAAGTTTATCATAAGTATATGTATTTGTACAAACTGTTGACATTCAGCACATTTTCCAAATGATCCATGAGATGTCACAAAACCATCGTCAAGACTAACATTATTGCATAATTTATGGCCCACTAACTGTTTGGCTTTATTTGCCATGTCTCTCTCAATGAAAAAATGTTCACTAAGTGAGTTTCGCTGAGAAACGTTAGATTTATATCTCAATTTTATCTTTCATGATCGTCCAATAAGAGCAAACTCAGACACAGAACTGTAGTCGGTCTTACTGTTCTACAACAATTTGTTACTCAGAAAAATCTTCTTTTTTCCCAGGAAAGCAAATTATAGAGATTAGACAAGCAAAAATTTAATCTTGAAAGTAACCGCGATGTTTATGTCAGTGCTCCTTCGCCTGATAGAAAGTGAAGTTGAATGAAGTGTCTGAGAACATAAAAATGAAATCGAGTATTTTCTTTTCTGTTGCTTGTTTTAGCGTAGAGGCAAATGTCAGGTGTGGAGACATACGTTTCGGAGATCCCGGTCAATTCGGTCCAGTGAGTTTGACAAGTTACCCTGGCTCTGGAAACACTTGGGTGAGATATCTTATCGAAGAGTTTACTGGCTACTACACAGGGAGTGTCTACCACGATGGAAAGCTTTTCAAGGGAGGATTCAAAGGAGAAATAGAGGACTGGAGCGAAGGAAGAGTCGTCATCACGAAATCCCATACTTATCGACCGAAAGAAAATGCTCTGGCTGATGCAATTATGCTCATAAGAAATCCTTATGATTGCTTTTTGTCTGAATTCAACAGAGTTATAAGCGGCGCCGATCACACTGGAAAAGCAGAGACAAAAGGTACTTATTATAACCATAACAGTTATATTTTCATAATATTTTTGGTCTTTCCTTGTGTCATAATGAGATGATAACTATCCTTTATCACAATTAGCGACACAATGCATGCTACATAAATAGCCTTTTTTAGATTTCATGTCAGAAAGATGGGTTAAAAACGAATTTGAAAAGTACGCAGGACGCTGGTATCGACTGTACGCAAATTTGATCAACAGTGGATATGACACTCTTCCTATCATTTACGAAGGTTATTTTCCAGCACCAACCATTATTTATAAAATTTAAAGATATGAAAGCAGACCCCCAGAAAGAGATGGAAAAGGTCGTCAATTTTCTGGATGTCCGGACTGACTATGAGTCCAAATACGAGTGTCTTTTCGGAGAAAACTCCCAAAGATTCAAAAGATCAAGCGGTAGAGACGTTGATCCATATCTTTTTGTCAACGAAGGTACGGTTTTGTCTTCAACTGTTTTCTTGAAAATTTTTCAAAGAACACCTCAAGCCAGTAAACGAAGCGATCAATAATCTCTCTGCTCTGCTAAAGAAAACCCATGGGTAGGGTGGCCACATAAAAATAAGACCCCAGAGAAACCCCCCAAAACCCCCACTAGAATGTTGCACGTGATCAGTAGAATCACGTAGAGAAGAAATAAAACGAGAATTAAGGGAGTTTCTTTGAAAAAATTGAGATCAAAGGACTCGAAAACAGCCAAAATAGCCAAAAATCACAAAAATCACCAGCGGAGTCACGTGATCTTGAATTTTTTTGGTTTCTTTCCAGATTTCGAAAGATCAGGGCAAAACTCATCAACAGTAAGTGCAGCTCCGACCATGATCAACCATGGTCGGAAAAAAATTGATTTAACATATTTTTTTAACTAACCCTAACCCTAACCCTAACCCTAACCCTAACCCTAACCCTAACCCTAACCCTTCGGGCCGTCTCAGCCCCGTTCCGTGATTTTTAAATTTAAGGGGCTTGACGGCCCTTCGGGCCGTCTCAGCCCCGTTCCGTGATTTTTAAATTTAAGGGGCTTGACGGCCCTTCGGGCCGTCTCAGCCCCGTTCCGTGATTTTTAAATTTAAGGGGCTTGACGGCCCTTCGGGCCGTCTCAGCCCCGTTCCGTGATTTTTAAATTTAAGGGGCTTGACGGCCCTTCGGGCCGTCTCAGCCCCGTTCCGTGATTTTTAAATTTAAGGGGCTTGACGGCCCTTCGGGCCGTCTCAGCCCCGTTCCGTGATTTTTAAATTTAAGGGGCTTGACGGCCCTTCGGGCCGTCTCAGCCCCGTTCCGTGATTTTTAAATTTAAGGGGCTTGACGGCCCTTCGGGCCGTCTCAGCCCCGTTCCGTGATTTTTAAATTTAAGGGCTTGACGGCCCTTCGGGCCGTCTCAGCCCCGTTCCGTGATTTTTAAATTTAAGGGCTTGACGGCCCTTCGGGCCGTCTCAGCCCCGTTCCGTGATTTTTAAATTTAAGGGCTTGACGGCCCTTCGGGCCGTCTCAGCCCCGTTCCGTGATTTTTAAATTTAAGGGCTTGACGGCCCTTCGGGCCGTCTCAGCCCCGTTCCGTGATTTTTAAATTTAAGGGCTTGACGGCCCTTCGGGCCGTCTCAGCCCCGTTCCGTGATTTTTAAATTTAAGGGGCTTGACGGCCCTTCGGGCCGTCTCAGCCCCGTTCCGTGATTTTTAAATTTAAGGGGCTTGACGGCCCTTCGGGCCGTCTCAGCCCCGTTCCGTGATTTTTAAATTTAAGGGGCTTGACGGCCCTTCGGGCCGTCTCAGCCCCGTTCCGTGATTTTTAAATTTAAGGGGCTTGACGGCCCTTCGGGCCGTCTCAGCCCCGTTCCGTGATTTTTAAATTTAAGGGGCTTGACGGCCCTTCGGGCCGTCTCAGCCCCGTTCCGTGATTTTTAAATTTAAGGGCTTGACGGCCCTTCGGGCCGTCTCAGCCCCGTTCCGTGATTTTTAAATTTAAGGGCTTGACGGCCCTTCGGGCCGTCTCAGCCCCGTTCCGTGATTTTTAAATTTAAGGGCTTGACGGCCCTTCGGGCCGTCTCAGCCCCGTTCCGTGATTTTTAAATTTAAGGGCTTGACGGCCCTTCGGGCCGTCTCAGCCCCGTTCCGTGATTTTTAAATTTAAGGGGCTTGACGGCCCTTCGGGCCGTCTCAGCCCCGTTCCGTGATTTTTAAATTTAAGGGGCTTGACGGCCCTTCGGGCCGTCTCAGCCCCGTTCCGTGATTTTTAAATTTAAGGGGCTTGACGGCCCTTCGGGCCGTCTCAGCCCCGTTCCGTGATTTTTAAATTTAAGGGGCTTGACAAAGGCTGGGAAGTCTGAGTTGATCAATCTCAGTTTCGTCCCTAACCCCGCCCACCTCCGTCCGATGTTAAAATTCATATTCTTCACGTTTTTAGATTTGTTATGGTTTTTATTGATAATTTTTTCTTTTCAATTTTATCTCTCAATTGTTGAATTCTTTTTGGGCTCGACTTAGGCTTTTTCTTTAGTCAAGACCCTTCACATACAGTTTTTAATGACCTTTAGACAGCTTTTTAAAGAAAATGAAAATTTTCGAATTTTTTCGGGAAAAAAATTTCTTAAACGAAAATTTGAATTTCACGGAGCTGCACTCACTGGGGTTGTCAAATGCCCTGAATTTGATGATCCCAAAATTAAAATTGAAAAAAAATGAAAATTCAGACTCCGGAGCCAAAAAAACCGAAAAAAATGAGAAAAAATCGATTTTTCGGGGGCTACACCCTTAAAATTTTGAAAAATTATATTTTTTTGGGGAAGCTTTGGACCAACCCTAATCGGTGGTGGGGTTAGAAAAATCGATTTCTGAAGGGTTAATTATGGCCAATTTTTTATGTGGCAGCCCTACCCATGGGATCGAACTGCCAAAATCTTATTTGAGAAATTTACGTTAGACATTTTACACTGCCATTATCGAATAAGAATTCACAAGAAAAATATCCGCCTTGGAATCATTTATTTACAAATCTGGCAAAAATTCAGTGTCTGAGCGAGCATATAAAAGAATCGTTAGTTGAGCTTGAAGCGCAGGCAGGTTGAGAAGGTTTATTCTAGGACTTCGAAGGTGGCATCGGTTTTGATATCCTGAAAATAATGATCGCCTTGTAATTTGAAAATGCCTTACTTGGATTTCTCTGCTGTCGATATCGATGAGAACCGTGTATTTCCCGGATTTTTCGGGGATGAAATCGAAGTTCATCTGGTAGGTCGTCTTTGGTTCAAGAGTTTGTCTAGAAAAAATGTTTGAAAAATGCCTTTTTGGAAAAACATACTCTGTGAAATTTCTATCAGTAAAGAGACCATTAGCTTCGACTGTCAAAGAAGCGTTTTGAAGAGGATAATCCAGAGGATTTTCGATCGTGATTACGCAGCTGCAAGCATCTTTTACGTACGCTTTTCTTCGATTGAACTAAATTTTTTGTCAGACAGAAATCTGGCACATGATACTCACCGTTATCGACACCATAGGAGGAACACTGAGCGAAAAGTCTTGTCTGGCCGTGTGCGTCTCGATCTCGCCTGTTGATGGATTCTTGACCTTGATCATTGCAACTGCTCTCATATGTAGGGTAAACGCACAAAAAAATCAACTTTTTCCCTCGAAAGAGAATTGACCTGAAACTTGGCATGGTAATAGATCATGCCAAACTACTTTTAAAAATTTTTTTTTCAAAAAAATTTTTCAAGGTTTTCAACCTTTTTAAGCCTGGCAAAAGGCTAACTTCTGAGTGGATCATGGTAGAAGGCTCTTGAATAGCTAGATCGACGCGGACTGAGCTCCTGATCATTTTCATAAAAAAAAATTTAGTGACAATATCTCCGATGACTCAGAAATCGCCGAAGAGTGTTACGTAACCTTGTTATGTAACACTAATTAAGACATTTAATTGCTGGAGGACCAAAGAAATACATCTCACTACTTTTCAGCCCAAAAAAATAATGACAATATTTCATCCCTTTTTCCGGAGGACCTAATGGAGGACTTTTTGAAGAAAAACAAGCCATTGCTGGAAAAATTTTTTTTTTTTTTAAGTTTTTAAAATTTAGTTTTAGATATAAATTAACGTTTAAAATATTGAAAGCATCCCGTCACCCTCATAAAAACAAATTTCTTAAAAAAAACTTTCCCAAGAATAAACACCATAATAGAAAAACCAGTAGGGGGAATATGGTAAAAAATAGAAACGGGTGAGGGCGGGGTTGGGGACAGAACTAAGACTGATCATCTTAGTCTTGTTTTCTAATCCCGGCCTTTGTCAAGCCCATTTTTAATTAAAAGCCAGGGACGGGGCTGAGACGGCCCTTCGGGCCGTCAAGCCCATTTTTAATTAAAAGCCAGGGACGGGGCTGAGACGGCCCTTCGGGCCGTCAAGCCCATTTTTAATTAAAAGCCAGGGACGGGGCTGAGACGGCCCTTCGGGCCGTCAAGCCCATTTTTAATTAAAAGCCAGGGACGGGGCTGAGACGGCCCTTCGGGCCGTCAAGCCCATTTTTAATTAAAAGCCAGGGACGGGGCTGAGACGGCCCTTCGGGCCGTCAAGCCCATTTTTAATTAAAAGCCAGGGACGGGGCTGAGACGGCCCTTCGGGCCGTCAAGCCCATTTTTAATTAAAAGCCAGGGACGGGGCTGAGACGGCCCTTCGGGCCGTCAAGCCCATTTTTAATTAAAAGCCAGGGACGGGGCTGAGACGGCCCTTCGGGCCGTCAAGCCCATTTTTAATTAAAAGCCAGGGACGGGGCTGAGACGGCCCTTCGGGCCGTCAAGCCCATTTTTAATTAAAAGCCAGGGACGGGGCTGAGACGGCCCTTCGGGCCGTCAAGCCCATTTTTAATTAAAAGCCAGGGACGGGGCTGAGACGGCCCTTCGGGCCGTCAAGCCCATTTTTAATTAAAAGCCAGGGACGGGGCTGAGACGGCCCTTCGGGCCGTCAAGCCCATTTTTAATTAAAAGCCAGGGACGGGGCTGAGACGGCCCTTCGGGCCGTCAAGCCCATTTTTAATTAAAAGCCAGGGACGGGGCTGAGACGGCCCTTCGGGCCGTCAAGCCCATTTTTAATTAAAAGCCAGGGACGGGGCTGAGACGGCCCTTCGGGCCGTCAAGCCCATTTTTAATTAAAAGCCAGGGACGGGGCTGAGACGGCCCTTCGGGCCGTCAAGCCCATTTTTAATTAAAAGCCAGGGACGGGGCTGAGACGGCCCTTCGGGCCGTCAAGCCCATTTTTAATTAAAAGCCAGGGACGGGGCTGAGACGGCCCTTCGGGCCGTCAAGCCCATTTTTAATTAAAAGCCAGGGACGGGGCTGAGACGGCCCTTCGGGCCGTCAAGCCCATTTTTAATTAAAAGCCAGGGACGGGGCTGAGACGGCCCTTCGGGCCGTCAAGCCCATTTTTAATTAAAAGCCAGGGACGGGGCTGAGACGGCCCTTCGGGCCGTCAAGCCCATTTTTAATTAAAAGCCAGGGACGGGGCTGAGACGGCCCTTCGGGCCGTCAAGCCCATTTTTAATTAAAAGCCAGGGACGGGGCTGAGACGGCCCTTCGGGCCGTCAAGCCCATTTTTAATTAAAAGCCAGGGACGGGGCTGAGACGGCCCTTCGGGCCGTCAAGCCCATTTTTAATTAAAAGCCAGGGACGGGGCTGAGACGGCCCTTCGGGCCGTCAAGCCCATTTTTAATTAAAAGCCAGGGACGGGGCTGAGACGGCCCTTCGGGCCGTCAAGCCCATTTTTAATTAAAAGCCAGGGACGGGGCTGAGACGGCCCTTCGGGCCGTCAAGCCCATTTTTAATTAAAAGCCAGGGACGGGGCTGAGACGGCCCTTCGGGCCGTCAAGCCCATTTTTAATTAAAAGCCAGGGACGGGGCTGAGACGGCCCTTCGGGCCGTCAAGCCCATTTTTAATTAAAAAAAAAAATAATAAAAATTTTGAATTTTGATTTCTTCCATCATCTTGATGTTTTCAATCCGACAAAGTCCTCCAAGAGTCCTCCGTGTGATCACATGATATTTATCTCTTAATTTTAGAAAAAATTAAGGATTTAATTTACTTTAATTCAAAAATCTTCATTCTTCCAGCAAATTGCTGGTCTTCCAGCAATGAGCTAGAGGTCCTCCAGCTGATTCCTGATCGATCAGAAGTATGGTCACTAAATTTTTTTGTCTCAAAATGATCAGAATTTCAAGGCGCGTCGAACGAGACCTCCCACGGCTTTGTAACCCAATCCACTCGAAAAATAGATTTTTTGAGCTCTTTAGAGGGCGCTAGAATGGTGTCAGGTGGTTTTTTCAAAAAATTTTTTTCGGAAATATTAGTTTTTCATGTTGGGCAATCACGTCACCAAAAATTAAGTTTCTACGACCCCTAGAAAAAAAGCTGATTTTTTGTGCGTTTACCCTACTCATATGACTCTGGCCATCGCGAGCCAGGCGGCCTTCGTACTCTTTCTTTGGAAAAACAACTGAAGAATTGAGCTGATCGCGGAGGAACTTCTGCTCCAAAGCACGCTGAGCAATCACAGTATTCACTCCGCCTCTGATATTTGGTTCAATGAGATATGCTTATAAGCAAAACTGATTTTTTGTTGAACCAAAACTGTAGTAGGTAGAATAGAGAGTTAATTCAGGCTCCTCGACAAATTCGATGACATTGCTATCAGCAGAAGTGACCAAAAGCTTGATTTCAAGATCGTCACCGATTGAAAATTCTCTCGTAATGATTTCCAATTTCAAAGTCGAACGACTCTTATTCAAAAGTTCTCGTTGAATAATCGAGTAGTTCTTCATCATGTGATCTGTCATGTCTCGACTGTAATTTCCGCCAAAAGTGACTGCGCGCTCGAAGGACTCTCGTTCTTCTTCTGATCCTTCCCTTCAAAAAAAAAGCTCAAAAACCGCCCCTTAGTTTTTTTACTAACCTGAATTTGTATTGATCAGTCAAATCCTTTCTTGCGAAATTATCTCTTCCTTCCGCTTTCGTCGAAATATTGAAGCCAACTGCGTTTGTTCTTCTTTCAGTCAGTTCAATAATTTCGCCAAATTTATTCGTCATCCAAGTACATCTATCCGCATTGACCTCGCCAAAGAGGAACTTCGTGTCATAATTCACAAACGCTTGTCCTTCTCTCACAGCCTTTACTGGCGCAGGGCCACACTGACTGACACCGTTTGATTCTTCTTGCGGCGTTGCGTCTACTGCTTGCCAGCCGTCGTAGCCCATGCTTTTCGGGATGTCTGGTCGCTGAAGCCAGCACTCGTTCCAGACGTGAAAGTTCCAGACGGAGTCAGAGCTCCACTTCAAATCCTTGCCGGATTCATCGATGAAGACATCAATCGTCATCGTGTCATCCCCATCGTGGGCAGAAGCAAAATTGGTAACAGACCTTGCTGGAATCCCAACTGCTCTAAGAAGAGTCGTCAAAAGTCCAGAGAAGACCCAGCACTGTCCATATTTAACCGGTCTGTATCCATTCTCGACGTATTGCTTGCAAATGTTGACCGATCCATTCCAAGCCGTTGGTGCTTTTCCACCATCGTACTCGCCCGACCAGTTGCCTTGAAGAACACCATCAAAGTTGCATGAATTAGCATTTGAGCTCAGCAATCGCACGATTTTGATCAGGTCTCTAAGCCAACTTCCACCAGACGCCTTTGCTGTTCGATGATCATTCGCAAGAAGATAGCAAACAAGATCAAGAACTGGCTCTTGAAATTGCCCGTAGATCCATTTCTTAGGACCGAAATTGTGAACACTCCCTCTCCAGATTGCGCCGACGTCGTTAAAGACATATTCATCCAGGAATTCGTCGCTGTTGTTGAATAGACCGACCCGGGGCTTGTCAAAGTGGCATCCGTCCAGTTCAGACATGGGATTAGCGATGATATAAATATTTGGCTGGGAAGAAGAAGAAATGCTGATGGAGTCGTCCACTAGAAGGCTTCTCAATGATAACTAAAAATGATGAAAACCAATGATTTTAAAACCTAGCCAAACCTTGACGGAGTACTTTCCAATAGCTGCTGTCGGAGGAACATTGACTTCGACCTCAATCGTTTCATCCTTCACTTCAAGCGTTCCTGTCCAGCCGAGTTTATCCAATTTTCCATCTTCCTTGCAATCGACAATGGCCATTGTGCCGTATTGAATAGCTGGAGCTTTGCCAGTTGAAAACTCGAGCCTGAGCGTATCTCCAGCCGAGTTGAACTCACGCGTGAACGTAACCTTGAGTTTTATCACTCCAGCGCGCCGCACGATCAGGTTTTTCTGCTCGTACATGTCTGTTCGGTGCTCTTTTCGATTTTCATCGACCAACCAGTCGACTGGATCCTGGAATTCACCTTCCTCGATTCCATCTGTTTCAGTTCCTCCAAGCTCGTTGTTGAATGGCTTCGCTATCTTCAGTTCCAAAGGCTTTGCTAAAAGCAAAACATGAAAACAGAACAGCTGATTATGGGCCCTCATAAAAGGAGGGCAATTAAGGTTTGCAGCTTGTAAGAGCCAAGTTATACAGGCTCCTAATCCCAGTTTTGGCTGAAATCTTTATAGCTGCTAAATCCTTTTGTCAGCAAAGAGAAAATAATTCCCAATTTTTAAAAAATTCAGGCTTGAAAAAGAAAAAAAAATGTCAAGAATTCAAGCAATAACAGACAGAATCGATTTTGAAAGCAGATTTCCGAAGAGACAGCTTCCTCTACTCACGAAAACCGACTCGTACTCGAGCACTTTCGATCTTTGCCCTTTGGTTTCACGACCAGAGACTCCTAATTGGAAGCAAGTCCAAATTCAAATCGAAAACACGCCACTTATTCAATCAAAACCGTAAGTAACAACCTCTGAGGGCATAAGTTATGCCAGCTTTGCTTAGTTAGGGTTAGGGTTAGGGCAAAATCTCGGATCCCTGTCTGAAGTCATCCATCAATTTCTGGCCTCCAGACAATTTGACGGTGATAAATAAACTGCGAAGTTTAATGATTTCTAAAAACCATTCATAAAAAAATGATGATGTATTTTTTTGCTTGGCAAGCTCAAGGGGTCGTTGAACCGTTTTTTCGATGATTGTTCGGAATTAAAAAAATCTTAATAAATCAAATGCCGCGGTAAATGAAATAATTAATTATACTGCTTCAGGGTAAAATTCACAATAGACATGCGGAGCGTTTGCGCTATCATTATTCTGGCCTCTACTTTGTATTCTCTCTATTATCTACTGTCGCTGGTGAATGGAGAGTCTCTCAACACGCATTGGTAAAGGAAGAAAATTATTTTCTTCTGACGTTTTACAAGAAAATTGACTTACAAGGCTTTTTCTTTTGAAATAAACCACAGAAACACTTCGACATGGTTGATATTTCTCTGCGTAAAAACGACTCTTGGTATTTCGTTAATCTAGAACAGCTCCGACCGCGACAACTCCTGAAGGGGTCTTCACTTTATGACCGAGTGATTGAACTCTGATGATAAAAGCGCCCTGGGGCACACAGGCCTCAGACTCATACGTAAGCAAGCAGCTAGAAATTCTTTGGTATTTGGAAGCTAGACAAAAGCGCTTTTGAATTTCAGAGGCTCACTTTCCGGCAGGTTAGACCAGGAGAAATGAAATGGCTGGGATCAGTATTGGCTTTTATTCAAATTTTATCATCCGCGTTAAATTAAATATTTTCCCAGCAAAGTCAAATGTGAAATTTTCGACTCTCATATTTAAAAAAAATATAGGTAAAAAATACACCGGTAAAGACATTTTAGAAAATATTTTTCTATTCAATAATTTATTGATTATTCATCTTCGTATTCTGTCCGCAAAAACTTATTCGGTCATCATAAAACGCTCATTTCAAAAAATAATGACATCAAAATTCTGAGACAATGAATCGTCTCGATGATTGATTATTTACTGGCCTAATTTTATGATTTTTCAGGACTCAGATTCTGATGAATGAGTTCAAAAATGTTTACGTTTTATTTTACCTGGTCTAATTTTAGGCAGATTGAGCTGAATGTCAGTTTGAGTGCACAAGCTATCTCTGTCTGAAGCAGGCTCAACCTGACCTTTCGAGCAAAGTTTATTTTTTGAACAGCTCGAACCCATTTTTTTATCCTTCTTTGTTGCGATTATTCTGAGTTCAAGATCTTGTTTGTTTTGAAAGACTGAGAAATTGAGAGCTGCCTGATACGAGGAGCAGTGCCGGGATCGTTAGGCTACGTAAGAGGATTGTATTACGATTATGCTGATTTTTAACTGTAAAAAATGCCGCTCAACGCCATTAAAATGAAATAGGCCAGCACTTTTACCATTTTTAGAAGCATTTTCTGTAAAAGGATAGAAAGTAACTAACGAAGAAAAGTAAATATATCAAAGCACATGTAAGATGTAACATGTAACATGTTCGATTGTAAAATAATTAAAGAAATAAAAATTCATTTTCTCGTCGACTGAACATAACATGACCACTTGTATTTCGACAAAGCTTCAAATTCAATTTTGAGATGAGCTCCTCAAGAGAGAACTTCTTTTACGGGTTTTCAATAGCTCTGATATTTTGTTGTATCGGAGGATTGGTATCTTAATTTGTTTTTTTTGAAAAGATAAATAAGGATAATTTTGAGATGAAAGAAACATCGGAAGATGTTTTTGCGAATTTTACATTAGCGAAATTTGTCGATGTCATTGCAGATGGAAAAGGTAACGGCCAAAAACCATCACTTCAATCAACGAATTAAGTTATCAGAGCTTTGATTGGGGAAGCTGAGCATTTCACCGGTGCCAAATTGTTTTGCGAAGCCAACAACGCCCAACTTCCTCATGAAAAACTTGACATTCTGAACAATAAAAGCCATAGTTATTGGATCGAGGTGGAGGTTGAAAATGAACTCCACGACCCGCAGCTTTTGGAGGCTTTGGAACATTTCAAGAAAATTTCGGCGCACAGCAACGCTGCTGTTTCTATCATAATGGAATTTTCTTCGCAGTTAGCGCTTCCAGAAAAAAGACGCTCGACTTGCATCTACCTCCACCACATGGAACTTCAAGACTCAATCTTTGGTGACTTTGATCGAAGGATCGATGATCACCAGGTAAACTAGACACCATAAAAATCGGAAAATGAAATTATTTATTAGTTTGTTTGCAAAACCGATGTTTTCGACGATAAAAATCGAGTAAAAATCATCAACGACTACAAAGTAAACTGTGATCTTCTTCAAATCAATGCGACTTTCTTGGATCAGTACCGACTATGGGACTTTTCTCAAAGGGATGAGACTTGGGTGATTGTTAACAAAAAGCTATCAGGAGAGTTTCACAACGACAGTATCATCTCTGTCATCTCTAGACAAATCGGATATGAGATAGAAGAAGATCTCGTAAATAAAACTGGCTTTCCTTGGTGCGAAGGCCAGCCAGACCAACCTCAAGGTATCTTTTGGGCTTATGATCAGTTTGTCGTTGTGGACAACGCTTCAAAATTTAATCGGTTAACCTGCCATTTCGAATAATATTTATTTTGCAAAATAATATTTAGGAAATTTCTCTGCCTTCCAGACTGATGCAGTCGATTATCCCGCATTCAGCTCTTCGCAAAAATAAAGCTACACCATCATACTGCTCCTTTAATTTCGACAAATACAGTCTTAATATTTTCACGCGTTATATATTTCAGCCTTCAATGAAGCCCCTCATATTGTTGCCGTTATCAATATGTCGAATATATAGAACGCTAGTTTGGCGAACTCGCCATGGAAAATGTATTGACATGTCTTTTTTTCAACTCGAGTAAATAAAGCATGTCTTCATTTTTCAGTTACATTTTTGAGAAAGAAGTTCTTCGATTAAATCAAATAAAAATGGGTCTTTCTTCGACAAGCATCATCTATGGTTTTTTAATATCGATCATTTTTTGCTGTAGCGCTGGATTGGTATCTTTTACTGCTTATCAACACTTAATTGCGAAGAACCAAGAACTGAGAGAAACTGAGGATATGTTTGCCAATTTTTCAATAACGAAAAAATTTCAAGTATCGATTTCTGGCAAAGGTAACTTTATTAATTTATTCGAAAAACTTATTTTTTGAAGAAATAAGCGCTTTAATTGGAGAGGCTGAAACTTACGATGAAGCGAAACTCTTCTGCGAATCAAAAAATGCTCACATTCCGACTGAAAAACTTGAATTTCCGAACAACACAAGCCATGATTATTGGATCGAAGTTGATGATAAAAATGAAGTTCGTGATCCTCAGCTCTTGGAGGCAATGGAATTATTTGAAAAAGTTTCGTCGCATGAAAATGTTACTGTTTCGCTCATGACTAACAAGAATTGTCTTTTTGTGATTGACAATATTCAGCCATTAATATGGAAAAACTTTGACCAAGAAAAACTCAATCACCAGGTACATAATAAGCCATAGATCAACTGTTCTAATAAGCGTTCTTTTGCTCAGTATATTTGCGAAAAGGACGTTTTTGACGATCAGAATCGAGTAAAGATCATCAACGACTACAAAGTCGACTGTAAGCTCTTACAACTTAATTCAACATTCCTGGAGGAACATCAGCTTTGGGACTATCAGTTCGAAAACAAGACTTGGATAACAGAAAATAGAAAACTTTACATATCTCCTGTTCTTTCCGCTCCTTTTTCGAAACAAATTGGATATGAGTTTGATAAAAATCTCCACAATTTAACTGGATTTCCTTGGTGCCCCGGTCAACCTGCTCAGCCGCAGGGAATCTTATGGTCAACCTTTGAATTTCTCGTTGTCGATGGAACCTCACATGCTAAGTGGTAAACAAAAATAGCAATGAACTTCATATAACAAATTTTAGGCCATTCCTGTGCATCCCAAACTAAAATGGATCGACTCTACTGTTTAAACCTTTGACTGAGAATCATTCATTTCTATTTTAATATTGACAACAGTAAGATAAGCCAATACCCCCGATAATCATTACTCTTCTTATCAATATTATGTTTATAATATGTAAGATTTGTAATATTTCTTGTTCACTAAGCATGATAAACGAACATGAAGACAACATAAGCAGTTTCATGTGGATTCTTCGTTGAGTAAGCATTTCGAAATGAGAGCATCTCGAGAGAGCATTGTTTATGGCTTTTGCATTTCGTTCATTTTTTGTTGCAGCATTGGATTGATGTCTTTCACTGCTTATGAAAAGATAACAGCGGCGAGTTCTAAGATGAAAGAACTCGCAGAGGATATTTTTTCCACTTTTCCAATTTCAACAACCGTCCGTGTCATCGTTTCGGGGAAAGGTACCGTCGCCAGTGAGCTAAGAAACTACTATAATCTTAAGAAACGAGAGCTCTTATTGGAGAAACAATGCATATAAAAGAGGCAAAAGTGTTTTGCGAAGAAAACAATGCACACTTTCCGCATGAAATTGTTGAATTTCCAAACAATATAAGGCATGATTACTGGATTGAGGTTGCTGATGAAAATTTGGTCAAAGATTCAAGACTATTAGAAGCATTAAAACGGCTCAAGGAGATTTCAATGCATGATAACGCGACAGTTTCAATTAGTGTTGCGCAGTGGTATGAGTCAAAAGATGATACTTGTATCTATCTTGAGGAAAATATCAATTCCAAATATTCTAGTTTTGATATTAGACGAAACGATCATCAGGTATATTACAGGTAATTTGCAAAGATCGTTTAATTTTTATTCCAAAAGTATGTCTGTAAAAATGATGTATTCGACGATGAAAATCGAGTGAAAATCGTCAACGATTATAAGGTGAATTGCGAGCAGTTGAAAATCAACTCGACTTTCTTCGAAGAATTCCATCTCTGGAATTATCTTTATGAGAACAAAACATGGATAGTGGACAACAGAAAACTCCTCGGAGAATTTCACAATAACGGTATTATTTCGGTTCGATCGAGACAGATTGGTTACCAGTTCGAAGAAGATCTCCCCAATAAATCTGGTTTTCCTTGGTGCCAAGGACAACCGGACACGCCGCAGGGAATAATGTGGTCCGATGGTGAATTCATTGTTGTTCATGGAAGCTCAAAAGCTGATCGGTATGAAACATGAATTTTCTAAGTTAAGATTTTATTCAGAAAATTTCTTTGCATTCGTGACTGAAGGAAGAGTCTTCTTATTCCTCGTGATAACTGTTAATAAAGCACTGATCCTTACCATTTTCATACTTGAATCAAGGTTCTTGATTTCTTCGTTACGTCAAAGTTTCTTCTTGTACAAGGTTGCATAAGAAAACATTTTCATCGATGGATTTTATGAACAACGCTTCTAAACATTTTGATTGTTCATGTTGTTAACATGTACAGTGTACATCGTACACCTTTCGATATGTTTGGCATTCTTCAACTTCTTTTTACATTTCCAAATCACTTGGCATTTAGGTTTTGCCGAGCAGAGAATGATTTTAAAAAATAATCTCACCTCGTTCATTTTTCTTTTTACAATCACCGCGTCCCTGTAAGAGTTTTATCCAAACTGAGCCTAAATCTTTCTAGCGTCTTTGTGATTTTACAATTCATTCTTCCAGAAAAACTATCAATTTACGACGGTGAAGACCCATTCGCATTTTTCTTTCGACCGTAAGATTTATCACCAAGAAAATGACGATGAGACAGAATTTTTTCAGTAATAGTCGCAAGTTGACACAAAGACGGATTAAGAAGATTGAAGAGGATCTCAAAATTTATATTGATGGAAAAGGAAAGTTATAGAAAAGAAGTTGCTTATGGCGGAATAAAATATCTCTCTAGTGGTTCAAGGAAGGCATCACCAGGAAAAAGTTCAGTACAATGAAGCCAAAGCAATTTGCGAGGCAGAAAATGCCACACTTCCATACTCGCCCTTCAGAGTTATCGAAAGTGATCATTCCTACGGATCGATTTTCTGGGTCCACGAAAACGAAGAGTCAAGAGCAGCATCTGAAGATAATAACAGGAAAAATCTGAGCGTCGAGTATGTAGGAGGAGGAGTAACCAAATGCGCAATTTTACGTAAGTTTTCCACTGAAAAAGTTGTCTATAAATCATTAAATCAGGTTCGGACCTGGCGAATCCTAATGTTCCTGATGCATTTATCTGTGCAGACGAAATTTACGACGAGCTTGGGCGGATAATAATTCAGAAAAATCTAACGATTGGATGCCCGATTTTAAAACTGACATTTTCTTTTCTTCGTGAACAGAAAATTGACAATGGATATTATGGAGAACATGTCATAATTCGAAACCTCTCTAACAAAAAAACTCCTATTACATCGTATGAAAGGGTCATCATTCTTTCTTTTACAGCTTTTTAGAATTATGAGTGGGTTCACAAGAGCGGATTATTCTAAAAAAGAAACTGGGATAAAATGGTGCAGGTAAATTATTTGAAATTTTCTTACAACAAACTTCTTTCTTACCGTGTTTAGCGGACAACCAGTTGAGCTCACTCCGGGCAGAAGAATGAGAGAGCTCGACCATCAAATAATAGGCGGCTATTCTTATTCTACGTGAGGTCTTTTATAATTATCATTCATAAATAATATTTAAAGGGCCGCGACTTTATGCTTACCGAAAAATTACCAGAGCCTGAACAGTTCTTTTACTGAGCTAGAATGAAATAAAATTTGATGAACTTCAAGATATAAACCTTTTCCCCTTCTTGTTTTTCTTTTAATAACTGAAAGTGGCAAACCTCGATGACGCTGATTTCCCTAATCCATAGGGGCACGTTTCACTTTTAGACTGGCGACCGAAATTAAGGGTACATGCTTCAATATAAAATCGACAGGCGTTTATCACTTGAGGGTGCACTGAAGCTGCATCATGTCAAACAGCAAACCTTTTGGCGTGCGGAGTGTGCCCGAATCGATTTCCATCTTTAAATAAATATTGCTTCACACTTACTTTTTTCAGATAAGTTTTTTTTTATTTTTGCTAAAGAGAAAGATTGAAGGATGAACTCACAAGTAAGTTTATAGCTTTTCCGTGCTTGAATTACAGTTTCTTGCAGTATATGCCCGAAGGTGCGTATGGAGGAGGACTAGGAGGCGATGCTTTTGACCCTTTTGCTTATATTCACAAACCAAGAACTTGGGTCAGGTAGGCCTCCAAAAAACCCCTGGAAAAATACAGGCTTTTCAGAGCACTATGTGTTGGCATATCCTTATTTCTCACAATCAGCTCATCAAAAACTATCCACGAAGAAGGATGTGCCTTTGGACCAACAAGCAGTCTTTGCTCCGCAATGAAATTCTTCTCTGTCTTCGGTTCGTTATTTTATTGAGATTTTTAAGAAAGTGAATTTAAGCACTGCTGCTTTCTATTTTGCTAATTGTGCTCGACGTTTTCTTCAATAAAATAACTTCTGTATCAAAGAGGAAAAAGGCTATTCTTGCTGAAGGAGGGCTGACTGGTGGATTGGTGTTTTCTTTCTTTATGACTTTCTTGTAAGACTCTTGAAAGACCATAATGTCATTTTGCATTAAAAATTTTTGTATATTTAACTTGATAAATAAGCGATAACAAACTATCAATTTTAGGATTGATATTGTCGACTACGTCATGACGTCCTTTTAATTCAACTCTATTTCAGTATATGCGCGATCCGATGGGCTGCCATGGACGAAAACCCGCCAAATACATCAGCAGTGAACTCATCTTTATTCCTCCTTTTCCTCGCCGTTGCCGCCTGGGGATCATCTGGCTTTTTCGTGTAAGTCTTTAGTTGACCAGCGATTCATTTCTATAGCCAATAGTAGCAGCTCTTGAAAAGTCAATGCTGCTACTTGCTTGCTGCAAGTTTAATATTTTGAAAGCTTAATCATCTTTTCGCCGAAGATCGATTTGGTGACAGGTTTTTAGCTACGAGAATTACAAAGAAGGTGTTCAAATTAATTTTGCCAATGGCTACATTGATCCAGATCAGGGAATTCCAAATCAATTCACGCCAAACCAGGTAGATCGAACCCGTCTCTGGCAAAAGGTCAATGCTACCCATTTCAGGATGGAACTGATGGAATTCTAGACGGGCCAGAGGACAGCTATCAAACGCAACAGAATCAGCAGGAACAGTATCTAAGACTAGATGAATAGAAGATTTTGGTTCGCTATATATACTTATTCTCCATCATATCATCAATAAATTTATACTATTCTACGACTATTGAGTCTGCTGTGGCCAAGAAATCAATAGAAACTATGCACATGTATAGGTCAAAGATAAGAAATATGGCAGTATCTTGCTTTTATTCGATCCGAGAGGCACAAGTCTTGTACAGTCATTATAGAAAATAGTCTGGTCGACGGTAATACTAGTTGGCTAGTTGAACTGGCTTTCTTGGTTGTTGAATGTTGCACTAGAAAAGGGAAATTTTGGTCATTTATTATTTATTCAAAATCCGCACTAAGAGAAATTTTTGAACATTCATTCTAAGAAAACTTACACTGGAGGTCTTGAAAATGTGTCTGGCATATCCCAAGGTCGAATCGCATCTTCATAAGGCTTAAATATGATGTTACTCATCAATTATTTGACGACATCCTTACTCGATAGGCAGTAGAGTTGGTGTACGGATTCTGGAATGCTTCGGGATAAGATGAGCTTGGTGGCCAAGACTAAGGAAAAATTGTTAGTCTTCGTTGTTTTCAATAATTTTCGATCTCACTTGTGGAACTGGCTGCGCCCAAGATGGCGTAATCTGCGCTGGCTGAGGATGAGCTGTCTCGACATTTGACTTATTTGGGAGCGGGTCATCTGGCTGTTCGGTTTTGACTTCGTCAGTGGGAGTTACAGTGTTGCTCGCTGGAGTGGCCCCTTGGGACGCTTCTCCGTTGATCCCTGCCAAAGAGTTGGATACTTGAGATGGGGAAAGCGCTTCGGTTTTGACATTTTCGGCCTTTTCGGATTTCACGCTGTTTTCTCCGTTCTGATAAATTGAAATCAATTCCTTCTTTCAAGAAAAAAAAACTGACCTGTTCGTCGCCAGAAAGATCGGGATCGGACTTGTCATCGTGCTCCATGCTTCCGTCCTTGTTAGTTTTGCATTGTTGCTCCCTTTTGTACTTCATTCTTCTGTTCTGGAACCAGACTTTTACTTGTCTTTCTGTCAGATCAAGCATTGAGGCTATTTCGATTCTCCTCGGCCTAAAGATGCGTTTTACTGATTTGTAGAAGGATTTTTATCAAGTTAAAAATCTTTGAATCCGGGAGCGCTGATAAAGACCTCAGATAATAGCTTGTAATGATCGATAAGGGATCACTTCCTGCAGCTGGACCACTAGAAGTACCAAAGATCACATGGATCATATAAAAGAAAAATGATTTTTCTGGCAATCACTTTTCCGTTTTAAGTTATAACTTATAACTAAGATGTCAATGGATAAAATGAAACAAGAATCAACAAGATTTTTGGTTTAATAATCAAAAAGCAGATTATCAACCCTGAGATGTTATTTATTGACCTCATGTACTGTCTCAGAGTACTGACTCCTGCTCCAAGCCTCCTTCTCTTTATAAATAAAAGGATTAAACCACAGACTTCCGGAAATTCCGGACCGGAATAAACGTGTCTAGATCAATCAAGCGCTAATATCTCCCTTCTGGAGTGATTAAGGTGGGTTCATTTCAGCGCAAGACGTGAAGGCATTACTCGTGATTACTTGTGAATGAGTTTTTAATCACAACGGGTCATTTTTTGCGATTTGAAGGTCCTAGCCACCTCAAACGAGCTCGCCTAATTGAGCTCACTTTGATTTATTATCATTCTAGCGCCGCACTATTCACCATTAGAGGCGATTATTACGCAACCAAAACTCCCAAATAAACTTACCTGCAAAGATATTTGTTGAAGTGAAACTCTTTTTCGAGCTCTATCAGTTGCGTATTCGTGTAAGCAGTTCGCAGTCGTCTCGATCCTGGTGCCTTCGTTCCTAAAAGAATAGTTGAAAAAAAGCGATAAATTGATGATTTCATGTTTGGAGCTAGATTTTCTTTGAAACAAGCATTGATTTTTAGTTCCAACAAAGGCGGAACAATAATTTTATGGAATAAACCTACCAGTAGATGGCCATTTTTCTTATAAAAAACAGCCTTAAAAATTGTGAGCACAAAATATTTCGATTACAAAATGGCTGCTTATAGCTGACCACTATTAACTACAAAAAAGTGATTTTCAATTTTAATGTTATTTATGATTTATCATATTTCAATAAAAAAAATTGAAAGTACAGTATTTCTCGTAAGGCTTATATTGAATGAAAAAATAAAAGTGTTGTTTTTTTTTTATTTCTCAGTTTGCGCTACTGAAGCAATCCACTTGACATCTTGACCCATGATTCTCGGTTAGGTACGGTTGTGGCACTCAAGGGTGCGCCGGGCTCAGGCCGCTTTTTATCTCTGCTAACGAGCTTCTCCCTAAGTGTATCGGCATTCCATGGGCGCGGATGTGGCGGCTAAAATTACAGCTTTCAAGCGAAGATTTCGCATTTTCGCTAGAACGGCGGCAACAGAGCACCGCCTGGCCTCGCTCCTCATTCAATTGCAGCCGCGCTCGTTGGCGACGGGATGGAAAAACTCGTTACCACAAGTGGATAATCGACAGGCAGCCCTGGCCCCGGCTCGATCTTTCTGAACCTATACCAGCGCCTAAGTGCCAGTTAGCAATGTAGGCCAACGGAGAAAATGAGGAGGACGCTTCAAAAAGAAAGAAAAAAAGCTCTTTTGACATTTGCCCTTCAAGAATCTAAAAAGTCCCGAGCGAGAAGCCGCTTGCGGCTTCGAGTAAAGAAAATATTGAGCCGCGCAAAGCGCGGCTTTTCGTTAATTCTTTGCTCGAAGCCGCAAGCGGCTTCTCGGTTTTCTAGAGCCTTTTTTGACAAGTAAACTCGACGGAAAAAAGTTAACTTTCAAAAAGAATTTGATTGAAAAATTTCTTAGAAATTTTTTTCTTTGCTTTCGAATATTAGAAATCGTCGTTTTTTTCTTTCGGTGGTCGTGACCGCACTGTCGGGGGAAAATTAGTTTCTGGATTTGGTGGTGGCGGTGGGACAGAGTGTCGCACGCCTCGCCGGCACCAACATCTCTTTAGTCTATTAATATTTAATTTTACGCATTTTTGTCAAGCGCATTCAGGCGAAGATACTACAGAACAAAAAAACTCGTGTTTAAATTAACCTTGACGCGAGATTTGGTGTTCTGAGCTCTCTCTCTCGCCGTTCCGCTCTTTTCGAAAATGATGTTTTAGTAATTAGAACAGGTGCATTCGGGCACAGAGGCAGAGAGGCACAAATGTTTGGAAATATTTGGCCAGCTCTGCGGCGGAACTTTGATGAATTCAGCTTTTTTCGACTGAGAATTATTTTTAGACAAAGTTAAAAAAAAGTCAAACAGGTATAGAAATTTAATGAGTGTTTTATTTCAATATTTTTTTGATAAGAAAACTTGCCCAGGGTATTTGGATAGTAGACCATACAACTCAAATTTTTGTTTTCATTTTGTAAATCGTTATTTGTCAGAAAATCAGCAAATACATCTCTACAATGTTAAGCATATAAGGCAAAATCATTTTATTTTTCGATAAAATCATCCCTTAGATGCGTCTTTTATTCACGAAAATAGCGCCATCTTGCATAAAATTACTGTTCCGCTTTCATTGATTACCAAAGTCGATAGTATCGAGAGAAGTAAGGAACTGTCTATACCGTAAAATTCAAGCCCTAAATTGATTCCCAGAAAAAAATTTGATGAATTCAGCTCTTCTTCAATTGAGAATTATTTAAGACAAAGTCAAAAAGCATCAAAACTACGAAATATATTGAAGATATTTTATTTCAAACGAATTTCTTGGAAAAAGGGAGGCTCAAGTGTATAACAAACTCTTTTGCTTCATTTTTGAAGCTTTTTTCTGAAATTGGATTCATCGACTAGCTTGAGTTAATTCATTTTGTGTTTTAGTGAAAGAACTCCTCAAAGGCGTCTTTTATTTGCAAAAATAGCGCCATCTTGCATAAAATTATTGTTCTGCCTCTATTGGTTACCAGAATCGATATAAAAGGCAATAAGAGTGTCGTTAACCATAAAATTGAAGCCCTAAAGTGATTCCCAGAAAAAATTGTTTCTTTTTACAAACTTAGAACCTTAAAAATTCCAATAATTTGTGACTCTAGGGCTCTGAATCGATGTATAATTGGTTGGAACACTGATAATCACCTGCTGACTGGGGAATACTAGAGTTAGATCATTACACGTAGCAAACGAGAGTTTAATTTTCTCTTCAATTATTACCGAGCTCCAACGGTCAAGTAATTTCTATAAAGAGGCCATTTGCCGATTATGACACAAATTTCGCTCGTTAGAAACTTAACGAACTCCTGATGAAGCACAACTATCCAAACTCATCACAAGAACTCATTAGACTCCGCTCTCACGATTCTGCTGATATCAAAGAAGAGAATTACGCTTCCTTCTTTTCGAGGTGGATTTTTAATGGTCTTGCTTTTAATGAGAACCCCCGTGGATGAGCTCTTAATTCCTTCCCAGTTCAACTTAGCGCATCTGTCCCTCATTAGGTAGGAGTGCGATACAGCTCAGAGGGTATTTAACGTGGGAAAGTGATGTAAAGTTTGGTTGATTTCTTCCGAGATTTTGAACGCTAATGAGAGCGCTAATTGCACTATCCACGAGTGAGAGTGGCAGAGCTGATTATGTTAATCACATTACGTTGCGCTAATTAGTTCAATGCTTGTTTCCGGCACTGGATAATTAAAGAATGCTTCGAGGATCAGAAGATAAGCAAATCTTTTGTCTAAAAATATCCAACTTACTTGGTTTTTGGTCCCCAACTTTCTTCGGATCGCTCCACGGAGATAGCCCGTTATATAAATCTGGGGCTCCTGGAATCACAAAATTAATGTTTTATCGACTCATTTGTCATTTACCGGCATGAGTTTGCCCGTATGCATTTCCGAAAGGAGTGTTGAATGGCATGCCAGGGTAGGAGCCAGCAGAATGGGCGGCGTAGTTGTAGTAGTTGGAGAGGTGGGGCGAGATCTCAGAGGAAAGGGAGGAATAGTCGCCGGTTGTGGGGCCCAAAGATGAGTATGGGAAGCTCTTGAAGATAAATTTTGATTTTTCAGAAATCATATGTAAATTATTTTTGAGAAAAATGAATAATTATTTGCTCAGCAACAGTTGACTTTAATATAATAGGTTGTTTAATATCGAACCAATTCTGAATTTATTTTTCTACTAGATATGATTTCAATCTACCTTGCTATCATAATTGCCCGCTGCGGATCCATATGGCGGCCAAAAAGAACTCATTCCTGTAGAAGGAACGAGTGAAGAACTTGCTTGAGAATGTTGAGGCATTCCAGTCGTCGGTAAATTCAACGAGAGGCCACCAGTTGCTTCTGAAGAGGTTGGGAAGGATAGATTTGATTGAGGACTTTCAAGAAGAGGTTCGATTTTTCCAGGAGTGGGAATGACTGGCTGAGGAAGCTGAGAAGGTTGAGAGCTGGAGACGGATTGAGTGTAGTCGAAAGGATTGTGCGCGACGGGTAGACGCGGTTCGGAGGACATTCCGACCAAGTCTTCGGTCATCAGAGCGTTTTGGAGAATCCTTAAAAACAAAGTCAAACGTTGGCGCTATCGTTTATCTTCAAAACTCGCAAGAGCGTAAGTTACACTCGTGCTACCATGCCCGTCATATATACAAATGTGCATACGCGGGTCGCCAAGGTCGCCCAGGTCGTAAACAAATCAGATACCGCGCCTGACCCGGCCGCTAAACAAAATTTCCAGCAAAAAAAAACTTTCTTTCATATTTTGAAACTGAAGTGCTTGCTTTTGAAAAGTGGAAATTCCGCCGCCAGTGGAAGCGGCACACGAGCGGATATGCGCGCTTTTAATTGGAACTTGTGAGCACGCGGATGCGCGAAGATGGCGCTAAAGGAAGCTATGAATGGCCAATCAAATTTATTAGATAATAGTTAGAGTACTTTATATTAAATTTTGAAATTTCGTCATTGGGTAACTATTATTGCTATTGCTTCTTGGCTTTAAATTATTAACTCAATCTATAGCAAATTTATAAATTCCAAAAAGACATTATAAATAACAAAACTATGGTGCATTTCAAGACCGCGCTAAAACTGATGAGGCATTTTTAAATAAATAAAATATGAAATTATTGATTTACTTTAAGCATCTACTAAGAAAAATAGGAGCGGAAGTCAATTATGAGTAAAGAAGGTCTAATCGCTCTTTGGGGATGCCAGGTTCAGTCCAAAGGAGGTAAATGAGTTTTTAATTTTCAAAGCGCTCGTGCCCGCGAATACTTCAAGACTCATTAGGAAGGAACATGCTGACCCCGCTCGTAACATCTTTCAAAAAACGAAGCGTCTATTTAGAATGACAAGTAGAATTTTTAAGTTTATTTACCGAGCATTTTTCTTCCTTGATTTCACCTTCGATTTTTCTCTAAGAGTTTTAAAGACTATTAATTTCTCTATTTAAAATTTTGTTATAACTTCCGATAAGTTTTTTTCGATCTCTAGCTGTGGCGTTTTTTGCACGAGAGGGTTGATTATTTCCCTATCGAGCTCTCCAGATCGGCGCCGGGGGATTTTTTGGTGGTGAGGGACCCAGACTTTTTATGAATAAATTCACGGTGGTGGCGGCGGTGGAGGCCCTGTTGTGTTCGATTAATTTGATAATCACATGGGCCTGGCCCAGCGCGAAATTCAGATTTTCCGCCAAGTCGGAAGACCCTTTGAAAGACGCCTTCGTGAGATTCTAGCGTTTTATTATTCTTGACTGCCACCTATCATGTATTCTTTCTTTTGATATCTTCCAGAGAAAGGGATGATAATGAGCCTATGCTAACTTTACCTGTCAATAGTTTCTTCGACCTTTCAGTAGGTCGACTGTAGATTTTCAATTGTAGAATCTCTCACTTTCGAGTCAAAAACGTAAATTATCGATGGTATGTTTTTGTTTATTATTGTCAGGAATTCGGTCAATGCTAAAACGATGCAACAACAAGCAAGTTCCTGATTTCCATATTTTCGTTGCGGTATATTTTCTAGAATGCAGGTGGAGTACCAGCGCTGTGAGCTCCCGCTAGCCGGCGCTGTCCTTATTTTTTTTTCCTGCTTTTTCCGCGGTTGATTTTTGTTGAGCACCACTGGAATGCGGCGGTCCAAGGCAGCGGGGCGCTAATTAATCGAGAAAGACGAGCGATAATTAGCGCAGGGAATTTCATGCTCGACCAGAAGGTGAGATAAACCTTCCGGTTTCGGAACATTCTAGCGCGACTATGGTAATTTAAGCGGTTTCAAACTCTAATCATTTTCGTCTTTCAATTCTTTCGTTTGATTAAAATTTCAGTTTCCGCGTCTCTTGATTTTGATTGACGAAAATGTCGAAATTTGGCTTTGAGACAATTCACAATTGATCAGCGCGGCACTGGCTCTGGCCAGTATCGGGTACCCTTAACCTAAACAGTCTAAATCAAACATTTAATTACCGCTATTCTACCTCGATTATTCAACAAACTCCTCACGCGCTGACCGGGTGCCTAGCTGATACTTATGTATCTACCTTGACACAGATATGTCCACCTGAAGCCTAATTAGAGACTACTTTATTTCGAAAAAGAAAAAAACAGCGTTGCAAAATGGCGAGAGGTTACGACAGAGTCTTCAGCTTCGCGCCTCAAATGGGCAAATACCAAATCATGGTTTATATAATTGGTTATTTATCGTCTGTTTTTATTTATGGACCATTTTTATCCGCCGGAGTCTATTTCCAGGTAAAAAATATTTTCTTATTAGAGTTGATCGAGTCTTTAGTACACGCCGAAATTTAGATGCAAGACATTTTTTGATGATGGCAGTTCTAGTAAAGTCAGTTTTAATGATTCCCGATCGATAGAGCTTCTATCGAAGGTAGCGATACCTTCAAATACTCATTGTAAAATTCAAAGGAAAGGCGGAAATCCATTTTTTTTTTCTTGAAAAAAAGGAGTTTGAACAAGTTTTTATGCCTTCAAAAGCCACGAAAAACTAGAAACATGTGCGAACGACTCACTAAAAATCGACTCTGATTGCTTTGCCATTAATTCAACGAGTGAAGAAGCATGTACGGATTACGTGTTCGACTTGGAGCTGATCTATGATACGATTTCAATAGAAAATGACCTGGTCTGCAATCGAAGTTGGATAAATAAGTTTCTCACGACTTTGACAATGATTGGTTTGGTAATTGGGCCGACTCTTTCTGGTAAGCACAACTTTTAAAAATGAGCCTAATGACGATTTCAGGTATGGTTTCTGATAAGATTGGTCGATCATTGTGCATCATCCTTTTTTCATTCATCACGTTCGGCTTTGCTCTTACCTGCGGTTGTTTGGGCACATATCACTGGGGTGTCTTCGCAGTCTTTCGAACTTTATCAGTTATTGGCTCGGCTGGAGTTGGTGTCACATATTTCGTTTTGGTCATGGAAACGGTCGGCCCAAAGTTCCGACCGATATTGGGACTGCTCTTTATTTCTACAACGATTGGACTCGGAACGATTATGCTTACTTTCGTGATGATGTATTTGAAGAACTGGGAATATGCGCAGTTTTTCATGGCTTTTTCGGCGATTGTCGTTGGTTTTGCGACAAGAGTATGCAGCGAGACTCCGAGGTACTTAGAGATTTTTTATGATCAAGTAATAGAAAGTGTTTTTGAATATAACTACCCTTCAAAGTGATGAGTTCTTTGTACCAACTTGAGATCCTGGAATGTTATATTCACTACTAACCTGATTAACCCGATAACGCGAGTTTGAAATTATACGATAACGAGAGCGGGAGCACTTAGTGCACCCGGGCCATCTAGAACAATTTTAAGCAGAAAGAGAACAAAACTGCCTGTTTTCTCGGTCTGTAAGACGGCGTTTTCGCCGGAATTTTGAAAAATGCTCGGTCTAGAACTCTTGAGAACTCTATTTTGTGGGTAAAAAGGCGAAAAGAACGCCCGCTCTGTTGATGAATGTTATGTAACATTGAGTTCTCGAGACGATTTTCCAAAATTTTTCCCTTTTTCTTATAAAAAAGGGATTAAATAAAAAGTATGAAAATTTCTTAAAGTCAAACTAAGTGAAGAATAGGTATTAGAATCTAAGTTTTTTTGAATTTTTGGATTATCTTCAAAATTGAAGAAGATCACAATGCAACAACTAGCTCTGGGAGCACTTAGTGCTCCCGCTCTCGTTATCGGGTTAATAAAAATCTATATGCAAAAGAATTTGTTATATATTATAGTTTTTTCAAAATATTTCTAGATGGTTATACTCAGTGAAGAAAAATGAGCAAGCGCGAGAAGCTATTCAAAGAATGGCAAGATGGGATGGATACAGAATCTCGACAGATCAATTTGAGACTTTTGAAAAAAATATGGCAAGTTCATCATCTTCTCTTCTCTTGGTAAACCTCCTTTAGGAAGAGGATGATAAACAGGCCGCGAAAGAAATGGAACAGAACAAGAAGTCGATCAAAGATCTCATAGCCAGTCCCTTGATTCGAAAAATTACCATCATCCTGATGCTGAACCAGTTTGTCCGAGGAATCATCAACTACGGATTCTTATTCAACATCGGAAGCCTCAAAGGAAACATCTTCACCAACAACATTTTTAATAATTTTATGGGAATCCCTGCTTTCATCATCTGTGCTTGTCTCATAAACACGAGACTCGGCAGAATAGGAAATTTCATTTGGACTCTTTACGTAGCCGGGCTCTCTTCATTTCTTATGTAAGTTCTTTCGAGGAGGGATGAGCGTTACATAATTGTGGGAGTAGAGACTCGGTTGATTTATTTGATCGGGGGTTAATTTATCTTTTTAGCTTCTTTGGGCACCTATTCGAGTTACCTCTCTTGGTCAATATTTCTTCATATGTTGGCATGTTCGGTAAGTATAGTTATTACTTAAGGGGGGGTCGACGAGAATCGGGATTTCCGTGACCAGAAATGCGGGAAAACCTGAGCAGATAGGCAAAATCTGATTATACTGGTGGATAGAAAAGGGTTGAAAAAATCAGGCGGCGAAAACTAAAAAAAATTTTGACCAGAAAAAATCGGTCAAAAATCTCGTCAAAGTAGGGCCATTTTCGCGAAAATGCACTAATAATGGTCAATTTTTCTACAATTTTGCAAATTTTACCCCCTAAATCTAATTTTTATCAAATGATTTTAGGCTCAATAGATTCAGGAGAATCTGTAGATTCCAAAAATATAAGATTCATACCCAGACTATGGGTATAAGCGAAATTACGATCACGCCGGAAAAAATTCTCGTCGACCCCCCCCCTTAAGGACCCCCCCCGTCAACAATTTTCGAAAAATCTATTTTCGGAATTTTAAAATTTTGACCCCGGAAATGGATTCTACGGGTGAAAAAACGATTTTAGGCTTCATTTTTTGGGGGTCTATCTCGACTCTAACACCCTCAAAATCGCGTTTAAAAATTGGACTTTTTCACGAAAAATGATGAAAATGGCCTATTTTTGCTAGAAAATCAGATTTTTCTTGGTCAAAAATTGCTGCGAACAAGTTTATATGATGTTTTAAACTTCCAGGTACACTCAGAAGCCAAAATATGGCTGTTTTAAAATTTTCGATTTTTTGAGGAAAATTGTTGACGGGGGGGTCCTTAAACATGAAATTATATTAAAATATATCCTATCATTGATAGGCTATCACAGTAATGGCACTTCTATCGTGGTTAAGATAATTTAGTCATCGTTACAAATCATTTAAATTACTTATATAAAATAACAACAACGATTTTATGGTCTTCAAACAATATTAAAATATTCTAGCATCTACCGCTGCAACATCAGTAGGCTACGTCTACACCGCCGAAGTCTACTCTACAGACGTCAGAAACGTCGGAGTTGGATGCTGCTCGAGTATGGCCATGTTTGGTGCTCTTGTGTCCCCGTCCCTTGCTATTGTTGAAGATTATGTCTGGTGGTTTCCTCCTCTTTTTAATGGGCTTATTGGTAAGCTTGAAAATCAAACCCGCTAATAGCTCTGCACTTGAAGCTGTTATTGCCGGTTCCCTGTCGTTCTTGCTCCCTGAGACTATTGGCAAACCGATGACCACGACGACTGAAGAATTCATAGCGCTCTACGGAAAGCAATCGCCACCATCAATAGTCGAAAAAGACAAAAAGAAGGATGATCATCCAGTTCAAAACGGAAGCACCCCACATGAAGCGTTGGAGAATCCGAGCTTCAAAGATTCCGAACTTTAGGAGAATATTTATCTTGTGCTCTTTTTCACGAGCAACTTTTTACTGCGCGAATAAAAAATAGAAAGATCTTGTGAATTGGAAAATTCTCGGGAGAGACGGTTCGCGATTTTTATGAAGGCAGGTGGAGGGTGTGCCAAAAAGGGCGTTTTTTCTTCCCATTTCTGAGTTAATTTCCGCTCCCGAGTTTTAAAGAGAAAATTTCTACTAGAAAAAATCATCATGGATATTGGTAGACTTTTATCAGCTGTTTCCGAAGGTAAATCAACCGCAAACGATCAATTATCAATGAATCCTAAAAATTCTAGAGCTCGAGGCAATTCAACTCCGAGACTCAAGCGAGTACAAGCCGAAATACGCCAGATACATGTCGGAAATAGCACTTTTAGAGATATTTCCATAAAAAGAAGTGTTATTTTGAGTTAGACGAGATCGTTGCCAATTCCCGGACATGGCGCACACGCGAGCCCGAGTTTGTTCAGAACACGAACAATCCCATCCGACGAATTGTCGACAACATGCGTGTCGTTCCAAACGAGAAGTACCCAATGATCCCGCTCTCTATCGGTGACCCCGCGGTGTATGGCAACTTCGATCCCTCCCCAATCGCCGTTCAAGCTGTCAAAGACGTTCTTGACAACAACAAAGACAACGGCTACGGCCCAGCAGTCGGAATACCGCTGGCGAGAAAATCCATCGCAGAGTATCTGAAGCCTTTCTTCACTTACGAACCTGATGTGAACAATATTTCCTTGGCGAATGGAGCTTCCGGAGCGCTTGAATTCGCTATCACTTGTATTGCTGAACGAGGAGACAACATTCTTCTGCCAAGGTAAGTCAATAAGGAGTGGATTTTGGAGTTATCCCGTTCTCTTTCAAAATTTTTTGCAGCAAAATGAAGACTTTGAAATTACTAGTGAGGAAATTTATTGTTGGGTAAAAGGCCAAAATGTGAGTCTAAAAGTGTGGCAGTGGGTGAAAAATCTAGATCAGTCTCATGAACAGATTCGTAACGTCTATCGCAGGAGGTGCCTCTTGTTGTTGTTGTTCTTGTGGGACGGGCTGCTCTTGTCGGGCGGGTTGCCCTGCTTGTTGACGACGAAGAAACTCAGCGTATGCTCGTTGATCCCGTTCAAGGAGTCTTCAAAAGACAGTTTTCTACTGGAGAAGTTTTCGCCTTACCTTTGAGCGCTTCCGAACTCATTGGTTCCTCTGATAGCTTCTCGTCTTTGAAACCGGCGCATCATTTCTGGGTATCGAAATGCTCCTCCAAGATTTAGCCAAAGCTGAGCGATTGGGCAAACGCGATACTTCAAGTAGTCGTCAGCTGTTAGAAGGCCGCTTCTTCGGAATATCTTCATTGCTTCCACGTGGTCACGGACTAAAGCTTTCATTTTTTCCTTTATTTGGGCTTCTGATGACTCTCTAATGAGTTTCTGGATCTTTCGAACAGAAACAAATCCTCGGTTGTTCAGAAACGCTCGTCGACATTCGCGGCCTAGACGAAACCGGCGATGTGTGATGTTGTATTTCGACTTGACTTCCTTTACTGAAAAAATCGGATAATTATTGAGCATACAATTTTAAATTTACTTACGATTATCGACGGCAAAGCAGCAACATATTAAAATTTCGTGGAGACGGCGATTTTCGCGAGCATATCTATCGAGCGTGAACGCTTGCATTTCTCAAAATTTCCAACTTTCAATTTTTATCTGAATTTTTATTTGAATGAGAACTTTGATGGAAATTTGATTCTGAGTAGCCTAAAAATCTAGAGAGTTAATTTCAGTGCGTCTGGAAAATCCCGTTTTTTCATTTGAAGAAAAAATGGCTCGATTCCCTAAAACAAGGAAAACGCTTTTTCTCACTAATTTCCTAATTTTAGACCTGGATTCCCACTTTACTCAGTTCTTGCCGAAGCTCAAGGGATCAAATGCAAATACTACGATCTCGATCCTAACCGGGTAAAGAAAATAACGCATTGCGATATCAAATTTATTCTGAGTAGGATTGGGCAGTCGACTACGACAGTCTCGAAAACGCCATCGATGAGAAAACATGCGCCGTCATCTTCATCAATCCTTCCAACCCAACTGGCGCCGTTTTCAAGCAAAATCACATGGAGCGCCTGGTCGAGCTTTGCGAACAGTACAAGATTCCAATCATCGCCGATGAAATCTACGCTGGAATGACATTCCACGACTCTCCTTTTGTTTCCTTTTGCCAGGTTGCTAAGAGGATTCCCGTCATTCATGTTGGCGGTCTTGCTAAACGATTCCTTGTCCCAGGTAAAAGAGAGGAAAGTAAAGTTCATGGATTGACGGTGCTTTAGGCTGGAGAATCGGATGGTGTGTGGTCCACGATCCGATGAGCATTTTCAAAGGAAGATTGACGACCGGGATTAAAAAGCTCGCCACACGCCTTGTTGGTCCAAATAAGCTTATTCAAGTACAGTAAATAGTTGATTTTTATGTTTATGTCCTCCTAAGGCGGCGATTCCGAAAATTCTATCCATCCCCGTCTCCTGGCACAACGAACAAAATACGAAACTTGAAGAAGCTGCAGATCTCTTCTACGATGGAATCATGCAAGCTCCAGGACTCATCCCAATCATGCCGTCGGGAGCGATGTACATGATGGTCAAGATTGATTTCTCCCGACTGGAGAATTTCTCCGACGACATGCATTTCTGCCAGACACTAGTGTCGGAAAAATCCGTGTTTGTCCTCCCTGGAAGCTGCTTCGGCTTCCCAAACTTTTTCGAGTCGTTATTACGATCCCCAAGGTAATTTTTCTCCAATCTCGTCTCTTTTCAATAATTTTTGTAGGAAAAAATTCCAGAAGCTTGTCAACGAATCGTCGACTTTTGCAACGATAATGTGAAAACTGAAAGAAAGAGTAGTCTGAGAAGAACATCAGAACTTCTTGCTGGCGGTTCCGCTAATCTTTGATACTTCTGCTTTGAATTAAGAATCGCTTATTTTGAAACGAAAGCAAATAAAGACAATATCATTATAAAAAATATTTAATTTCATTTACTCTGACGACGAGAAAAGAAGATACACTGTCATTTCACATGCATGATCACTGGTCATTGATCAGTTTAATTCTCGATCGTGTTGAACCAAGGCGCAGCAATGGCAGAACAAGATGATCATAATATCGCTTATAAAAAAATTTGATCCTATTATTTGCAATTATTATTACAAACAATTATTATTATTGCATTATTCACTCACCTCAATTTAGTTCCTTCGATACTATGTTTCTCTCGAATAGCAACCCTTTGCTTCCAGGCGATATAATTTGGAAGCTAAAAAAATCTTCTTGGAAGATAATGAATTTGATCGTACGAGAATTGATGTCAAGAAGCAGATAGTAGCGAGGATAGCACTCCAGATTGGAAATTTTGGTGCAGCTTTGACCATGTTCGGGTCGGCGAGGAGTGTAGCGCCTTTGTTAAAAGCATACTTCCAAATTGAAAAACTGAAGTACCCACAACCCTTAAGTTTTTAATAATATCATAAAGTCAAAAATACAAACGCCCAAAGGAAGGTAGTAAGCACCAACATAAAGAAGACAACAAAGACATGAGTTGCCTTCTTTCAGTCCATCTTGGATTGACTGAATGACGCAGCAAGGAAAGAACATTGCTTGACAAGAAGTGCCGCATCGCCCGCAACAGCTTTAATTTTGATAATTATCTATTTAAAAGATTTTGCAAAACATGTGCCTTTAGTAAAGACTCTTTACAATATTATCAGCTCCTTAACAGTGGGTATCTAAATTGACCATCTGGAGACTTGTATTTGAACGACTGTGGCTGCTCTGATACTATAAAGGAACTTGTCTCGATACCATTCATAGTGGTCTGTAGTGAGCACATTGCAGTAGCTCTCGATGATATTCTGACTTGAATCTGAAAGTGCAAAGCGCCCTTGTTCTGCAAAGCTTATAAAATCGATTGGCGAATGACATTCAACGACTCTCCTTTTGTCTCCTTTTGCCAGGTTGCTAAGAGGATTCCCGTCATGCATGTTGGCGGTCTTGCTAAAGGATTCCTTGTCCCCGGTAAGAGAGAGAAAGCAAAACATGGATTAACGATGCTTTAAGTTGGAGAATCGGATGGTGTGTGGTCCACGATCCTATGAGCATTTTCAAAGGAAGATTGACGACCGGGATTAAAAGCTCGCCACACGCCTTGTCGGCCCAAACAAGCTTATTCAAGTAAAATCAATAATTGAGTTTTGCGTTTTTAATTTCTTCAGGCGGCGATTCCGAAAATCCTCTCGATCCCCGTCTCCTGGCACAACGAACAAAATACGAAACTCGAAGAAGCTGCCGATCTCTTCTACGACGGAATCATGCAAGCTCCTGGACTCATCCCAATCATGCCGTCGGGAGCGATGTACATGATGGTCAAGATTGATTTCTCCCGACTGGAGAATTTCTCCTACGACATGCATTTCTGTCAGACACTCGTTTCGGAAAAATCCGTGTTCGTCCTTCCCGGAAGCTGTTTCGGCTTTCCGAACTTTTTCCGAGTCGTAATTCGATCCCCAAGGTACTCCAATCTAATCCCTCCTTTTTTAATAGTTTTTATAGGAAAAAATTCCAGAAGCTTGTCAACGAATCGTCGACTTTTGCAACGATAATGTGAAAACTGAAAGAAAGAGTAGTCTAAGAAGAACATCAGAACTTCTTGCTGGCGGTTCTGCTAATCTTTGATACTTCTTTTGGAATTACGAATCGCTGATTTTGAAGCGAAAGCAAATAAAGACAGTATCATAAGAAAAATTGAGATTTAATTAACTCTGACAACGAGAAAAGTAGATACACTGTACTTTCACATGCATGATCACTGATCGTTGATTAGTTAACTTCTCGATCGTGTTGAACCAAGGCGCAGCAATGGCAGAACAAGATGATCAAAATATCGCTGAGAAATAATTTAAGTTTAATTAATTTAAAATAATTTATTTTATTTGCAATCACTGTTGGGTATTCACTCACCTCAATGTGGTTCCTTCGATTGCGTGTTTCTCTCGAATAGCAACCCTTTGCTTCCATGCGATATAATTTGGAACCTAGAATCAACTTTTTCGAAAGATAAATTTTCAATGATCATACGAGAATTGAAGTCAAGAAGGAGATAGAACCGAGAATAGCACTCCAAATCGGAAATTTTGGTGCTGCTATAACCATGTTCGGATCGGCGAGGAGTGTAGAAAGAGAGGAAGCGCCTTGATGACAAGCATACTTCCAAATGGAAAAACTGAAGTAACCAGAACCCTAAAATTTATTAAGAAGCTCATAAAATATAAGATACAAACGCCCAAGGGGAGGTAATAAGAACCAGCATAAAGAAGACACCAAAGACATGAGCTGCCTTCTTTCATTCCATCTTGGATTGACTGAATGACGCAGCAAGGACAGAACATTGCTTGGCATGAAGTACCAAATCGCCCGCAGCAGCTTTAATTTTGATAATTATCTATTTAAAAGATTTTGCAAAACATGTGTCTTTAAAATATTATCAGCTCCTAAATAGTGGGTATCTAAATTGACCATCTGGAGACTTGTATGTGAACGACTTTGGCTGCTCTGATACTATATAGGAACTTGTCTCGGTACCATTCATCGACGGAATGTTAGAAGTGTTAACGGTCTGTAGTGAGGACATTACAGTAGCTCTCGATTATATTCTGACTTGAATCTGAAAGTGCAAAGCACCCTTGTTCTGCAAAGCTTCTTAAATCGATGGCGAAGTGTTAGCGAGTCATTGCTGCATTATATATGAAGCTTTTCCGGGACGCTCTTGATTAAATTTGCATTGGAACAGCCTCTTTGATCCCTTGAATCGCAAAAGAGAACACGACAGCAGGTTAGGATTCCGACATTTTTGCTTAAAACCCATTTATTTTTGTTTGAAACAAATTTTTTCAATCACGAAAGAAAATCAAGCAGTTGATCAGTTGCAGAATCTTCGTTTTGGCTTTCGTCCTTTGCTGTTTCTTCCTCTGGAACAGACACTACTGGAGTTGTCATCTCTAACAAGCCCAGATCTGTCGATGTGGGAGAATCTTGAGCCTCTGTTTCTTTGCTTTCGACGGAAATTGGCCCAGCTTGGGATATATTTTCCTTCTGATTTTCCGGGTCTTGAAGGGTGACTGAAACATCTTGGGTGGAAGTTGGAACGTCTTCTGAGGTAATGATTACGTCAGACGAAGGTATTTCTTAATTTTAGTAAATTGAGTTGCTCTTTTTGTCCTTACCTTCAACAGGGACTGGTAGGTTTTCAACTGAAGACATGACTTTTGCAACGATAATGTGAAAACTGAAAGAAAGAGTAGTCTGAGAAGAACATCAGAACTTCTTGCTGGCGGTTCCGCTAATCTTTGATACTTCTGCTTTGAATTAAGAATCGCTTATTTTGAAACGAAAGCAAATAAAGACAATATCATTATAAAAAATATTTAATTTCATTTACTCTGACGACGAGAAAAGAAGATACACTGTCATTTCACATGCATGATCACTGGTCATTGATCAGTTTAATTCTCGATCGTGTTGAACCAAGGCGCAGCAATGGCAGAACAAGATGATCATAATATCGCTTATAAAAATTTTGATCCTATTATTTGCAATTATTATTACAAACAATTATTATTATTGCATTATTCACTCACCTCAATTTAGTTCCTTCGATACTACTATGTTTCTCTCGAATAGCAACCCTTTGCTTCCAGGCGATATAATTTGGAAGCTAAAAAATCTTCTTGGAAGATAATGAATTTGATCGTACGAGAATTGATGTCAAGAAGCAGATAGTAGCGAGGATAGCACTCCAGATTGGAAATTTTGGTGCAGCTTTGACCATGTTCGGGTCGGCGAGGAGTGTAGCGCCTTTGTTAAAAGCATACTTTCAAATTGAAAAACTGAAGTACCCACAACCCTTAAGTTTTTTAATAATATCATAAAGTCAAAAATACAAACGCCCAAAGGAAGGTAGTAAGCACCAACATAAAGAAGACAACAAAGACATGAGTTGCCTTCTTTCAGTCCATCTTGGATTGACTGAATGACGCAGCAAGGAAAGAACATTGCTTGACAAGAAGTGCCGCATCGCCCGCAACAGCTTTCATTTTGACAATTATCTATTTAAAAGATTTTGCAAAACATGTGCCTTTAGTAAAGACTCTTTACAATATTATCAGCTCCTTAACAGTGGGTATCTAAATTGACCATCTGGAGACTTGTATTTGAACGACTGTGGCTGCTCTGATACTATAAAGGAACTTGTCTCGATACCATTCATAGTGGTCTGTAGTGAGCACATTGCAGTAGCTCTCGATGATATTCTGACTTGAATCTGAAAGTGCAAAGCGCCCTTGTTCTGCAAAGCTTATAAAATCGATTGGCGAATGACATTCAACGACTCTCCTTTTGTCTCCTTTTGCCAGGTTGCTAAGAGGATTCCCGTCATGCATGTTGGCGGTCTTGCTAAAGGATTCCTTGTCCCCGGTAAGAGAGAGAAAGCAAAGCATGGATTAACGATGCTTTAAGTTGGAGAATCGGATGGTGTGTGGTCCACGATCCTATGAGCATTTTCAAAGGAAGATTGACGACCGGGATTAAAAAGCTCGCCACACGCCTTGTCGGCCCAAACAAGCTTATTCAAGTAAAATCAATAATTGAGTTTTGCGTTTTTAATTTCTTCAGGCGGCGATTCCGAAAATCCTCTCGATCCCCGTCTCCTGGCACAACGAACAAAATACGAAACTCGAAGAAGCTGCCGATCTCTTCTACGACGGAATCATGCAAGCTCCTGGACTCATCCCAATCATGCCGTCGGGAGCGATGTACATGATGGTCAAGATTGATTTCTCCCGACTGGAGAATTTCTCCGACGACATGCATTTCTGCCAGACACTAGTGTCGGAAAAATCCGTGTTCGTCCTTCCCGGAAGCTGTTTCGGCTTTCCGAACTTTTTCCGAGTCGTAATTCGATCCCCAAGGTACTCTAATCTAATCCCTCCTTTTTTAATAGTTTTTATAGGAAAAAATTCCAGAAGCTTGTCAACGAATCGTCGACTTTTGCAACGATAATGTGAAAACTGAAAGAAAGAGTAGTCTAAGAAGAACATCAGAACTTCTTGCTGGCGGTTCTGCTAATCTTTGATACTTCTTTTGGAATTACGAATCGCTGATTTTGAAGCGAAAGCAAATAAAGACAGTATCATAAGAAAAAATTGAGATTTAATTAACTCTGACAACGAGAAAAGTAGATACACTGTACTTTCACATGCATGATCACTGATCGTTGATTAGTTAACTTCTCGATCGTGTTGAACCAAGGCGCAGCAATGGCAGAACAAGATGATCAAAATATCGCTAAGAAATAATTTAAATTTAATTTATTTAAAATAATTTATTTTATTTGCGATCACAATTAGTGATTGTAGTATTACTAACCTTAATGTGGTTCCTTTGATTCCATGTTTCTCTCGGATAGCGACCCTTTGCTTCCAGGCGATATAATTTGGAACCTAAAATCACTTTTTTTCAAAAGATAACTTTTCAATAATCAAACGAGAATTGATGTCAAGAAGCAGATAGAACCGAGAATAGCACTCCAAATCGGAAATTTTGGTGCTGCTATAACCATGTTCGGATCGGCGAGGAGTGTAGAAAGAGAGGAAGCGCCTTGATGACAAGCATACTTCCAAATGGAAAAACTGAAGTAACCAGAACCCTAAAATTTATTAAGAAGCTCATAAAATATAAGATACAAACGCCCAAGGGGAGGTAATAAGAACCAGCATAAAGAAGACACCAAAGACATGAGCTGCCTTCTTTCATTCCATCTTGGATTGACTGAATGACGCAGCAAGGACAGAACATTGCTTGGCATGAAGTACCAAATCGCCCGCAGCAGCTTTAATTTTGATAATTATCTATTTAAAAGATTTTGCAAAACATGTGTCTTTAAAATATTATCAGCTCCTAAATAGTGGGTATCTAAATTGACCATCTGGAGACTTGTATGTGAACGACTTTGGCTGCTCTGATACTATATAGGAACTTGTCTCGGTACCATTCATCGACGGAATGTTAGAAGTGTTAACGGTCTGTAGTGAGGACATTACAGTAGCTCTCGATTATATTCTGACTTGAATCTGAAAGTGCAAAGCACCCTTGTTCTGCAAAGCTTCTTAAATCGATGGCGAAGTGTTAGCGAGTCATTGCTGCATTATATATGAAGCTTTTCCGGGACGCTCTTGATTAAATTTGCATTGGAACAGCCTCTTTGATCCCTTGAATCGCAAAAGAGAACACGACAGCAGGTTAGGATTCCGACATTTTTGCTTAAAACCCATTTATTTTTGTTTGAAACAAATTTTTTCAATCACGAAAGAAAATCAAGCAGTTGATCAGTTGCAGAATCTTCGTTTTGGCTTTCGTCCTTTGCTGTTTCTTCCTCTGGAACAGACACTACTGGAGTTGTCATCTCTAACAAGCCCAGATCTGTCGATGTGGGAGAATCTTGAGCCTCTGTTTCTTTGCTTTCGACGGAAATTGGCCCAGCTTGGGATATATTTTCCTTCTGATTTTCCGGGTCTTGAAGGGTGACTGAAACATCTTGGGTGGAAGTTGGAACGTCTTCTGAGGTAATGATTACGTCAGACGAAGGTATTTCTTAATTTTAGTAAATTGAGTTGCTCTTTTTGTCCTTACCTTCAACAGGGACTGGTAGGTTTTCAACTGAAGACATGACTTTTGCAACGATAATGTGAAAACTGAAAGAAAGAGTAGTCTGAGAAGAACATCAGAACTTCTTGCTGGCGGTTCCGCTAATCTTTGATACTTCTGCTTTGAATTAAGAATCGCTTATTTTGAAACGAAAGCAAATAAAGACAATATCATTATAAAAAAAATATTTAATTTCATTTACTCTGACGACGAGAAAAGAAGATACACTGTCATTTCACATGCATGATCACTGGTCATTGATCAGTTTAATTCTCGATCGTGTTGAACCAAGGCGCAGCAATGGCAGAACAAGATGATCATAATATCGCTTATAAAAAATTTTGATCCTATTATTTGCAATTATTATTACAAACAATTATTATTATTGCATTATTCACTCACCTCAATTTAGTTCCTTCGATACTACTATGTTTCTCTCGAATAGCAACCCTTTGCTTCCAGGCGATATAATTTGGAAGCTAAAAAAATCTTCTTGGAAGATAATGAATTTGATCGTACGAGAATTGATGTCAAGAAGCAGATAGTAGCGAGGATAGCACTCCAGATTGGAAATTTTGGTGCAGCTTTGACCATGTTCGGGTCGGCGAGGAGTGTAGCGCCTTTGTTAAAAGCATACTTTCAAATTGAAAAACTGAAGTACCCACAACCCTTAAGTTTTTTAATAATATCATAAAGTCAAAAATACAAACGCCCAAAGGAAGGTAGTAAGCACCAACATAAAGAAGACAACAAAGACATGAGTTGCCTTCTTTCAGTCCATCTTGGATTGACTGAATGACGCAGCAAGGAAAGAACATTGCTTGACAAGAAGTGCCGCATCGCCCGCAACAGCTTTCATTTTGACAATTATCTATTTAAAAGATTTTGCAAAACATGTGCCTTTAGTAAAGACTCTTTACAATATTATCAGCTCCTTAACAGTGGGTATCTAAATTGACCATCTGGAGACTTGTATTTGAACGACTGTGGCTGCTCTGATACTATAAAGGAACTTGTCTCGATACCATTCATAGTGGTCTGTAGTGAGCACATTGCAGTAGCTCTCGATGATATTCTGACTTGAATCTGAAAGTGCAAAGCGCCCTTGTTCTGCAAAGCTTATAAAATCGATTGGCGAATGACATTCAACGACTCTCCTTTTGTCTCCTTTTGCCAGGTTGCTAAGAGGATTCCCGTCATGCATGTTGGCGGTCTTGCTAAAGGATTCCTTGTCCCCGGTAAGAGAGAGAAAGCAAAGCATGGATTAACGATGCTTTAAGTTGGAGAATCGGATGGTGTGTGGTCCACGATCCTATGAGCATTTTCAAAGGAAGATTGACGACCGGGATTAAAAAGCTCGCCACACGCCTTGTCGGCCCAAACAAGCTTATTCAAGTAAAATCAATAATTGAGTTTTGCGTTTTTAATTTCTTCAGGCGGCGATTCCGAAAATCCTCTCGATCCCCGTCTCCTGGCACAACGAACAAAATACGAAACTCGAAGAAGCTGCCGATCTCTTCTACGACGGAATCATGCAAGCTCCTGGACTCATCCCAATCATGCCGTCGGGAGCGATGTACATGATGGTCAAGATTGATTTCTCCCGACTGGAGAATTTCTCCGACGACATGCATTTCTGCCAGACACTAGTGTCGGAAAAATCCGTGTTCGTCCTTCCCGGAAGCTGTTTCGGCTTTCCGAACTTTTTCCGAGTCGTAATTCGATCCCCAAGGTACTCTAATCTAATCCCTCCTTTTTTAATAGTTTTTATAGGAAAAAATTCCAGAAGCTTGTCAACGAATCGTCGACTTTTGCAACGATAATGTGAAAACTGAAAGAAAGAGTAGTCTAAGAAGAACATCAGAACTTCTTGCTGGCGGTTCTGCTAATCTTTGATACTTCTTTTGGAATTACGAATCGCTGATTTTGAAGCGAAAGCAAATAAAGACAGTATCATAAGAAAAAATTGAGATTTAATTAACTCTGACAACGAGAAAAGTAGATACACTGTACTTTCACATGCATGATCACTGATCGTTGATTAGTTAACTTCTCGATCGTGTTGAACCAAGGCGCAGCAATGGCAGAACAAGATGATCAAAATATCGCTAAGAAATAATTTAAATTTAATTTATTTAAAATAATTTATTTTATTTGCGATCACAATTAGTGATTGTAGTATTACTAACCTTAATGTGGTTCCTTTGATTCCATGTTTCTCTCGGATAGCGACCCTTTGCTTCCAGGCGATATAATTTGGAACCTAAAATCACTTTTTTTCAAAAGATAACTTTTCAATAATCAAACGAGAATTGATGTCAAGAAGCAGATAGAACCGAGAATAGCACTCCAAATCGGAAATTTTGGTGCTGCTATAACCATGTTCGGATCGGCGAGGAGTGTAGAAAGAGAGGAAGCGCCTTGATGACAAGCATACTTCCAAATGGAAAAACTGAAGTAACCAGAACCCTAAAATTTATTAAGAAGCTCATAAAATATAAGATACAAACGCCCAAGGGGAGGTAATAAGAACCAGCATAAAGAAGACACCAAAGACATGAGCTGCCTTCTTTCATTCCATCTTGGATTGACTGAATGACGCAGCAAGGACAGAACATTGCTTGGCATGAAGTACCAAATCGCCCGCAGCAGCTTTAATTTTGATAATTATCTATTTAAAAGATTTTGCAAAACATGTGTCTTTAAAATATTATCAGCTCCTAAATAGTGGGTATCTAAATTGACCATCTGGAGACTTGTATGTGAACGACTTTGGCTGCTCTGATACTATATAGGAACTTGTCTCGGTACCATTCATCGACGGAATGTTAGAAGTGTTAACGGTCTGTAGTGAGGACATTACAGTAGCTCTCGATTATATTCTGACTTGAATCTGAAAGTGCAAAGCACCCTTGTTCTGCAAAGCTTCTTAAATCGATGGCGAAGTGTTAGCGAGTCATTGCTGCATTATATATGAAGCTTTTCCGGGACGCTCTTGATTAAATTTGCATTGGAACAGCCTCTTTGATCCCTTGAATCGCAAAAGAGAACACGACAGCAGGTTAGGATTCCGACATTTTTGCTTAAAACCCATTTATTTTTGTTTGAAACAAATTTTTTCAATCACGAAAGAAAATCAAAAAGCTGATCAGTTGCAGAATCTTCGTTTTGGCTTTCGTCCTTTGCTGTTTCGTCCTCTGGAACAGACACTACTGAAGTTGCCGTCTCTAAAAGCTCAGATCTGTCGTTGTGGGAGAATCTTGAGCCTCTGTTGCTATGACTTCGATGGAAATTGGCCCAGCTTGGGATATATTTTCCTTCTGATTTTCCGGGTCTGGAAGGGTGACTGAAACATCTTGGGTGGAAGTTGGAACGTCTTCTGGGGTAATGATTACGTCAGAATATGGGATTTCTTAATTTTAGAAAATTGAGCTCCTCTGTTGGTTCTTACCTTCAACAGGGACTGGTAGATTTTCAGCTAAAGACGCTATATTTTCGTCCAGAACAGGTCTGTTTTCAAGGTTCAAAATAGTGCTGTCATCAATACCAGAGTTACTTTAGTCGGTTACGTCGACGATGCACAAGGAGCGTCATTAAGAAGAATCAAAGGAAGAATTATTCTTTGGCGGAAGTATGTCACGAACCGAGTCCTTTCTTCTGAAAGTTCGTTCGTCTCGAACGAGGGATTTGTGAAGCCAGTAGGAGCGTGACGTGCTGCTATCACTTCCTCGCTTTCAAAGTCGACTGCCTCGTCATACCTCGTCGTGCTCTTTTATCTTTGGTCTCTTTCTCTTTTCGATAAGTAAGTACTATTTATTTCGTATGAATAAATCGATATCAAAGGGCTCAAGTGATGTAAGATACCTTCCTCGGGATCGTCGTCATTCATTTCGTATGTCACATTATCAACACCAGCTCAGGTGGCTTCAAAGAAACTCTTTCTTGTTGATGCTCAAAAAAACTACAATTGTGCAGTTATTGAAGCGTTCCTGATACTGTCGATATTTCCACATCTCCTCCTTGATTTCCTCCGTCAAAGTTTCTGACCGTCTTCGCCGGGAAAACCGACAAGAAATAATATTCCAAGTCATATTTGTGATATCCCTTGTAGCCAGCGAACGCAGCAACTGCTATTGCTAGAATGACGCCGAAAATTGCTCCTCCACTGAGTCCCGATGCATTGTGAGGCCTTCCAGAGATAGTGACCACAACGTTTGAAACGCCTGGAAGCTTGCTCACGGCCTTTTTCAAGTTTTGAACTTCGTTTTTCGCCAGTGATCCGGAGCCGTCGGTATCTGTGAGCAGCAGCTGATATTGATCATCCTATGAAATTATTTCAGCAATTAAGTTTCAGATCGGGAATTAAGCCCGGTATACTTCGATAGAACACCTTTGTTTACGCAAATATGATATTTAAAGTAACGAACCTTTGATCTTTTCAGAACTGAAGGATCAAAGTCTTCTTCAAGCGGCGTGATTCTGGCTATAGAGCTTTTACCGGTGTTCTCGACTATCAGATTAATTACCGGTAAGATTCGTAAAGATAGTGAACATTATTTCATGCTTGATCACCGATACCTAAGCACTTCTGACGATGATACTTCACCCTTGACGAGATCCTCCAGATCCTTCCTACGGAAAGCCTACGGGAAAATAAAAAATCTCTACAGCTATTTTTATGAATTACTCCGTCGAAATCAAAAGTGATGATTCCGCCGCATACTGAGCAGCAGTGTCCGAAGGGTTCTACAGGTTCATTACAGGCAATGGCTGGTCGATCTGAAATCAAGGGTTTTTTAAGGCTTGTGTCTTTGTTTTTCCACCTTCAGTGCAATTTACTTGTCGGCAGATGAGCTCTTCAATATATGCTCGTCCATCAAAGTCGTCCTCTCGGCAAGTACACCCAGCATCACTTTGAACTCGAGTCAACAATTGATAACTGTCACAAAAGCTATTTTTATTATATTTCTTGCGACACGAGTCCCACAGTCGTGCGCTCGCACATCCACCTTTGATTCACCAAACTGAAACGGGCCAGAAACAGAGTTTTGTACATAGTTATTATAATCATCTGTTGAGGACAATCGCTCATTTCCGACGATCATAGACTCGATTTTCGGATCTGGAGTGTGCGCCATATTTGGATTTGGAATGGATGGCGGGTACTTGCTTCCTTATCTTGAGTTTTACAAAGAAAGAACTGGACTCTTTGAGGGCTTGAAAAGCGGAAATATCCATCAATCAACGTTTTATATTCAATAAATATTCTGTAGCAAGGACTCTTTGATTCAAGAGAGTCTTTAAAAACTCCATCCTGAGACGGAGAACGTCGAATCCTTGGTAGAAAACTGGACCGTGTCAGTTTGGCAAGGGAGTCTTTCTAATCATAAAGGTCTTAGAGACTGTCAAACTTGGTGACCTGGGCCCAGAGTCTCACGGACGAAAAGCGGTGCTAGTTGATCAGGCTAGTACCTGATCATTAAAGTTATGGCCTGATATTCTATTAGGTAATAAATCTGCAATGACACCATGATTTTACGGCTTCGTTATTGCGAAAATATCTGAGCGAAGACCCTGGCTATGTCAAGCATTAGCGCTGGAGCTCCGGAGACGTCCCAGTTGTTCAAGTCATACCAAGCATCAGGGCCGCCGTTGAACTTGTATTCTCCGTAATCTTGGCATCCTGAAATGGAGATGTCTGTTCCGATCACAACATCTTTTCCTTGGAATCAGGGTCTCAATATTATGCAATCGAAAGAAGAAAAAAATAGACAGACCCCGCCCTAGAATGAGCTCAGCATTCCGCGGCAAGGTCAAATCCGAAACAGTAAAGCTGACATCAACAAGGACTGAGGTTCTTACACGGGCTGATGAAACGAAGATCGATTTCTGCGGAACAGGACAGAATTTATCACCTTGCCGAATCGATCACAAAATTATGTTGTAAATGAAGAACACCAGCCTTTCATTATCTTCAAATGTTACGACAGAGTCCATACATGGTTTACTGACATTTTTATTCTGAACAAAATATAACGCTTCAAGAAAACCAACTTCAAATTACCCATCGATTCGTGTCCGAGAACAAAATCTCTTGGTTCCAGCTGAATGTAACTGAACCAGTATCTGGAAGATTGCAAAAGAATAGCAACAACTGTATGTAAAACTCCTTCATTCTTAGAGTCTCTTGTAAGAGATTAGGCAAAAATATCTTGAAAGACAAATCATGTTTGCGAAATAAAGTGCAAAAACTAAACACCAGAGTTTGTTTTCTTGACGATTCTATAGTTTAGGGTAAAGATACCCTTACATCTTGTAACAAGCTGCGTTTATTTTTTTTCTTCACTTTGTTTGGGACGGGCCTCACAAACTAAAGTTCTTCTGACTTTCTTGGGAAGCTACTAATGAACAAAGTGCTCCTCACGAGGCTCGTTTGATGCTTCAAATTTATACGTCAAACAATTTATAATTTGACGACCAAAGTGTGCTTCAAAAATCTCGCCGTTTTCAATCGATTAGGAAAATTGCAATTCGTTAAAAAAAAACTTCGTCATCAAGTCTCAATGAAATGAATTCGAAAATAAACAGAATTCGAATCCTCAACTTTTTGTCTCAAAACGCTCGCTTTTGAATTTGTCGGAATGTCAGTGTATAAACTCGGACAATTTCCAATTAACTATTGAATCTCGCAGTCTCACAGACTATTTCCGCTCAGCTAACGGATCATTTATTGCCTTGAAGTTTTAATATGTTGCCTTTTTTCGGCGATTTTGCGGAAATTAGTTGTTTTTTCGTCAACAAAAGGGACTTCTAATTGATCTAACAAGATAAATTAGCTTCTATCTTAGCCGGCTTCAGTCGGATTCTAACTTATCAACTGCGCAAGTTGTAACATAGAAGATATAATATTTTTAATTCTGATTTATTCATTTTTTATTCGTTCGGTCGTTGATTCATTTTCAGGAACGGTAGTGAGGTTAGGTGGAGAACAACTCCACTGGGCGACGGCTAGATTCGTGAAGGTTATTTTCAAAATAATGAAAGAAAAAAAAAGATGATTGTCAATCGCTTCAATGTGAACTTGCAAAGATTGAGATTGTTTTTTCGCAAATAAAAAAACGCAAATTAATATACACATAAATAGATATTTCATATATGTTAGTTTTGAGGCGGCGAGACAAGAAAAAAAGAGTGAGGATGCACCAGGTCATGCAGGCAAGAACCGGGAGTTTTCTTTCTTTAGCACATTTTGTTTCAATGCAAGATAAATACAGAATCGGTATTCGTGAGTGTCTCTCTGACGGAAAATAGGAAAATGAAAACTTGATTTAGGCACACAGGAGAAGTAATTGTTTCAGCGAGAAGCACATGTTATGCATGGTATTATTTCGATTAAAAATAATTAATGGCCGAATCTGTTTTCGGGAAAAATAGGCGCTGACAGAGGATTCTTTACAATCTTGGAGGCGCTTTCTGGTGAGCGGAGAACATGGCCGGGGCCCATTTGGCTGGCGTTGGGGAGCAGGTGGTCGGGGGAAGAGATGTAGTGCGCCACGAGGTCCTTAACGCTGATATTGAATATTTCCATTTTCTAGTAGCTGCTATAACCTGTCGGGTATCAAATCGAGCGGGGCAACGATCGCAGTTTGTTCCGCTTCCTTTTTCGGGAGAAGCATGTTTGTTGATTTCCTGTGGGAGCATATTGAAAAGGTCCAATCCCGACATCGGCGCCATCGAACGCGCCGGGGGCGAAATCATCGCGCGTGGGTTGATTGGCAGAGATTGGGACAAAGCAGGAGGCGCTGGAAGAGAAAGATGGGTAGCGTGTTGGGCGACTCGAGCGCGCTTGTTGAATTGAAGAGTTTGATCCGACTGTTTTTCTCGGAGACGCATGATCGAAGCAATGTGCGTTCTGTTCACATCCTTGCCCCATCGAGCGGCGAAATGCTCGGCGATCTGGTTGAATGTCATTTCCGTGCTAGAATTAACTTATTGAATCGAATTAGTTGTTATGATAAATACTGGTAAGACTGGAGAAAAAGCCGTATTTATGCTTCATTAGTTTTTAATTCGAAAAATTAGTAAATGCCATTCAAGTAAATGACTGCTGTATTTAGACCAACAATACAAGACTAGTAACATTCGAGTACTGTTAATGGAACTTACCCATGATCCGCCAGAAAGTTTGAAATCTCCTCTCGCTCCTCCGGTGTCAGCATGACTCGAGATCGTTTTCTTTTCATGACCATTGGACCGTCCTGGGCTGATCCCTCGTCGACAAATTTGTAGTGTGTCTGGGTACAGTCTTTGTACGCTTCGTCGAGCCACTTTTCCAGGTTTTCTTTGGTGGTGATGATTTGCCTGAGAAGATTTGTAAACATAAACGTCTATGGCTCAGTAGCGATCTATTCAGTGGTTCATCTTTTGATTCGAACTTACCGAGCTGTGACTGTCCTGTTCCAAGCTTCAGTGAAGTACTTTGCGTACTCTGGATAGGTCTTGTTTGGATTCTCTTTGATGAATTTGGCGATGATGTGTTTTTCGCCAAAGCTGAGTCGAATGAATGGCTTTCGTTTTTGAAGAGGTTCAATCGGTCGGTTTTGACGGCCCGTTCCAGTTCGCCCAACAAACTGACTAAAAAAGGAAAAGGATAAGAAACAAGCCAAGGTTCATAGCAAACGCCCAGTCATCAGTAAAAATGTGTATTTTACAATAATATGGAATTATCTCCGCAGTTTATTTTCGACAATAACACGCAAATTGATATTCAATTACTCAAGAAATACGGCAATTACAAACGAACAAAGTTCACTTACTCTGAAAGCTGCTGATGCTGAGCGGCGAGAAAGTTGTGATTGAGCCCATTTGAAGCTTCAAGAAGTGCTTTCATTTCGCTGATTCGTTGAGCCTCGACGTATGCGTTTGGAGGTGAGGATCGTTGGATAGTTTCTGGCGATTGCTGGTTCAGCTGCCAGGGAAGCATTTGCGCTGAAGATAAATTTTTATCAAGTGGTAGTTTTGCGTGTTTAATTTCGTGCTACGGGCGGACATTTCAACACAATTTTTTTGATAAAGGAAACTTGTCTATTTTCAACGCGGCCAGTTCATAAATTTGTGTTCATGAAAGAACTGAAAGATCCATCAAGAGTCTAAAAATATCGGTCTACACAGGCCTTGGACATAAGAAATGCGAAATAACATGATGAATGTTGTTATGATCACCCAATTTCTTTTTGCGAGTTTGTTTTGGACATAGAACTAACGTCACGAATAAATTATTACCAGGTTACTCAAGAACTCAGTAATTACAAAACAATTTGAAAACTAAGAGCATCAATTGATGTCTTTAATAAATTGAACTATTTTCCGTGACCACGCGGTTCCCAATCATCCGTTCAAGTCATCTCCATTTTTACCAAATGACTACTTCGTAAATCAACCAATTTTTACAGTCTTAATCGCAACTCGCGAAAATTCACGCTGCCTGCTTAAGTTTTGTACAAGCAGAAAAATTGGCTCGCAACTGGACGCAAACACCTTTCTGCTAGATTTATCATCTTTCTTAAAAATTCAAGCAAAAGATGGATGTGAAAATTTTTGACTGTAAAATATTTCTTTAAGAATTCATTAATAATGACGTTTTCGGGGGCTCTATATCATTGTTATGCGCAAAAGATGATTTTTGAAAGTCTTTTATGAAAAGCCGCGCAGCGGCTTTTTTAAAAACGAAGGCGCGAGGCGGCTTCGCAAATATATTTTTCTATCTTATCATCATATTCTGGCGAAGCCGCTTTGCGCCTTCGATTTCAAAAAAGCCGCTGCGCGGCTTTCAATTTCGGATCTTTGAGACCCTGACTCAGGCTTTCTACACAGGTTAGCAGACATAGCTAGTAGAATTCTAGTGTATTTTAAGAAATGAGACACTTTTTTTGATAAAAAGCAAAAATTCGAGACAGGGATTAATTAAAGCTGCCGTGCACGTGATAAGGCCCGCTAGGGTTACACCAAATTGTACTCACGTGATGACTGTTGCTGATGCTGCTGGCGACGGTTGCGAAGGTGATCGATGAGCTCTGGCGTGATGTCCTTGCGAAATTTCGTGCTGAAGAGCAGTGCCGCGTCGCTAGAAGTGACATTCGGATTGTCCGATAAAAACTGACGCATCTCGTCGATTTCCTCGTCGCTAATGTTGTGCCGCGGCGCTGGACTCAGGCTCATTCGTTGAAGATCGAGGGGCGATGTTGAGTTAGTTTCTGAGGATGGACCGGGCTGAAGATACAATTGGTTATATCAACTGATGAAATAACGTAATTTTATCGATTATTGTGCGTAAAAACGATTTAAACGGGGCTACCGCAGGTTTTTTTTTATCAAAAAAATATTTTTCTATTTTATGTAGGCCAACTCGTCGTTGTTGTTCCTCTTTGGAAGTTACAAGTTGGAACGTAAGGTACAGGTAGTAGGGAATTATCGATAAGTACGCACCTAATCCTACTGGGGTTAGGGTTACCCTGTACCTAACGGTAGCCCTCTCGATCCCCAGTCTGGCCTCGGCAACTTGTGAAGAAAACCGGGTCTGAAAGAGCTAGAATGAAAAGGCGCTTAGCGGTTTCGTCATTAAAAGAGCCGCCTCGCGGCTTTTCATTCAATATTTTTCGGACCCTAACTCTGGTGTTCTCAATAGTTTGCTGAGCCCAGCCTTGGATGTCCCTATCATCATCACTATCCGAAAAGAAAGTTCCTAATCAGGTTGATTCTTACCGATTGTGGACTTTCACCAGAGCTTCCAGCGCCATCTGAGTTGTTGTTGACCTGTAGGTTGTTTTTAATCTTGGCAATAACATCAAAAGCCTTTTGCGCGGTTGAACACGCACTTCAACGATCCTCGAAAGGTAGTTAGTTGTTTCGCAATCTACAGTTATACTTTGCGCTCCTACAAGCATGTCTTGAGTCACATTCCAAATCAGCAATTATCTTGCTTCGTGTTTATTGTTATGTTAAACTAGAGTTGAAATCAAGAATTAGCTGGGGCGGAATTTCCGCTGCGGAAACTGCGTGTTTTGGGTACAAACAGTTCCTTACTCGTGGAGTTATCGAATTATTACTTTAGTTGAACAAAGAGAGGAGTAAGGACGAGAGCCCATTCGCCTATTGGAGACTAGAAACAACCGCTTTCCTGATTCTTGGGCAATAATGCTTGAATGAAAGCAACTAGATTTGGCGTCAGCGTAAATGATAGTCCTTTTTCTTCATCGCCGGGAGAATATGCTTTTTACAGGCTCAACTCTCCGATGTTTTCACAGCTGAAAAAATTAGACATCAGACGAAAAGGAACTAATTCCTTCTCGAATCAAAAAGTTCTCGAGTTTATTTTGACGAGCTAACTCTCGTACAAAAACTCAATTACGAGATAAAAAAAAAATTTTGAAAATTTCAAATTTCAAAATTGAAAAATTGAAAAGGAGGCGCCCAGGCTGAGCCACCGTCTGCTAGAAAAATGTCTCATTAGAGCCGTGAAATCGGCATTTTCACGTTGAGACAGATTTCACTTTACTTTTGGCCGCGGCGAAAATTGCCACTGCACCTTAATCTCGCTGCTCAGACAGAGAATAAACGTCTGAATATTTGATCAAATACTAGAAAAGTAAATTATACAATGAATAGAAATTTTAATAAATAACACTTCTGTCTACCCATTCTACTGTGATAATCAGGCCAAGAGTCAGAAAACCTGACTCAGGTTTTTAACAGGGTTTGCTAAACTCAAATGCCAGGAAATGGCGCTAAAAGAGCCTGTAATTCTAAATTACCCCAAGCTCAAATTAGATAATAGATGCTACTGTTGTCTTCAAGCCTTGTTAGAAATTTAAAACTGAAGCAAGATTACAGCGCATTTATACTGGACGTCGCTCCGGCCCAGGATTAGGGGTACTGGCGGACAGCCAGGGAGACCGATCAAGTTTCGTAGGGTTCATTTTTTATGTCCTCTCAAATGACCATTCCAACTTCTCAGTCGTAAAAGTCATCCTTTCATAAAAAAATGGCGCGATTTTGAAAATTCCGGGTTATTTTTATTGCCGAGTTCATCGTTTTTTCGTACTCGTTTATAGGTACCCCTTGCGCCATTTTTTATAGCGCTCGGCAACCTGTGTTCAAAACCTGAGTCAGGGTCAAAAAGATCTCTATTGAAAATCCGCGTAGCGGCTTTTTTTATAACCGAAGCCGCAAAGCGGCTGCGCCGGAATTTGAATATTCACGCTGTTTTATTATTAGAGATCTTCCAGACCCTGACTCAGGTATTCTACACAGGTTGCCAGGCCCATCAAAACCCACCCTCTTTGAAAGTCTGATTTTTGAGCCCTTTCCTTGATTACTCTGTTCTCTTTCTGGAGCTTGCTCTGGAAAGCTGAAAGCGCCTGACTGTGGAATGCCTGTATGAATACTCTCCATTTCGTCCTCCTCGTCGCCGATATACTCTACATCGTCTTCGCTCTCCTGTATCTGAATGTGAATGTTTGAAATCAGCGATTGAAAAATTGGCGAGAGACAGAGGCTGATGAATTTTGCCATTTTCCAAATTCATGTCTCAGGAAAAAAAGATTTAAATAATTTGATCTTTTTCCGAAGCAAATTAAGGGGGTAGAACTAGATTTTTCGAAATTCCGTGATTTTCGGGAGGCACACTTTAATAAGTAAAACCTGTTTTTACTTATGATATCGCATTTTCCTCAAAAATGTTGCTAGATAAAGGGTTAAACTATCTTAAAATGAGATTTAAAAATTTTGGCTAGTCACGTGACTCGAGAAATTTGAGGACGCGAATACGCTAAAATTGCGACTTTCGAAGAGGTGGGTTGAAGTTTCGCTCTCTAACGCCAAATTGTCTTGACGAAAAAAAATTTTAAGAAAAATGTTGTTAGATCTAGGTTTGTTCTTTCTTCAGCCGAAGAGAGAATTTGAAAATCTTAGCTCTCCTGGCTTTGAGCGCCGGTCTAGAATCGCCTATTTTCGAAAAACCTAGTTCTACCCCCTTAAACAAATATATTATAATAATATTGCAATGGAGAGAATTAATTTCATTATTCGGATGCCCAAATTACCACAAAATCAATTACTTTTATCATCTTTTTTAATATTATTATTATAATTTTCGTAATATTACTTTATCTTGATACCGTATAAATAACGAGTATCTTTGATCACGTGATGAATTATTACGCAATATCCGGATGATTTTTTGATGCAAAACTGTCTCGTAGACATTCTCCTCAGTACTTTTACCGATATTTTTTCTTACAGTAAAATATTTCAAAAATTACGCCATCAAATCGACCTTTCCGGGTCTGGGAGACACAGGAGAGAGTACGGTCAAACTCAATTTACGTAAAACAGGATGATTTTCCGTAAAAAAAACGAAGATGCCACTCCCATTCACGAGGTACGCAGCATATAGCGATATGACATCACCGGATATTGAAAAATTTAAGCTCAGCCCTGCTCTATTTCCTTCAGTGAATGACTAGCTCTATTCTTGGCTAAGAAACCTGTGTAAAAAAACTGAGTCAGGGTCTGAAAATTTTAAATGAAAAGCCGCGGCTTTTATAAAAACGAAGCCGCGAAAATACTCTTTTGATTTAATTTTTTAAAACTATGATTTTGAAATCCTGAGTCAGGGTTTTTACACAGTCAACTCAGTTTTGAAAAATTAAATCAAAAGAGTATTTTCGCGGCTTCGTTTTTATAAAAGCCGCGGCTTTTTATTTAAAATTTTCAAATCCAAACTCAGGTTTTAACACAGGTTTCTCAGTCTGTCTCTTACCTCAATTTTGACGAATTCGTCCATCTTGCTCCTTCCGGCTGCGTTTTCAATTTGGCTCATGTTTCCAACTGTGCGCGGGTTTTTTTACTTTCTAGGAAAAAAATTCTAAATAAGCGCTCTTTCTGTGCCTCTCGGTGTCGATTTTGATAGTTTTGTGTTCGTCTCTGCCCGGTCAAAAAAAATGTAGAGTCGGAAAGGCGCAGTAGTAAAAAGTTGAGCCCGGCGCCGTCCAGTAATAGTCAGCTCGGGCGAATAACTGAAGTGGCGGTGATGAATTTTTAGTTTTTTGACTCGCAAGAAATTGAAAAGAAAAACCGCCCGACTCAAATTGATCAAAACTCTTACTGTTGCGAAGAATAGTCATACTTTTTGGGTCGAATTTTTACTTATAAAATCGAAATTTTTGACTCAAAAATAAATCAATATTTCCACCAAAATTCTAATTAGTTAAAATTGATAAAATTTATACTGAAATTGAAAATTGGCGACAATTTTGACCAAAATTTTGGTCAAATTTTAGACGAATCAAATTTCCGCATCCGGCCTATTAGTTCAACCAGTATTTTAGAAAAAATTATGGCAGAAACTCGAATTTTTGTCACATTTTTTGGTCGATTCGAGCCGCCACCCCAAAAATTTTGGTCATAAAAATCTTGGCCTTTTCGAGGCTATGAAATCAGTGATATTCCGACTTGCCTTTACTGTGATAAGGAGCTTTTGAGCCTTTTTGATTCTCGCTTTTTGTTCTATCTGTTTGTATGACTTACAGTGACTGAACTACAGGCAACTTCTTTCTACAGCTCTTTGAATTCTGGAAACGCGCGAAAAATGGGCTATCTCGAGATCGCGAAAAAAAAATTAAAAAGGAAGGGCCTGTATGTTTGCGGGTATCCTCCCTCTAGGGGGAATTTTTTCACTGCTCCGGTAGCTTGTGTTTTTTGTTGTTTTTAGAGCAAGTGAAGCGTAGCGCTCGCACAACAGTAGAAACAGTAAAACAATAAAACACTACGACGAGTGGTACCTAAATATGGACTGTCCTCCTTTGCCCGAAAAAAAAGAAAAGAAGGGATTGAGCTGCTTGTAGTTAGCTTGGCCTCCTTTTTATGGCATTCGGGATGGTGGGTGATTGATCAAGGTAGGATGAAATCTAAAATTAAATCATGTTTCTGATAATATCGCGGAAGACATAATTATGGCTTACGAACCATTTGAATAGATGTTCCGATAAAAACTCTCTTTCACTACCTTTTTTTGTAAAAACTGAGATTGAGGAACAATTATGAAAAGGGTTGTAATAGGGCTATGAAATTTAACATTTATCTTTGATTTTTCATAGTGAAACCCTTATTTTGTCATAATTGTTAAAATTTCTGAAAAATTTTTCCCGTGATTTTTCCCCCTGATCATGTCTTCTACCGTTTTCTCCAGCCTTTAACCGTAAACTAACAACATCAGTTACAAACTGAGCATAAAGTATTTGTCCTAAAGATCAAAGAATGAGACGATGATGCCTAGTTCGATTGTAAAATAATAAAACTAGTAAATTCTTGGAAGAGATTTTATTGTTTCCATCCTTAGTTCTGAAAGAATATTTTTCTACTGCGTAGCACAAGAATAACTAATCGCAAATCAATCATTGTTGATAATTAGACATTGGCTTAGTTCCACAGAAATGCGATTGTTTAAACGGAAGCTCCTGCTGAACCACGGAAAAGGGCACTGGATAGACAGGCAGCTCCATTAGACAGGGTTTAGCATTTTGGTTTATCAACCAGACTGGCTAGCTCAGCTACCGTATCCACCTGCATGCGGCCAGAAAAACGGGCCGGGGGAAGGGTAAACAGCTGAATTTTTTAAACAGCCTTTTCGAAAACACTGTACATATTTGGCCTCGGCTCCACGAGCTCTTTGAAATTAAAATTTAGGTCCCTCAGGATGAAAAGTTCATTCTGAAGATAGCCTTATTTTGGGAGAAACAAGATAAGCCCTAATTTCTAGCGCGTTATTTGAGTATTGATAAAAGAGGTTGAATGAGGAACGCCAGGTTTTGATAAATGACATAGGGAATGTTACTGGAAGTTACTGTATGATGAGGATATTGCTAGAAAGTCATGCTTATAATTGAAATAAGCGCTTCTGTATTTAATTGTACAGGTTGACCTATTGTTGAGAGCTATTCTTGAATCGTAAAAAATGGTAAATTGCAGGCCTGGCAGAAAGGCTTCCCGCAGTATGTCAGGTAGCTTATTACTGGCGGTCATGGGCATACAAGCCCAGTCTTGCAGACTGAGACTCAGTTTCGAAAGAGTTAACGAGCGCATCGAAAAAGAGACTGAGCTTCGAAATTTGATCCACGCGGGAGACAAATGCAAAATTAATGAGAGCACCCGAGGCTCTTTACAGTCTTCTAGAGCACTGGAACCGCGGGTTTAAAAGAATCAGCTCGATCATCGTTGACTCAGAAAATGATACATCGATCACGGTGCTCGAGGAGTTATTTTTCAGCGAACTTTTTTAACTCTACAAAAATTCGCAAAAAGCTCAAGAATAACCATAAATTTTGCTTGTTTCTTCCCAAAATCGATCGAACTTGATTCGCTTAAATCGCTCGTTAGGGATTTCATACTGTGTCAAAAATAGGAGTGCCCAATTTTTATGCTCCAATTCATTTAACAATTGCTAATCTTTCTTATTTTATGATAAATATCCATCTTCTTTCTTTCAACTGTGAATTAATAGTCTCCTTCGCCGGTGCACGCTTACATAGGAGCACGTGGGCCCACAATACAGTAATTTGCTCCAAGCCCTTACTGAAGGCCACTTTTCTCACATAAAGCCGACAGATAAATATTTGAGCTTACACGAGAGTGAGTTTCTTTCCCACAGTTACTTCCTTCCTATCCCCCAAGAACGCAGAAGCATTAGCGTAATTGACATAACTGTAAATATGCAAATACAGGCAAATACAATTCGCAAGTTTAATCGCAAAATAAGCGACTTGACGCAACTCAATTGTAAATTGTCAATTGGCTAATTATCAGTAATTACGCGTTACAAGAAAAAGTTGATGTTACAGAGCTAGGGTTCGCGGAGTCTTACGGGCACGAGTACCCAAAACACTGACAGTGTTGTAACTGAGGCTCGTGAATTTGAAGCGTTCCCCTTATCAGTCTTTCCTTATCGCCATGTTTTCAACTCCAGGATACTTAGTCAAAGGCTGAATAAGAACTCTAGAACCAGGACGGCACAAAGTTCTTCAACTTATTCAGACCAGGTGGCATGTTGGCAATACGATGTTGTTCGAACTTTATTCTTAGTCTTTTCAAATTTACGTAGCGGCTTTTCAGAATACGAAGCCGCGAAGCGGCTTCGCAAAATTTTTTTTTGCATCCCAGTTTTCAATTCTGGCGAAGCCGCTTTGCGGCTTCGTTTAAAAAAAAGCCGCTACGCGGCTTTTCATCAAAGATATTCCAGACCCTGACTCAGGTTTTACACACAGGTCGCCGAGCCTAGACCATTCCTAGATCAGTCTATCGGTTGTTTTCCCTAGAGAGTACCGCAGGAATTCTGTTTCTCCGCGGGTCACGTGAACTTTCCGACGAATCGCGGAACATGTCAAAAACTTGCGTTTCCGCGTGCGCCAATTTATTTTCTACATTTTCCATAAACAATGAAAATGTTAGTTACTCGAGGGATAATTATGTTATGACATCAACCAGTGGATGTTTTTGCTGAAAACGTCTTACAACTGAGTATCACTGAGAGGTTGCTGAGTTCGCCGTGTTTTTTAGTACATGAATTTCGAATTCAGTGAGGAATGACTATCTCTTGAACTCTCTCTCAGAAGCCCCTGTCAGAAACTTCAAAGTCTGTATAATGAATATATACAGTACGAAGCGAAATGGCCCTGTAAGTCCTTACTGCGTTGCGAATGAGTCATCAAAACCGGGGAAGTAAAGTAAGGTATAAAGGAGATCAAGATTAAATGCAGTTCGATCTTCTAATGCACCCAACGGTTTCAAATTTTGTAGATTTGTATAAACACAGTCGTGGCTCGAAAATAAACTGAATAAAAAAACGAACTTTTTGATCGAAAATGGTCGAATTTGATGATTGACTTTCCGTCTAAATTATGAGTGCAATTCTCTTCTTGCAAATTTAAGGGGGTCGACGAGAATCGGGATTTCCGTGACAAAAATGCGGAAAATCCTGATAAGATAGGCAAAATATGATTTTACTGGTGGATAGAAAAGAGTTGAAAAAATCAGGCGGCAAAAACTAGAAAAAATTTTGGCTAGAAAAAATCGGTCAAAATCCCGTCAAAGTAGGGCCATTTTCGCGAAAATGCACCAAAAATCGTTAATTTTTTTACAATTTTGTTCATCGTTGAATATATAAACGATTATCTGATGATAATTATAATTCTTTCATCCTGAATTTTTATTGAGCGGCAGTTTTAAAATTTGAATAATCCATCTAATAAGGATCATTTTTAATTTTGTAGCTCAACTCTTAATTCTTTGTTTCTAAAATTCCTTTGATCTGAAATTGCGAATTTATGGTTGCCGATTTGGCTCATAAAATCTAAGGAGTAAATATGGGATGCGTCCTTTTTTCCGTTCACGAGCGGGGGTGATCGACGAACACGGGATACACCGCGCTGCCCTAAGGTAGTAAGCTGGTAAAGTTTGGCGACTGATCAAGCGAGAACGAGGCCAAAAAAAGTGTAATTGAGAACTGTTCCAATTTCTTGGTATTTTATTCATCCGACCATAATATTTGTCTCTTAAAATCTAGTTATGAGACGCTTAAAATGGCTCTAATCAGAAACTCATATAAAAGCCCATTTGTTTTTGATAAATAATTTAAGAGAAAAAGAAGATAAAGAAAACCCGTCCCGAAGAAATCACTGTGATTTTGTTCCGTCTTGACGTTTAAATTTGGTCCTTCGTTGAGCATACTTCCTCCAAAATCGTATTCTCTCTGTTCTCTTTTGTATCTCTCTTGTTTGTGTTGTTTATACTTCTTCCGGTCGCGAACGAGGGGTCCTCCGCTCTTTTTTGGGGTGAAATTTGGTCGTGGAAGAATCCAGTTCGGTTTGAGTTGACTGTAAACGCTGACAGCGCGGGCGCTAGAACAAGCTCTCGAAAGGTAGTTGAAAAGTCGTCGCGCTTGTCCAAAGTCAGCGAAGGCTCTCTCGGTCTGATACGGGAGAAGGACTAAGGGCGACAATGCGGGTATGACTGTTTTACTGACAGAAGTTGTTGAGTCCTATCACTAGCAGTTAGCATTGGAGGAGCGCCGAGCCGGACCTCTAGCGCCATCTCAAGCCCCCTACCGCGCGCCGCGTCCGACACTAGTGCAAAAAAACTGTTCGCTACTAGCCCCTACTCGTCATAAAAATAGCTTACGTGCTCGATCAGATCTTCTCGTAATCCGCAATTTTGCTTCCATAGCTTGTTTTTATGTTGTCGAGGCTGTTGGATATTTTATCTTTTCTTTTAGTACCGGTGTTGCAATTATTTCTTGGAAACTTTGAATTTGATCAAAACAATTTATTTTTAATCAAAAAAAAATAAAAAAAAAATCGAGAAGCGTTCTCTCTGAAAATATGATAGATAGACTTTGAATAATCTAACAGATAAGTTCCTTTAGTAAATTTTCTCAGTAAGGGTTAGGGTTACTTAGATAAGGGTAAGGGCTAAAGAGACATGAAGTTTCTTCACCTTTTCCGTTGAGTATTGTCGCTTGGTGGCGCAATTTTCGACGAAAGCTAGCCAATCGAAACGATGGCCTCCGGCGCGAGAAAAAGGATGATTTCTTTATCCTATGAATTCCTGTCTTTTTATGATATTTGACGTTATTATGTAAACCCAAAAACATTTCAATTAATTTTTTATCGCCAGGTACTAACTTTAAATATTTTGGATCTACAGTATTCTCTGATGACGCGTTGCTCATCCTATAAAAACTTACGAGGATAGCGGTGGACAAGCACAAGTTCGAGCTTTTTTATTTTGAAAATCCATGGAATAGACTGAATTTTCCGAGATTAACTTTTGTACGGGGAACGGTGATCATGTTTTTTCGGTCATTTTAGAAAGAACTTTTTCGTTCCTTCCAAAATTTTCCCTGTAAATCACCGATCATCCTCGAAAAAATAAAAGCTGATAAAAATGAAATCAAATTTCTGAATCAAAGCAACAAAAGGTCTGGTGCATTTTTCTCCGCCAGCCGTGGCATTAGTCTGGTCTCGTCAACTTCACGGTTATTAGCCGATAAAATATCCGAGGGGAGGAGCTAGTGTAGTACCTGCTGCCCTCACGGAAATTGGAAATTCTGAGTCGCGCTGGTCAACGGCTGTCTGATCGCACCGTCTACACATTATAACCGTGACTGATCGCGTTTCCAAACCCTGTGCAAGAATGATCCGCGCTCAAGATCCAAAGTCAAGGGCAAAATATTAAAAAATCATAAAAAAAATCGAGACCACCCGAGAGTTATTGACTAAGACCGGCTTTTTCAGTGGATTGGTTAGATTTTCCGTAAATTAGGTTTTCCGTATGTTAGATTTTCCGTGAGATTTGATTTTCCGTAACTCACGGAAAATCTAATATACGGAAAATCTAATTTACGGAAAATCGAACATTATCTTAATTAGAGTTGCAAATTTTGTGAGCTAGCTGAGCTGAGCTATCTGAGCTCAGTAATTTTGAGGTGAGGGTCAGCTCAGCTCAATTTGACCCCCAGGGTTTGAAAAGTGACAAAATTTGACTGAGCATGAGCACGATTGAGCATCGGCGTGCTTAAATTTGGTGAGCAGGAGCACGACTGAGCATTGGCGTGCTCTAATTTAGCTGAGCCTGAGCATGATTGAGCACCCGCCTGCTCGAATTTCGCTGAGCCTTTTGCTCAGACGTGCTCATTTTCAAGACCCCGAAGATTGACTGCATTTTTATCGGTAGCTCTTCGGGATTTTACCCCGAAGATTGAGCGTATTTAAAATCGTCTATTCTTCGGGATCCCTACCCCGAAGATTGACCGCATATGTCGGTCAAAACTGTACATTCAGTAATTTTTAATCGAATACTTTTCCTTCAGCGATTCGAATTTCCGTAGATTAGATTTTCAGTGACTCAAAGAAAAACTCCGTGAAATTCGATTTTCCGTGAGTTACGGAAAATCTAATATACGGAAAATCTAACATACGGAAAATCTAATTTACGGAAAATCTAACCTCTCTTTTCAGTGATCCGTTAGGGCTAGGGTGGTAGTAGGGGGCTATCATTCGAGCTGCCCCTAACCCTAAACCTAACCCAGGTGGCTACGCCCCGCGGGACTCCCCCTTGAGAGTTCCCAGTCCCTAACCCTAACCACTTGCCCAGATTCTAGAGATATTGGATGGCTCGAAGGATAACCCCTCTCTACGGTTAGGGTTAGGGTTAGAGTGTGACACGCATCATCTATCGATATTTCCACCGACCTAGATTTATTCTCAATAAGCCAAGAGCCACGTACTAAAGTTTTTAACCATGGGATGAGTATGGAGCCGCCTATTTTCAATAATAACAGAAGAGCATCATAGAACATTTTAGCCATTTTAGCATAATGGAGGTGCAAAGTGACTCTTTGTTTTTCGTCAATAAATTTCGATTTCCTGAGATAATTTAAATGTTTTTTTGTCAATTTCGGAAGAAAAAGATCTGATAATTCTTCCGATTTAGAATTCCAGTCAATCTTGAATTGACATCTTCGGAGGATTTATCGGAGACAAATTCTTATTTATTAATTTGAAATTAGGAAACGAGGCATTTTTGGAGATTTTGAATATCGGGCGCTTGTCATGTGGCAATTTATCAATGTTAAGGTTTCTCTTTAACAACTTGTTTTTAATTCTTTTGGAACAAGATTACATTGGAACATATGTTCAAATGAAACATCTTTTTTCAATTTTGAAGTTGAGTTCAAAGAAAAAGAATTCTGTCAGTACTAAATTAGAAGTCACCCTGAAGGTCTAAAATTTCAGCATGTCTCGGGAATCCGCGCAGACGAGACGTTAATACGGATCGGATTCGGAGTAGAAATCGTTCTAAAGATGGCACTCACGGACTTTAGGGATCAGTCTGCGCTGCTCAATGAAACTTGAGTTGGCTCAAATTGGATCAAACTGCCACGTTTTTGGGAGAGCAGACGAGATCACCAGACAAACTCGGATTTTGGAAAGTTTTATTGGCAAGTTGGTTATACAGTAAATTACAGGAGAGAAAAACGAGTATATATAGTAATTTGATGGTATGAATGTTTGGCTAGGAAAAGTGCGTAGAATATAGAAATAACAAAAAACAATTTAACAAGTGGACAGTAAAAATAAGTAGATCTGAGTGACTCAGACAAAAAGACATAAATTTACTTGGAAACATTCTCGCCAGCGACAGCTCGTGCGTAGGGTCCCCGGGCTGAAAATAAAGTCGTTATTTTTCGGATCGAAAACACTATTGCTTGTATTACAAGCACTGCTTGTAAAGCAGTTAAGGTGCACTTGAGTTGGTTAAATATACTAAAGCCGGCACAGAAGACTGTGAGTATGAATCGCAAGCAATTATTGTTAGTATTTGAAAACAAGCGCTTACGAATCTTCGGAAAATCTTCAAGGGAGTCTATTTTAGCTTCTTTACGAGCTGTTTTTGGGCGTTTGGCCCTTTTATTTTCTCGTTTTTCTAAAGTTTTCATTCTTTTTTGAAGCTCAAAAATTAAAACAAGTGAACATAAATGCGATTTGTTACTTACGAATGACAGTATTCCATCCATCAGGTCCTGGCTGGTTTTCCTAAAAGTAAAGTTTGTTTTCCACTTTTCAAAGAACCGAAAGACCTACCCGAGGTCGATATTGCTGCTGCTGCTGCTGTTGGGGCTGAGCCTTCTTCTGGAAATTGCCCTGGCCCTGTTTGCCCTTGTTGAAGTTGTTAGGCTTCTTGTTGTAGGGCGCGTTGTTAGGCCCGTCGCCACGGTTCTTTCCCTCTGCCGAAGAGTATCCAGAAGTGTTGTTGTCCTGGTACTTCTCCTGGAAGTATGGGTACGTGTTCACGAATGGCTGATACGTCTTGATCTGCTTTTCTATTTCGTACTGCTCGTCCTAAACCAAAAAAGAATCACCAGGGAAAAGCTTATTAAATTTGAGACATAGACTGTGGCGGTTTGAACCTGCGTCTCCGGCGGAGATTTGCGGCAGACTGATACTTACTTGTAGCTCGTCGATTTCGCGCAGACTCTGCACGAGGTAATCCATCAGCACTACCGCATTTTGGTTATTGATCCGGGTGCCAATAAACTTTATCCTGGCTTGAGCACACCTTTCCTAATCGGCCTAACATTAACCGTGATCCAGGTTCAAGACACAGATAAGGTACAGAAATGGTAGCTTAGTAAATGTCTATACAGTAGTTGCTCGATCAAAAATACTAGCCACAAGCCGAGCCTTAAAAACGGCGACATCTTTAGACTGAGCGCCTGGAATGTTCGTTGCATCTTCTTCAGAAAGTACTCGCACTTTGATCACGTGACTTTTGTCAATAATATCCTAGCAAAAATTGTCACAAATTCTACCGCCAATTTTACCTGAATTGATTTGCCTTTTTGGCCAATGATTCGTCCGACGAGCGGTCGAGGCACCAAGTAGTGCTCTTCTGTATATTCCAAAATCTAAAACAGTCCCTTAAAATTCTTAAGGGTTGGACTTACATGTCTGGCTTCCGCTGCTGCTTCTGCATTATCTGCATAAATGTGAATAGCATGTTGCTCATCATCGATATTGATTTGAATCACGCCAGGCACGGCTCTAGTATTTCATTTTTATGAGCTTCAATGTTGACGATTTTACCTTGCTTTTTGAATATTTACTCCTTTGTGGCCAACGACGAATTTGAGCAAATCGGGGTCCACATTGAATTTCTCCGAGCAGCTACAGAAACAAGTTGTTAGGAAAGAAAATTAAATAAGGTTCTACACTTCTGCGTCTGTTTTCAGTAAATAACTAAGAAGTATCAACTAAAAACGGGCCTTCCAAGCTGGCAGCGTGAAAGAACCACGCGACTGCTTGTTTCTTAATTCTTTTCAAAAATAAATTTTGGTAGAACATGCGACCTAAACTGACTCATTTTTTCGTTACCTTTCAGCGACCAGTTTAGACTGCTCAAGTGCCTTTTGCGCCTCGACCACTCGCTCGGCCAGGTGCTTCTTTTGGTGGAGATTCTTGAGATGGAACTCGCTTATCATGTCGACTCGGCGGGAGACGTCCTTGCGCGAAAGAACGACGATTCTTCCAGCATGGTAGCGAACGCTCATTGCCTCGCAAGCCTTCGCAAAGTCCCGGTGCGCGTCTCAAGTTCAGGGCTCCATTTGTCTACTAGACAGTCGTCAATAATTAATTACTTAATTGCTATGCTCGAAAACAATTATTGTTCCCATGAATCTCTTTTCTGAGAAATGTGATTGTTATGAACTTTGGTTTTTATTACTGTCGACTTCGTAGAAAATCAGCAGACCCCATTGATAATAAAAGCCTTTCCTGGGTTATTTTCGCAGTAGGCATGGAGCTCCTCGGGAATGACAACTTGGCATTTATGAAAGTCTTCAGAGGACAGAGGCGTTGAAGTATTCAGGGTGCGCAAGTTGCTGTACTCGAAGACATCGGACGTCTCGTTTCCGCAGAACAGGAACTTGCACTTGTAAAAGTCGCCCTAGAATCATCTCATGTAGTTTGTTTTGATCGTTAATTGGGAGATTACCTTGCACTTGTCGATAACGCCTGGGTACCAAAGACCGGGCTTGTCAGCGCTTGGTTGGTAGTAGATATCGACAGAGTCGCCATCAACGAAGACGACTTCGACGGATGGCGGAAGAGCTGGGCGAACACAAGTTACAGGAAAGTCGTGGCGAGCTCTGATCGAAAAAATGATAAAAATCATGAAAAAATGTGGAAAAACTCACTCCTGGTTAAACAAGACGGACACAGTTTGAGCGTCAGTATCATAATCGACGATTTGTCCACCAGCTGCCCAGCCGCCTTGCTCAAATCGAACTTCAACTTGCATCACAGACGCTTAATTCCGACAGTAATTGGCAGTTTCGAAGGAGTTTGTTCGACAACTGACTGATTGTTTACAAAATGCCCGTTGGGAAAATACACACTCTAGAATCGAACCTCCCTTTTTGAAAAATCGACTTTTCTAGCGCAAACTTATCCAAAAATCAAAACATTCTCTTCTCTATCAAAGACAGTCAACGTATTACACTGTAATAATTACAGTACTTACTAGTGCCTTGACTGGAATCCATTCGGTTCTCACTTTTTATCTTACTCTTTGAAGTGAGTTTTTGTAAAAATAATAGTACTTTTGCTAATTTTATCGATAAATTTTTCAAGAGATAACGCGATAAGTGTAGTTCCTAAAGATCTTTGGACTGTTAAATTGGCAAGAGGAGAAAAAGCGTTGGATTAGTAAGTGATAAGCAAGCTCCTTACATGACATTACAGTGACTGTACTTGCTTGTATTCACTTCTTACTAAGACATGAGTAGGGAAATCACTAATAATCGAGCTTTTTCAAGGCTTAGTAAGGTGGGCATATAATATAGCTTTAGAAAGCCCAGGAGCTGGGGATCATTTTGACTATTGATACTTGGGGGTGATCTCGTACCCTGAGGGCATTTAGGTACCTCCGAAGTCATAAAATCTGGTCGATTTCGAAAAAGTACTCATTTTTTGTCGAGTTCCCCAACTTCAAGAGCCCACAGCTCCCCAGGAACCCCACCCCTCACTACTTTTCTATAGCTCAAAATGACCGCAAGAGCCTGGGCTACAATCTAGTATAGGTGGCGACCTCTGAAAGGTCGAGTTAGGGCTTCTAAAATTCCCATTTCCGAAATCGACCAGATTTTATGACTTCAGGGGTACCTAAATGCCCTCAGGGTACGATATCACCCCCAAGTATCAATAGTCAAAATGATCCCCAGCTCCTGGGCTTTCTAAAACTATATTATATGCCCACCTTACTAAGCCTTAAAAAAAGCTCGATTATTAGTGATTTCCCCTAGACATGAGTCATTTTAATGGAGATCTTTGGAAACTGAAATCAAGGAAGAATACATGTTTTCTTACGTAAATTAAAAGTCTTAGCTTTGGTTCTTTATTTTGTAAATTGATAATTTGATACAGAATCTTTTATTTACATAAAAGGAGTGTAGAAGGGATAAAACGGGAGATTTAATGATGATGAGCAAATGGATCCCTATATTGTCTGTTTGATCTTGAGAGTCAATTGACTTGGCCCGTCAAGCGACTTAGACGAGGAAGAAAAATGCTACCAGTGCCACGAGCTTTGCCTGAAAGAGTTTTCTTGTATAATGTAGATCAAGATGATAGATTACCTTCGATCTTCCATAGAAAGAATCATCCTCCTCCTCTTCCTCCTCTGATTCGGCCTCGGGCTCGTCAATGTCTTCGGAAATATCTTCGCTATCTGATTCTTCCTTCTTTTCCTCCGGAATCAAAACAGGAACGAGGATATCTGATTCAGTTGTGGATTCATCCTCGATCTCGGAGACCGTAGTAGCAGCGGTTTTTTTCGATGGAACTTGTGTCGTTGCTTCTTCCTTAATCGTAGTCTAAAGATTTTTTTTTCCAGAAGAAATTGATTTTCGACTCACCTGGGAAACGGTAGTGGCTTCAGAGTCATCGACCACGGCTATTTCCGCTGTTGTAGCTTCTTCCACAAGTTCTGTAGTCACTTCCTCCTCGACTTCTGTAGAATCGGTTACGGTGGCATTCGCAACAACAGTTTCATTAACAGCGACAACAGTAGCAACAGAGCTGGTTGTAACTTCCGCCACGTCGATTTCTTCAACTGCAGCTTCAGTTACAGAATCTTCTTTTTCGTCAACAGGGGCAGATTGAGTTGTAGCTTCTTCATCGGGCTAAATTGCTTTATAAAAGTTGACAGGGCGACATTGATTTATATGAGAAACAGAAGCACGCGCTTATTTTTTGAATGCCAGAGCTCTTTATACTCACATCACTCGCTGTCTCATTTCCAGGACTTGAAAACTCTTCAACAATCGTCTCCTCCGTGGCGATTGGGACCGGAAGTGCTTCGTCTTCTGATTTGGAAACGGTCGAGTTGATCGAAACAGGAATGGCGGAAGGTGTAGCTTGTGATGGGGTTAAATTTTCAGGGGATAAACTTGATTGTTCTGGAGCTTGTGAAGAAACAGTAGGTGCTAGTAAATAGTAAGACTTTTCTTTTGGGTTTTTTGTTACCTGGAACAGATGATGCGACAGGTTGGGATGACTGAGGAGCGTCTGATGGATCTGCTGGAGCGGGGTCACTATTAATTGCGACTAATGATCCCTCGTTTCCGCTCGATTCTTGACGACGCTGACGGCTCTAGGATGGAAAATTTAATCACGATAATCAGGGAAATATTTCAAGCTCAAGTTTACCACAAATTTACTATTTGACATTGTTATTAAAAACCATAAATGATTCTTTCCAAAAATAAATATAAATTTTTATGAGTTTGATTAATCGATTTCAACAACAAAACAACTCTAAGTAATTAAAATTGGACCCTGAGTACATAAAAGAATGAATCTAACAGACAAAAAACTATAGTAAGTACATATGTACATAAATGTTTAAAAGATTACCGGGTTAGCCGCCGCAAGTGCCAGTAAAAAGAAGATATTCATTCTTTCTGACGCTCTCTTTTCTGCTGACTTCCCACTTCCTGGCCCTTTGGCCTTACGCTTATCTCTTTTTTAATTGTCCTTGCAACGCGTTGATCCCCAACTTGGCCCAGTCCTTCTCTTCAGGTCCTCGCGCTGTCCTTTGATTTCTCTTTGTATGCCGTTTCGTTTATGATTTCTGTATTCGAGCCGGGAAAAAGGTCAAACAGCTTTGGATAAAAAGAGAAAGAACCTAGGATGGAGTTCTTGCGCCCTTCGAGCTTGTTTGGATTGTCAAACAAAGATCGATCAGATTTGAATCGTTGGCACAGCGCGAACGAGAACTATCAAAAAAAGCTCTGACCAGGAGAAGTCATAAAACATAGCAAGAATGTGAGTTCATTTAGCATCATTGTGAGGACTTCGTTATAAAAAGCTCTTAAAACACAGCCAAAATAATGAAAAGCGGCACTATTAAATTGTCAATCAATTGATGGCCATATTCCACAGGTCATAATAATTGAAATCAAGGAAGAAAACCACTCAACGATTATTCTTCTCGGAAATCTCTAGAATCGTATTTATTGAATCTTATCATTATGAAATGTCAACCTGCAATCATTATCAATGATTTTTTCACTCCATAGTAAAAACTGCTCTACAAATCCAGCTCAAAAATGCCGGATGTGCAAAAACAAGGAAAGCGTTGCCAAAGCGCAGGCAAAATTTTCAAAGCCCCCTACTGGTAAATCCTTTCCACAAACCAACACTTACTTTCTTACAGATACTGTCGTTTTCGGGCGAATGTACAAGCTCGCCTTCGTCAACCGAAACCTCCAGCTTCCGTATGCCCACGAAAAGACGATCGAAAACGATGGTAATCCAAGTCCAGAAGATTTTCCGATTGAGAATGATTTTGAGATGCTGGACATCTTGTCCCTCAATTCAGAAATGTCCCTCGCAGAAGCGAGCAATGCGGACATAAAGATTGCGCTCTGGAACCCGAGAAAGGCGGAAATTGACCGAGTTATGGCAATAGAAAAGCGGGAGCGAAGAATTAGGCGTCAGGGATAGGCTACTTGATTCAATCGTTTAGAGTCTAAACTTTAGACATATTTATGCGTTTTTCTCTGTTGAAAATAAGTAGCCATTTGGAGTCATTTTCCGTATCTGGAAGCGCCTTGGTAAAAGATCAAAAATCATCTACAAATTGACAACTACTTAGAACAAGTCCTTTTCTTATTTTATTTTTATCCACAAAAAATACATATTGCTATGCACGAAACTGGCTATTCTTCCTTTTTGTGTCGTCTGAGATTGTGGAAGATCATCTTTCGCCAAGATCGAAAGCGCTTTCGACATTTTTCGCACTTGAATTTCTTTTGATTTTCGTTCTTTTCGACCTTGTCCAGGGTTGAGCGGATCATTTCTTGCTGAAGATCTTCTTGAATTTCCTCGAAGAAGCTTTTTGAATTGACCTTGATGGAATTGAGCGAGGTGGATTTTTGAACCTTCTTCGTTTTCGGAAGTGTCTGGTCATGTGATTCGATGTGGATCAAAAGAGCAGTGCGGTGGAAGAACTTCTTCTCGCAGTAATCGCACTTGAATGATGGTGCTTCTCTGATGACAGGAGACGGGATGGCAAACTGGATGGTTCGTCTTCGGATGTGCGATCTGGAAATGCTCTTGGTTGGTGTAAACTGGGTCGCGTCGGAGAGGCGCTTCAATCTGACGATCTTGGCGTTTGTTGGAAGAGAGCTGGACTCCCGAATTGGGGATAGAAGTTCCATCTTTTCGTTTTTTTTGGAGATATGACTTTTTTCATCCATTATGAAGGCCCCTGGCGGTAGAGAGGCAGCAAATAATTGCGCGGCGAATTAGGTCAAGATCAGAGCTAGAATCAGATATCGCGCGCTTCAGATCCACGGTACAGCTGGCAGGGCAAGGTGCCGGCGCCCGACACTTTTCAGCGGACATCAAAAGTTGTAAATCTTATCTCTGAGGAAGATCAGCCGCTAGATAAAGAAATGACCTGCTTCTTTTATTGCGGACAAATTTGAAAGTGACCATGTTGTGTTGCGTGTAATATAACTTGCTTGAAATCTTGCTTCAAACAGAAACAGTTCAAAATATCGGCCAAATATGAAAATTATCAGTTTTCATTATCATATTTGTAGCTTTCAGTGAAATGTAGCCTTTCACAAATGTTGTTATGATGAAATTTATTCCCTTGTGCGAAGCCTTTTCCTCATGAACTCAAGCAGATGGTTGTACCTGTATTACAAAGATTTCTTTCAGTAAAAAGTTGACAGGACCGCGTCCAAACGGGTTCGACACAGTCTTTTTTGAGCAAACGGAATTATTAACGGAAATTCACAAGTTGGAAAGAATGGTGTAAATAAGTAAAGTTAGAGAGTGGAATTTTCTTAAATAAAAAGGCAAAAGTCGGAGAGCTTGAATTTTGAATTTTTATGATCGTTTCTTTCCAAGTTGGCGAATTCTTTTTTGGTGGTTGCTTTTCTTCGCGAAATAGAGAAATGAGAATAGAGCTTACTTGTAGGTCGACTAAAAGGAGGGAGACGGAAATTAAATAAAGATTTCTTAGAGAAACGTGGTAAGGAGAACAAAGTGGTTTATAAAGGGTTTGTTTCTTTTATAAATCACTGGACCAGGCTCTTCTTCAAGGCATTTCTACCGGGAGCTGAGATACGGATTTTAAATTGATACCACTCTAAGAGCAACAAATACAAGAGCTGTCTGCGGCTTCAATCGAAATAAAAAGACGGAAAAGCCGAAAGTATCCTGTTTATGAGTTTTAAAATCCGTGTCAAAAGGAATCGATGTCGTGGTTGTTGACATCGACGGCGTCGTTTCCGTTGAGACTGCCATTAGCGGAGCACGAGGCGCTTGATCCACTTTGGGACTGGTTCATTTCCGAGATTCTTCTCTCCTTGAGCTGCTTGGCGCGGCGCAGATCGCGAACTGGCGGCAACTCGCCGAAGTGCTCCGGCAACTCGTGCCAGTTGATACCCGTTGCACGGGGCTTGCGATTCCGGACACGAACTAAAATTGATTATGTGGCCGTTTTCTCCTCTTCTTTCTTACTTGTTTTAGTTGGAGTACAGATGATATCCACTGTCACGTCATGCTCCGTCTTCAGAAAGCCGGGAAGTGGTTTGACCTGCAGATCATGAACAGTAGTAGCGACAGTAGTATGCTCGTCGACGACTCCCAGCTCGAAGAGCATCCCCCACTCGAGGTCAGTTAGCCCCGTCCCTTTTCCTAGTCTCAAGCCAGTCCTAAAGACGGTGAATGGAGGAGGATACAGTAAGGGCTTTTCCTACCTTGGACAGACGCAGACAGAGCCTATGACAACCAAGTCTAGATGCTTGCCCTTGAGGTCACGGAGTCTCTTGGGTCGATCGCCGCCGAATTGAGCCGATGCCAAACCACGTTTTGATGCGGCCTGCTTGCACTTCTTGTCAGTGATGTCGTTCCCGTCGATCTCCCACATTAATCCCTCCTAGATATTCCTTCTCGAGCAACTCTCGATTATTTTAATTTACCTCGAGACTTGCAGGAACAAGTAAGACCTTCCGGTCCCAAAGGGAAAGATACCGGACTTTCTCCTGCGCGTCATTCTCGTTCACCGTGATCGTCCGCGCCTCCAAGTACTCCTTGCACTTTGAGAGGCGATTGGCCGCGCGCTGGTGGCCCTGGAAATTGGGAATTCGCCCGTGACAAGGTCTTGGAAGCGGATTGAGGGCGAGGTTCTATGTGGGTACGTACCTTGGGAAGCGGACAAGATTGTTTATGTCCAGTTGGTCCCAGATCTCGTTGCGGATCGTTTCCTTCGTTTCCCCGATGCAGGGAAGAAGTTGAGCGATCTCACTAAAAGAAAGCTAGTCAAAGACGGACAGATAAATTGGAACTTACGCTTCGATCTTCGGCGGTCGTTGTCTACCCGCCTTGGGTCCAGCCGCTCCATTCTCCTCGTCGCCACTTGGTGCTTCTAGCTTCGTCTTTTCCGCGGTTCTTACTGATGCTCTTACTGTAACAAATTCCTCGACCCCCTGTAGATGGAGTTCCTCTCGTTCTTCTTGAAGAAGGTAAGATGGACCGCTTTCCTGAAGCCGCGCAGCAGCGATCCTAAGCAATTCTTCCCGAGCAACGACGTTGTTCAGTTCCGCGAGGCCGAATTGAAAGTCCGCTGAGTTCGCCCAGTTTTCCTGCCATGAGGTAAGATCAAGTTTTCGCTCGGACACTTGGTCACCCATTCTGGTCAACCGATTTCTTAACTGAATACAATCGTAAGCTAAATTTTAATGAAAAACCTCCGTTCAATACACGATCAAATGTAGATCTGGATTATTCCTCGGTTCTAGAGCTTCTGGTAAGAAGTATAAACACAAGCTGATGTTGAATAAGTTATGATTTATTTTTCTCCTAGAAATTTTCTTCGCAGATGAATAGATCAAAAAATGAATACAGCAATTTTGAAATTGAAGAGTAGAAAACAAGAGCGAGTATAAATTGAAATTGAACAAGTAGAATAGAACTGAATCAAAGAACTGATAGTTGTAATCAAGCTGGTCAGATAGACAGTACAGTGGTAGAGGAAGGGAGGAAGAATCGAAGTTGGGAATGGTGAAAGTTTATCTACAGTGTCTGCTACTAGAATTGGCGATAGATTTCGTTAGCTAGAATCTTTTCGATTCTGCTAGATTTGGTAGCTTGAAATTACTTTTGAATATTCTCTGAGGGATTAAAAATAAACAACAATTGAAACGTCTTGATTTGAAATTATGAAACTGAAGATAAAGGCACTCGTACTGAAACTTAGAAAAAGTTGGATTCTCGAGAAAAAACTGATGAATCGTGCGTACGTGATACAAGAAACTGCAATTTTGATTTAGTGAAAACTGAAATTGAAGACACTTATTTTTAGAAAATGCGGGCCGCAATAAGAATATCTTGTTTTTTGAGATTCACAGGATGAAAATGATGTTTTTCGATTGTCGTCTTGTTGTGTCTGAAGAGGTCTGTGGCACGCATGCGGATTGTATTTTGACGGATATACAGTGAGAAAGATAGGGAAGAGGATTGGAGATAGCATTTACAGAAACGAATTGGTTTTACATTAAATTTGATAAGGCGCGTTTTCGGCGAGGGTTTTCATACCGTCAGTGCATCGTAATATGCTGCTTCGTTCTGAAAAACTGTAAGTTGATTTACCTCTTTAGTAACCTAAAAGTACATATCATGTATAGACTATAGAATATTGTAAATATTGTATACAATTGTATTAATATTTATTAATCATATTTCAAAAGAGATTATATTTGCAATCAAGATGACGATCCTCATGTAATTGAGCCTATGGATTCATTTTCCGACTGAAGTAGTGAGTAAATTCACTCTAATAATTCCCATCAGCGCTCATTTTATGGCTTTTGCTCAACATGAAAAAGAGCTTGTATCAAGTGATAAGGAACAAATTATTCTACACTCATGGAATTTTCAAAAAACAAAATGCCTTTTACATACAGAATTACTAGGAGGATCTCCTCGAGCATGCTCTTCGTCATAATCTTCAATCGCTTGATCCATGCTTGGATACGTCAATTCCTTGGCTTCCTTATTGAAGCCAACTTTACCGAACGACTCTTAAAAGAAATATCAACATCAAATCCTAAAAAATTCTTCTTACGTTTTCGATTTTCTTTGTCAGTAACGAGGATGGACGACTTGATGACGACCTGTCCCTCTACGATCACATCGTTTACGTAGCCTTCTCGGGGAGGGATGAAATTGCCGTCTTGGTCTCGCTGAAAGATAGGGTTGAAAAAATGGAAAGAAGGGGGTGTCTCTTACCGAGTATTGACTATTCGTCCGGTCAGGGTTGACCGTGACGCCGTTAGTTGGCGGGCTGACCCTCTTCTTCCTCCCAGCCGGTTTTGGAGGCTGTCCGTTCGAAAGTCCATTTCGATCTGGCTTCTCAGGTGCTCTGAAAATGAAAGATAAACGATGAACAATATTTAAATATTGACCGCGATAAAAATTTTATCCGCCCTCAATCAGAGGACATAAATTTGACCCGAGTCTGCATCCTGGCAACTCCCGTGGACGTTACGAAAAACGACCCAGCAAATACAAGGAAAAAGTGCGGAATTGTGTCTTTTTCAATCTTTCGGAAAGACTCTTTCCCAATTAGTCATTTTTTCACTTACCCGAGGCTTCCAACAGGCTTCGTATTTGGACTCGCCTTGGCCAAAATAGCCTTTGCGGCGGCAATTTGCTCCTCTAATAGCCGATTTTCTTCGGCCCATTTCGCCTCGTCCTCATCAACAGTGGTTGCTGGAGCTGATGCTTCTTGTTTGGGCGCTTTTTTCGGCGCCTTTTTTGCTCTAGCGGAGGTGATTTCTTTGGGATCGGCGGATTTAACTTCCGAAGTGGTCGGATTTACTTCTACCGTTGACTTTGACTTTTCTATCAGAGCGTATGCGGCGTCGGCCTAGATTTTGTTGAGTTAAAATTTTCAAGCAACAGAAAGTGCAAATTTCTGAGGAGCTTTGGGAAAAACTGAAGAAATTTTAACTCTGAGGACTTTTCTTTCACAAGTTTATGAGGAAAGAAAAGGCTCTTTTCGTACCTTATTATGAAGATCCCCAAGGCTATTCTCCAACTTCTCCAGATCCTTGATCTCTTGATCATTCTTTCGTGGACTAGAAAGATAGCGTTATGAAGATAATGATAAAGAGAGAGTGAGTCAATTAATTGAAACGCACTTGATCGTAAAAGTCCGCATAGACAAGATGAATCAGAAATTCAATCGAAGTGGGTCTTTCTTTCCGTGCAAAAGATCGAGATTTATTTGGAGAGAAGATTTAATCTGAGATTCGGTGGCTCTCTCGTTCTCTCTCTTTCTGGGATCTCTCTAATAGGGAGCTCGAAATTTTTATCTCGTAAGCTGGCGCTCAGCAAACAATGGTCAATCAGCAATTTTTAGACTGTGTGTGTGTCCTTGTGCGGAAAATTTTCAGAAATTTCCTCGGCCTACGAGGAATTAAATGAACGTTCGGGCCGACTTTTTTTGCTGTTTTATTAGCTGTGTTTTTACCGTGTCGGTGCTAAATTGAGGTGGGTGCGCGCTAGGGCCTCTATGTCGGCAGGGTCATCCAGGGTGACACTAGTGTGTACAGTAAATATTCCCGTTTTTGTCTGGATATTAAAAAAACTTCACTGTAAGTAACTAATGACGCATGAAATTTGCTCAGTGAGGGAAATAGAAAGTCATCGTTAGTAGAGACTAGTAGAGAGGTGGAAATGTTGTTTTCCCAGGAGAATAGATCGATAATGGACTCCTGCGCAAATTTCCGAAAAGAAAATACAGTTCAACATACAGTAATAACGATGTATAGGATTATGACGTCAAACCTTTGCATGGAAATATTTTCGTTTTCATCGATCCTCGACACTGGTACAGTCGTCCCGTCAATATCGACTGACTCGTCTGATGACTCTGGGTAATCCTCTGGCCTTGCTTTTGGAACGTGATTACTGGCATGCTCCTTGATCGTGTCCCCGAGCAAGTCAAACTCGTCTTCTTGCTGAATTTCGGGGTCGGAAATGTCAGAGTTATCGCCATCTGACTCATCAAAGGCCAGCGGCGGGTTTCGATTTTCTACTGTTTTCATTTTCTTTGGCTCTGGCGTTGGTTCTTTCGAGCTCTCTGGTTCAGGAGAAGGAGGACGCTCTTGCTGCTGAAGAACTGGTGCTGCTTTTACAGGAGAGTGGGTAGGAGCGATTATTCGAGCGATTTGTTCCTCTTCTTCTTCCGAAAAATACTCTGGCCCGTCTGATTCAGATGCTGATTCAAAATCTTGAGCAGCAGGCATTTGAGATTGTTTCACTTGAGGAATCACTTCAGGACTTGGTTCTTTCACGATTTCCGGGCTTGGGTCTCTGAGAACAGCCCTCGCCGGCGCTGGGGACTCTTCTCGGGGCGGGGTTGCCTCTCTGGGTGGGGAGAGGCTCCGCGGAGGGGTCATTTCTCGCTTTGGAGCGGAGTTGCTGTTGGTCGGGATTTTCGTGCGGGTTCGTTCGCCGAACATCGAGGCGGTCTTGGCGATGGAAACTCCAGCAAGTTGATCTTGTTTGTCGCTTTCTAGTTCTGACTGTACTGGACCCTGCGCATTCTTCTGGGGTGGAGCCGATTGTCTGATGACTTCAGGCTGAGCGCGAATAACTTGCGGCTCGACTGGAGCGGGAGGCTTTGGCTCATAAGCAGATTGTTTCTTTAGAATGCTCTTTTTCTCTAATGGAGGCGCAGTAGTATTGTTGTTTTGAGGCTGAACTTGGGGCTTCGTCTGGACGTAGGAAGGAGCTTTTTGCTGCGTTGGAAGGGTCTTGACATGGCGAAGGTAGGAGCCAGAGTTTTGGCGGGCGTAATTTGGTGTGGAATTGGGCCCTTGCTGGCTCTCCAGTCGCTAGAATTACGGATAGAAATAGGTTAGAGGGAGAAGAGGCTTACCTTGAACATGGCCAACGCATTGTTCTTGTCGATTTTCTCGCTCTCGACAGACATCGGATCAGCCTGATAAACTGGCTGTTCTTGAGCCTGTGTTGTCTTCTGATGATTTTCAGCAAAATTCTGACTCTCCTGCGATTGTATGCGATTTGGCTGAACGGGCTCGTCAAAGAAAGAAAACTGCATAAAAATCAACGCAATCACTGATTCACCACTCGGCTTCTTTTTAACTCGAAAGAGTCGTAAATCGCGAGTTAATTTTCCGAAATCGGTCGAGAGAAACAAAAAACCGAGAGTGAGCAATTACGGATATGAGCTGAGTTTTTATTCTTTTCTTTTTTACGAGTCCTGTCTGGATGCATAGCTGGGTGGTGGTTGCCGCACCTGTGGTTTTGGAGGGTAGTGCAAGGCGATTGTTGAGGGGGCCTCGGATTGGACTAGAATTATATTTAACTATGGTATATTTTCAAAACATTGCTGAGCCTAGCAAATAATAGAGAAGAAATACTGGACAATTGTTGTGAGAAAGATTCATAAAGCCTTCAAGAAAACGTCAGTAATTCAATTTGAATTCTGGTATTTACATTCGCAAATCAATTAAAATTATTTGCCTTGGATCACGGTACCGTGTGTACTCACCGCTCTGACGCTCCAGATTTTCATTCGCTCGGATTGTGCTCACTTGGCTTTGCTGGCTTTGAAGCTCTAGGGGTAAAGGTTGAGGTCGCTGTTGGGGATAGTAGGGGGACGGAGGGGGTTGTTGATGGAAGTTTTGGGGCTGGGGGAAGATTGAAGCGGGATATGCGTTTTGAAAGGAGTTTTGAGGATGAACTTGATGATTTGTGAATTGTGGTGCTTGTGAAGAGTTCATGAACATTGAAGATGGATTGTGAGGGTTTTGGGAACCCGAGAGGGCCAGTTTGAAATGTTGTCGTGCAATGCGCAGTTGTTCTTCCTGAAATGAGAATATTTGAAAATTGGAAATCGGGATTATTCATTTGACGAGCTCGCGATTGAATCAAATGCCACGATGAATTACCTGCACTTTGAGGAATTCTTCGTACTGGCTCGTGTCATTAAAATAACCATGCGCGGGATAAATGTACGGGTTGAACATAAACGGGTTTATGTTCATCATTCCCATGTTGTTACTATTGCTGGCTTGAAATGAGTTGTTACTTGGCGGCTGTGAGAAGCCAGAATTCTGGTGAGGCTGATTCTGATTTCTCGTCATTTGTGGCATTGGATTTGACTGAACTGGGGTAGCACTTGAACTCATACCAGGACTGACGGTGTTCTGCTGAACTGTAGGCTGAGCAGGAGCCTGCTGGGGTTGAACAGGCTTTGGAGCGATTCGATAGTTGGGACGGACTTTGGGAACGCTCGGAGGAGGCATCATTCGAGGAGTGCCCATGCCACCACGAGCTTCGTCGATTTCTTTCATGACGATCGCGTCAGAATCGGAATCTAACTCGAGAAGATTTCGCGCGTTTTGATCACTAAAATTCAAGTGAATTTTCATTCACAAATGACAGGATTGGTGAACAAATCGTCGGTAGTTTCCTCTCCCTAATTGTTTGTCGACTGAACTTTAACGAAGAAAATTTTTAAAAGGTCTTCTGGTTGTGGGTTTCTTTAAATTACACAGAGCCCTTGTTTATTATCATTTTTAGGGGCTGAAATAAAGCTTATGAATTCATAAAATCTGAACTTTTTTGTCCTACAACGCTTTAAAACAAAATCAAATAGAAAAGAAAATCCAGCTCTGCAAATTTAGACATAAAAAAGTCAGTCAATTGATGCCAGTAAAAACTTTTACCTTAGCGATCGTTCCAACAGTCTGGCTCGTTTCTCTAAGGCCATGAGGGCCCATTCTGGAAGTTCCGACTCCATCTTTTCAGGCTCGTACTTCTCTGTTTTTCAAATTTTCGAAAACGATGCCAAGTCTGAACGAAAAAGGGTTGTACTTTTTTGTTGGTTTTTCACAGCTTTCTCTTTCTTTCCCGCGCCCGCGAACTGATTACCAATCCGACAAGTCACAAGTCCGAGTTTTAAGAAGATCTGCCCGTCAATAAATTTCACCTAAATTTGAATTAAGGGTGTCACTCCTCATTTCGACATCTTTGATGAAAAGGGCAATACATCCAAAACAAAATGTCTTTTTCTTTTTAGTCTCTTAGAATCGGGTACTGAAATCTCAGCAGGTAGTCTCTAACGATAAAAAATACTGACGGCTTGATTAGAGGAAGATAAAGGTATAAATTCGTAGGCGCCGCGCGCCGCGAGTCTCTACGAACACACGCCGCCGGGCAGAGTAGAGTAAGCGACACTGTGGAATGCAAATTTATTGAAAAATGAAAACGTCTTTTATTTACACAAATTTAGTAAGACCACCCAAATGCAGTCTGTTTGACTTTTGGAAAAACTCACACTGCTCGCTAGTTGCTCTAGTTCGAGTAGTGGAGGCAGTGTTCCGATTTTGGAACATTTTCAAAGCTCAAATATTGGGACAGATTTGTTACGCTTGTATCGAAAGACTGTAATCAGTAATCGATTCATTAGTTCTAGAATCTAGATATTCATATATTAAGTTCTTCCAAGATATTCGACTTAAATATAAAAACCTTAAAAAGCCACAAAAAATATTTTGTTTTATATTTCGATTAAATATCATCATTTGACTAATAAATTTACACCTGAACTATATCTCCAATTGCGAACAAAAATTACACTATTATTTCTCTAGAAATCAGCCAAGATGACTTCTGTCAATTCCAACGAGCCAAGTTTCCAATAAATCTGATATAAAAATGGAACATGAATGCGATTAGCAGCCCTCTCCCCAGCATCAGCATAAAAGAATCCAAAGTGCTTGGCTATCAAACACTCGAGCCATCAGTACATGAGCAAACTCAACATAAAATCAGACACACAAGAGGAACTCATACCAGGAAGCAGTAGAATCTTCGTTTTGCTTTCTTTTTATTTATTTAAAGTTTTGTCACAAGCTGGATGGAACGAAAAAGCGTTGATAAAAGTTGAATAGGAAGAAATTAATTGTTTGGGAACGTGGTTGAAACGGGGACAGATTTTATGGCATCTGGGAAAGAAGGAAAGAAACGAATGCTTTTGATAAGAATTGCGGGTAGATCTGGGAATCAACAAGGAATCAGAAGTTGAAGGGTGGGAACTAGAAGTGAGTCTGAACGAGCTGGGAAAAAGAAGGAAAGAATATAGAATGATAGGTTCTAAGATTATTTATTTCGAGCGAGATCTCAGATAGTATTTAAATTATAGCTTTTAAATTACTGATCCAGATAACTTCAACAATCAAATTGAACTTTTTGAAACAGTAAAAAAACCGAGCGAGAAATTCTTAAATTTTTTTCAATCTCAAGGCACAGCCTTGGGAGACATGGAAGAGAAAAATTAGGCAGGGACGATGCTGAGGACAATTTCGCCCTCGAGATGTTTGAGCATGTTGACTGTATCCTGCCGGGTGTATCCTTCGAGCGATGTTCCGTTGACATAGACTATCTGGTCGCCGCGCTTGAGCTTTCCGCTGCGCAGGGCGGCACCTCCGGACACTGTTTTGATGTAAATAGGCAAATCGCCCTTTGGAGAGTCTTTTCCTCCAACAATAGAGAAGCCAAGGCCGTCAGCGCCTCGGAAGAGCACTACATCTACCATAGCACTAGAATTTGACGCTAGACTCAATAACAACTGATAAAAAAGCTACCTGACATGCGGTTGTTTTTGCCTATCGGAGTGCTGGACAAGATATTGGCTCATATATTGCATCTCTTGGTCGCCAGGTGACACCTTGATGATGAGTTAAATCAAGTTGCATTCGACGAAGATGGGTAATTTACCTCGAGGACAACGTTTTGTGGGCTTTGTCGAAGAAGTTGGGCGCACTCGTTGTGGGTCACTCGTTCGCTGGAGGTACCGTTGATCGAAACGATTCTCTCGCCCATTTTGAGCTTGTCGCTCGCCGGTCCTTCGGGATCAACGGCAGCGATGAAAATCGGGACGTCGCCTAGAGCAGAGCCGAAGCCACCAGCAATTGAAATGCCGAGGGTTCTTGAGCGTGGCGTCGTTTGATAGTGACTTTTCGGATCTAAAAACAGTTTTAATAATCAAGCAAAAAGATGTTGTTTCGTACGTGAGATCCTCTTCTAGGAGTTTTCGAGGCCCCATTTTGCGACTTTCGCGGTCTTCTGATTTCGATAACAACTTGGCCTGTCGCTTTCTTCAGTTCGCTAGCAACTCTATCTCGGGTAGCGCCGCTGAGATCGACTCCATTGGCTCCGATAATTTCATCGCCTTGCTGTAGAGTGCCATCGATAGCCGCTTCTGAGCCCGGGACGATTCCAAAGATGATTGTTCCACTCGGTCCATTTTCAATATTCAGACCGAGACCTTGCCCAGGAATCTATGAAATGAATAAAGAGAGGTTTTTATGAGAATCGTACCTTATTCAAACGGACTTTCATAGTGTCCGCCTGGCCAGATTCGTCGCGAACGATGCGGAGACGAACTCGTGAGCCGGATTTTCTCAACACTTCGCTAGCTTGATTGTGAGTGTAGGTACTGATATCGACGCCGTTAACCGCTATGATTCGATCACCAGGAGCAAGACGTCCGTCTTGATGAGCCGCGGATCCTGGATAAACCTCGTGAATCACCACGCAGCCAAGGACCGTCTCGGCTCCACCAGCAATCGATAAACCAAGACCACTAGATCCTAAAAAGCGCTCAAGTAAAAGGGATGTTGTAGAGAGACGCGTTTTACCTTTAATAATTTCTATTTCAGTTTCAGTGCCAGGATGCACCTCGCGCGAGTGACGCGAGCTAATGGTGGATGAAGAATCGCGCCGCGACGAGGGATGAAGAACAATCAGCTTAATCGTGCCCCTTGAGCTCTTTAGGATGTCGGTGACGTCACGGTAGCTAGAATGCTGGCAGTTCGTGTCGTTCACAGCTAAGATCTTGTCGCCGTTTTTCAGCCTAAATGAGTGGGTAAGGCAAAATGACAAGAACTAGGTATTAATTTGCGGTCAAGAGAAAAGTTTCTCATTACAGGTTGACTAGAAAGCTTTCGACCTAATTTTTACATATTCTATCGTGTAAATTTCTGTTTTAGAAAGAGATGAACAACGAACCTGCCATCACGCGAAGCCGGGCTATTGGCGGAGAGTGATCGCACTCTCACACCCGAATTGTTATCGTCCTCGAAGGAAATGCCCAAGCCGTTGAAGTCCTTGACAAGTTTGATGACCTCGACACTGTCGACATCTTTTTTCGAAACATTCAAACGGAGCCGGGAGATTTCCTCATCGACAGTGAGTTTTGGCGCCGGCGCCTAAAAAGAAGATTCTTTTTCTCTGTACTAATTCAATCTAACATGAGTTTGAATCGCAACTTTTTCTTACCGAATAAGGCACCTTCGCGCCGTCTGATCGAATCAGTGTTATCTTTGCAGAATCGTGCTCTTTCAAGAGGTTGATAGTCTCGAGCTGCGATTTATCCGCTAAGGGTACTCCGTTGATTGTAACCACTTCGTCGCCAACTTGGATTCGGCCGTCCTTCTCTGCAGCGCCGTCAGGTGTGATTTTTACGACGCGAATGCCTGAAATGGAGATTTATTGCTGACCAAGAAGTCGCTTTTGTCTCCGAGGAAAAACGAGATATTCGCGCGACAGAAAGAAAAAATATTGCAAGCACTAGAGTATCTATTCAGACTTTTAGAGGACGTGATCCTGAATAAAAAGAGTCTCCAGATGTTCGAATTCTCAAAAAAAATGCTTTCAATTTTGATATAATCTCCGTAGAGCAAGTTTAATTTTTAAAGAAATACAGTCGATATAAAGACAAAACCTTCTACATGATTCAATTCGCGGCGCTTTGATTTAGCAAATTATAAATTAAAGAGTTCATACCTGCGTCGCCAGACTGGTTGCCAATAAGACTAACGCCAAGGCTGCCGTTGAGCTTATGAAGGGTAACAGAATACTCTTGCCCAGGCGCAATTTCAGGCGTCGCCAAGATCTGCGAGTTGTTCGAATTTGTACTGCTGGAAAGAGTTGTTTCTGTCTAAAAACAACGGCTTAGAAAAGTAGGAAAAATACAAGCAAAAAATAATCGCCCGTGAAATTGAAATTTCTAATGACCTGACCGTGGTCCACCACTGTTAGTGTCTAACATGAAATTTTGAAATGGAAAAAAAGAATAAACGACCCGTTCTCTCTGCTGGAAAAGCCCGCCTTTGTGTGTTGTTTCAATGATTTTGAAAGGACAAGAATCACACGCTGCTGAAAAGCTGTTTTCCGCCAGCCTCATCAAAAAATTGAAATTTCTGAAATTTAAATGCTTCCTTTCAGAATTTCTCTAATTGAAAAAAAGAAGGTGAAAAGAGCTACTAACAAAGAAGCGGAACCTGTTTCTCTCGGTTTCTTTGTTGAAGCCACTTTGAGGTTGGGGAGCAAAATACCACTCGGGCGGGTATTTGAGAGTTCGTGTTCGATTGAACTTCCTCAATTATTCACAGAGAGAACACACGTTTTAATCAATTTTTGATAAGTAAATGAATAGCAAAGGCACTGGAAAACTGCCACCGATGAAAGCTAATTCTCTAATTCACCTATCGACCCTCTTTTCTCTCTTTGCAAAAGAAAAAAGGGAAGATCACCCTATTGTATATACTGAGTTACTGTACCTCACTCTCGTATAGAACGAGGTCGCCTGTGCACTGAATAATATAAGATTTATAACTTGATATACAGGCAGCTACCTCAATATTTCTTAAAAGCCATAAGAGGCTTGGTGCAAATAACTGTACTTTTCTGTCGATTGATTGTTAAACTGTAGATTACCTGTGGTTTCAGTGGCTGGACTTGCAGGTGTATCTTTTCTTGGTCGCTCGCCTTGATAAGCCGGATCACAGTCTGGTGCGAGCTCTTTACAGTACTCTGGCCATTCACCTTGAAAAAAATGGATAATGGAGGGAGAGAGTGCTTATGGGGGATTATCGGATAAAAATATCCGGTTTTCCGGTTTCAGTCCCGCTGAAACAATCCCACACGACGTCTGACCAACTAACGAGCGGGATCATGTTTGCTCCCTGGCTCGCGCTTCTCCCTCGGGCCATCAAAAGAAAGGGTTGAAGTTTTCTGCTCAGAAGAGGAAAATTACATTTATTTCGGCAGAGATGTATCTATCTATTTAATTGACTCCATTACTATTTCAGGAAAAGTTTCAGCAAATTGTGAATATGAAGAAATAGTTCGATTATTAATTGAAAATAACGTCGGTGAACTATTTTACTACAATAGAAATAACGAACTTTCCTTTGGTCTTTAGAAAGTAGACATTATAGGAAGAAGGGTAACGCGGAGAAGATTATGATAAACTTGACTTTCTAAAGCAGCTCAAGTTTAGTCGGTGCCCACGCAGTTGCGTTGAGTTTTCATGCTAATGACCGTCAAATTATGCAAATATCCAGTTATCCGGCCGAAAAACTAGGACCGGGCCCACTTTAGAACTTCTCTCTATATTTACCTTGATAATTCGATCGCCAAATTTGAGTCCTGCCGCTTCAGCTGGGCTGCCTTCATCAACGCTCTTGACGTAAGTACCTCTTGGCAGGTCAAAGCCGCGATGCGAAATTTCTGAATAATCGACGAGCGTAAGGCCGAGGGAGCCATTTGGCGCACTAGGTCGAGCGATCGTGTACGGCTGCGGTGGATTCCACAGTGCGTCCCGCTCGTCGTCCGTTGTGGCTTCTGTCAGATAAGCGTCCGAGAGTCCAGCTGAGCTGGGCACGCGATCTACCGTAGCTACAGGTTCTTCGACAACAGCAGCAGCTGCTTGTTCGGAGGCGAGGCGATCCGTAGATGGGAGATATTGGAGAATAACAGTCGAGGAGTGGTAGGAATGATGGCGGATGAGCTGGCGAGCCTTCTCTGTCTCGAGCCCGGCAACGTCTGAATCATTGACAGACACGATAATATCCCCAGCTTCCAGCTCGCCATGCTTGGCTACGGCGCCGTTGGAAATCACGCTGCGAATGACAAGGCCTCTGTTGAGCGTGTCAGGAGAAACGGTGATGCCCAGACTTGCAGTTCCCTTGTTGATTCGAATCGTTCGAACTTCACGGGTGTCGATGATGCTTTCTGGTTCTTGAGGAAGGTCGGGCTCAGAGTCGGATGATGGAACGTTGAGTTTTTCGTCGTCCGTGGTGTCTTTTGTTTCCGCGATTTGAACGGGGACTTCTGGAATGCGTTTGATTTCGTGGGCAGTGTTGTCTTCTATGATTTCAACGATTGAATATGTTACAGAGAAAAGTAAGAGCAATGTTTTCTATCTATTAGTACATGCAAAGACAATCAATCAAGGAAGAGGTTTTTTGAACTTGATGAAGCATACCTTGTGGGAGAATTTGCGGCTCGTCAGGTTTAGTGTGGGAATGGATTGTAGTAGCAGAGACAATGGACTCGACTACGGACTCTTGAGCGTCCGAAAAGATCGACTCGTTGTCGGTTGTTTCAGCGCCAGCTGAGTTGGACTCATGTTAGATACAAAGTACGACATGCAAGAAGGGTTAAATAATAGCTTATGATTAGCGAAGACATTCATGCATTGGTAAAAAATGATAAAGCAATACTTTTACCACATGAAAGTCTCATAGCAATTTTGATGATTAAAGCGCTCTTACGTTTGACCTGGATGACCGGAAGAAGCTCTCGCTCAGGCTCACGCTCCACGGGCGGCGGAGAAGGCGATCGCGACTTTTGAACTTCGGGCTCCGGTGAAGGAGATTTTGGAGGTGGCGTCGGAGGAACCTAGGAAGAAAATTATCAGATTTTTGATGAAATTTAAACTTTTTTCCGAGATGTAATCACACATTTTGAAAAAAGAAAAAAAATTATCAAGAGCTCATTCAAATTATTCGAAATCTAAACAGTTCAATCGCTAACTGTTTTTGGCCCAGTCGTTGGTGAGATTCAGAGAGCATTTCAAATCGAGGTGTGCACTGTGGTAAGCCGAAAGCGTCAGGGACCTCTTCCATGATTCGGACATCTTCGAGATTTTCGCGGAAGTGGACAGATTTTTCAAGATCGTGATGATGCTTTTCAGGCTCTTGGAATTCTTCTTTTGGGGGAGTAGCTGGAGGCGCTGGAGCAGGTTTTTCATCTTCTGACGTTGAAGATGAGCTGTCAGAGAGATCTTCAGTAAGTTTCGGTGCAGTTTCGAAGTTTTTATCCTCTTCTTCAAGTTTTTCTTTTACAACAATCGCCCCGAGAAGCGCTGCTTGTTTCTTGCCAGCTTCTACTTCATCCTCAACAGTTTCCTCGACGGTTACCGTCTCTTCAACCTTAATAGTCTCGTGAACAGATGCGCTGGAATCACTCTCAGTATCAGTCTCATTTTCAGTGCCCTCAAACGATTTGTGCGGTTCGACAAATGGTGTCGAGTTTTCTGTCAACTCTTCGACAGATTCATTGACGGTTTCTTTTGAAGCAAGTTCTTTCAGCACTGCGCCGCCAATTATTGCTTTTCCAGGAGTAGGTGAGGCTGAGTCGGGTTTCGGAGCCGATTTAACGATTGCAGAGGACTCGACGGTCTCCACAGTTTCGATTATTTCGACCATTTCATCTTCGATAGTAGAATCGGACGATGTCGAGCTAGATTCAATCTCTTGAACAGGTTGTACTGGTTTGTCAAGGGAAATCGCAGCCATTATTTCTTCGTAGGATGGATCTTTTAGGGCTGGTTCCTTGGGACCTGCTTGCTGTTCTGCGGCTTCGTCTTCTGAAGACGACGAGGATGAGGTTTCGAACTTGATAAGCTGCTCTTCTTTTACTTCTGTGATTGTTTCCACGACTTCTTCCGTTGTATCTGGCTTTTCTTCCTCTTCCGCTTCATTTTTCAACTCATAAACATCTTCTTCAGTCGTTGAAGAATCATAATCTTCATCATGCGCTTCTTGCTCTTTTTTGGAGATAATGATAGCAGCTGCAAGGTGCTTCTTTTTCTCCTCTTCTTCATCAGATTCTTCAGAATCCGACACACTGTCAGACGAAAGCGCTGGTTTGACATCTGTGGTAGGCATCGGTTCAGGAGTGAGGGTTCTTAAAATTATGTAATAGAAACACGAGTTCGCTGATATTGATTCTTACCTATTCGAGTCTGAATCGCTCCACTGACCTTCAGATACAGATGTATCCAGCTGCTTGTTTTCTGCTTCCACGATAGACTTACTCCACTGACCTTCGGAAACCGACGTCTCATCGCCATCTTTCTTCTCTTCCACGAGACTCTGATTAAAAGTTCCTCTTGAGATAGAAGACTCTGCATCGGACTTTTCCCAGTCTCCCTCTGAAACAGAAGTTTCATCAGCGTCATTCTGTTTTTCCGCGATGGACTGGTCAAAAGTTCCGTTTGATACTGAACTATCTTCATTCTCATATTGCGCAATCGGACGGGGAGGAGGGAGAGTTGGAAGGCGCTCTCCTCGTTCTACCAGAAGCTCCAGCCTTGAACCAGCATTCTTCAGCATATCGACAACATCCTTTATTTCATAGCCCTCGACTTCCCGCTCATCGATTGATTTGATGACATCGTTGGGTTTCAAAAAGGCCTTCGCAGCGGGAGAGTCATCACCAACAACGCTTACAACAATTGATTCATCGACCTTTCTAATGCCAAATCCAAAGCCAGGCTCATCGGGGAATTTTACAATAAGAATCTTTGTAAAAATCTCATCGCGAACAGCAAGTGTCAGGAATGTTGAAGTTTTAATGACTTCAATTACTTCGGTGATTTCCATGTCATTAACTGATTGGCCATTGATAGAGACGATTTCGTTCCCAGACAAAAGAGCTTCTGACGATGGAGAATCATGGGAGACTGATTGCACGATAAGACGATTGTTGATTTCGGCGACGCCGAAGCCGAACTTTTCATCTTGCTCTTTCGACACTCGAATAATGCGACCATAAGCAGGGCGAACAACATTGTGGTAATGGTCTTGCTGGACAACTTCAGTTTTTTCTTCAACAATTGTTTCTGTTGCTTCTTCGACAGTATCTTCCTCGATTTCTACAGTAGTTTCTTCTGATCGCCGGACCTTCAAAACGATAAATTCAGTCGCTGAACTAATCAGTTCATAAATAGCCTTCAATTCCATCTCATCAACTTGCATATCTCCAATAAACACAATCTGATCTCCAACGAGAAGACCCGCCTGCTCGGAAGCGCTGTTTGGGTTGATGTGCTGTACTCTTATTCCATCGCTCTTGTGGATGGCGAAACCGTAGGATTGATCTCGCACGACCTTAATTTCTAGTAGATCGCTATCGGGCTTTGGCTTTTGTTGCTGAGAAGCGACAGAGATAGCAGCTGCGGAAAGGACAGCTTTGTTGAAGCCAGCGGCTTTTTCATTAATCGCGCGATCTTCTGAGGACAGAGAGGACTCACTGGAAGAGTCTGAGAATCTAGTTTCAACGGGAATAACTTGCGTTGTCTCCTGGACCGTCACGGTCTCTTCGACCACTTCTTCATCTGTGCTACTCGAGTAGATACTGGCATTGTCGTGATTGATTTCAATGGGAGGGATAAGAGGAGGAACTGGTGGTAAGCTTTCAACAGGAGGTGGCCCAGAAGCTCTGTGTAAAAATAGAACAACAACTCCGTCCGCTTTCTTGATCTCTTCCAGCGCCGACTGAACATTGTTCTGATCCAAGGCTACTCCATTGATCATTATGATCTGGTCGTCAATTTCCAGTCCAGAGTTATCTGCAGGTGTATCTTCGTTGATACTTTTGATTAAAATCTTTCCGTCACGCTGACATACACCAAAGCCGTACGTCACATTTCTGACGATTTTGATTTCAAAGCCATCGAGTGGAACAGCGGTGGGAGTTTCTAAAATATCGCTCTTTTCAGAATCACTATCGGATGATGACGACGATGATGATGAAATCGACAAGGTACGAGTGACGTCGTTGCGACCGACTTTGAGATTAACTTGGGTTGGATTGGATTTGAGGAGATCCATGATCTCGCGCGACTCCAAATGGTGAACTGGCTGATGGTTGACTTCGAGAAGAATGTCTCCTTCCCGAATTGTTGAACGAGCTGCTGGTGTATCTTCTTTTATGGTTTTAATTGTCGGTTGTTCGTCAAACTCGAGTCCAAAGCCAAAAGTTTCATCTAAGAATTAGAAAAGATCCCTCAAAACAATCCTCTCACCTTCTCGCTTCGTAATAATAATATCGCTGATGAAAGCAAAATCGTTTTCGGAAACATTTTCAAGCCCTGGCTTAGCCATAACAAACGGCTCATCCTCGAAAACTTTCGTTTCTCTTTCTCCTTCTTCGGTGAAAAATGAGTCTTTTTTCGATTTTTTTACTCGTCGTCTTTTGAAAAAATTGATGTTTCGGAAAAATGAAAAACAGCCTCTTTTTCCAGCAGTGAAATTTTTCATTGTAACAAAAATGTGCAAGATCGACTTTTTGCAAACAGACAACCTTTCAAAAACAACCACGTGATTTAAGACAGTGCTGTCTTGAGTTCGAAAAAACGAGCCTGAGGGTAGTCGGTCTGGGCGAGTTCCTCTTTCTCGAGACACAACGATTTCTAATGAGTTTCCGGCTTCACTTTTGTCGAAGTCAAGAAACTGCGAACTAACAGTTTATCGACAGTAAATAATATTCTTGACTTTTCCTAATGTACGCGATGGCTTTATGAATATCAGTCTCAGGGAACGGGCCAACAACCTGCTCATTGATCATGATAATTTCATCATCATCGAGTAGTTTCTCATCCGCCACAGTGTCAACTTTAACATCGTTGACAACAATGTGGATCCTTCCATACTGATCTTCCGTCTTTCCAAGCGCAACACCAAGAGTTTCGCCAGTTTTTCGCTCAATTTTGACAAGCACCAGCTCTCGGCCATGCTCTTGTCCAGCGGCGAAAGCTGTTTCAACCTCTGGTCGTCCCTCCGCCAAGGCCGCAAGGGCATGCGAATTATCCTCCTTTCAATTATGTATTTTCAAAAAATTTCAAAACAACATTTTCCAAATCAATTCCTATAAATCCATGTTTTCAATTCTAGCTTCAGTTTTTTCTCTAATCAAAATCGAGAAAAATGAAGCTATTTTCTTTCAAAATGTGTGATGCCATCAAGCTAAGAAAATCAAATTTCCCAACACCAAATATTCAACTGCATGATTTCCAAGAAAAATCATACTGTAAGTGCCACAAAATGAAGAAACTTACGATCTGGATCGGCTGTTTGATAACAGGGGCCAGGGCTGCCATTTGATTTCGATTTTGCTCAAAGTTAATGGACTCTTCAATAACAGTTTCTTCGTTATCTTCGAGAACCACAGGCTCATCCGCATCTTCATCGACCTTTCTGACGCCGATTTTGACGATTCCTGGAGGCAGACCCTTGAGGACTTCGACGCAATCTTTTAGTGAGTAAACTCGCATGTCAAACTTGATCTCATTGACTCGGATGATCTGATCGCCGGGCGAAAGGCGTCCGTCTTGATCAGCGACTCCTCCGGGAACCAAACCGCGGATTCTGAAAGTTCAAATAAATTAATATTCAAAATATAGATTCATTTGTACCTAATACTATTTGCTCCATCTCTATCCGGCGCGTCGAGAATGGAAAAGCCGAGGCCAGAATTGCCCTTTTCAAGCTCAATCCAAACCAAGTCGTCTTCTTCTTCAGAATCCTCCGAGCTGACGCTGCTGTCTTCTGAAACGACCACAGTCTTGCCGATCGAAGCAGCCACCATGTTGTCACTTGTGACCACAGTTGGCACATATTCAGACATTGACGTTCCCGGACTTGCGGCCCACGTGACGTTCTCCTCTTTTTGCACGGTTTCTTCTTCAACCTTTCTCCGGGCGCAGACGAGCACGACATGTTCAGGCAAAGATCTGATAATTTGCACAGCGGCGAGATGGTTCATTCCAATCAGTTTTTCTCCGTTTACTTCAAGTACTTCATCTCCAGCTTTGATTCCCGTCTTTGTTCCGACGGGGCCAGAAGGAGACACGGATCGAATGATATGTTTAAATTGTCCTTCGCTCTCCAGGCCTTCTACGTCGATTCCAAGTCCGGCGTTTTCGTACTCTTTCGTCAACTCCCCGACCTGAAAAACAATGATAAAGCATGCAAATTCACAAGCACCAGGGGATTAAAGCACCATCTTAGGTCACCATGAATACAAAAAAGGATTACCCTATCTGCAGGTACAGGATCATCTGGCCCACTTTCAAGCGCTTCAAGAGAAATACCAAGCCCTTGGCCTGGCTCTCTCGCAACTTGTTCTGTCTAATTTGGATAAATTAAAGAATGAATGCGCCTCACGCAATTTTATAAGACAAAAAAATCGATACTTACGATGATTTCGAATTTGTCGCCGACAATCTTTTGCCAATAATGGCTGAGTTGGGCGATTTGCTGATCGGTGAGTCGGGTCGATTTTCGCTTTCGTCGAGAAAGGGTTAAATGGACCGAGTCGCCCGTATTCTGCAGCGCTTCCACGGCCTCTTCGGATCCAACTCCTTGTCCGTCAAGTCGAAGTCCATTCACAGCAATGATCTGATCACCAGCTTCAATTCGTCCGTCATTTGCCGCTGGCGAGCCAGGGGTAACAGCTTTGACATAAATTCCATGCTGCGCGATTCCGGAAGATCCATCATTCACCCATCCTGCGATATGAATTCCAATTCCGCCGGCGTTCTTCGTCAATTCTACATCAAACACCTCATCAGGCGACGTTTTCAACTGGTTAAAGGTTGGCAACTCGCCGCGGGCAATCTCTAGTTTGACCGTCGAGCCAGTTTCTTGCAGAATCGTCGCTGCTTCTTTTGAGCCCATTCCGGAGAGGTCGATATCGTTGATTTTGAGAATCGTATCTCCTGATTGAAGACGACCGTCTCGGTCTGCCAGGCCATCCGGAAGGATCGTTTTAATCTGAACACCCGTGGCCTTTCCACCAACGATTCCGAAACCAAATCCGCTTCCTTCATTGTGCAACACGACGATTTCCGAGTGAGCCCAGCGCTTTTCAGCTGGTTTCAAATCGACTTCGGATGCTTGAGATTCAGAATCCGAAAAGCGCCCTGGCTGCCGAGGAATGGGACCACGTGCAATGATCAGGTGAACGGAGTCCTTTACAGCTTGAAGCGCTGCGATCGCTTCTGTGTGCGAGACACTTGGGCCGAGGGGCTTTCCGTTGATGACAAGAATCTGATCTGATTCCTTTAGTCGACCATCTTCATCGGTAATCGTGCCAGGTTGAATTTCTTGGACAAAGATGCCCAATTCGCCGCGATTCTCCGATTCCAGGCCGACGACAGAGAAACCAAGTGATGTCCCCACTTGTTTTTCGAGAGTGATGTGTTCGGTTTCCCGCCCGTTGGCCATTTTCTCGACGAAATCATCGATCCAGCTTGGATCGTCGACCGAAGATGCGGATGAGCTCGTGTATTCTTCGGCTTATCAAGAATTGAAAAGCAGAAATTTCTGCATTTATTGAAGATATATTATCGTTAAAATAAGGGTATTTCTCCATTAATTTGGGGAAATAAGAGGGGAAACCAACTGATAATGGGCATATTTGGGCCTCTTCATCCTGGGGGTTAATTTTTCTTTGTGAATAATTTTTCATAAATGAGATCATTTTCGAGCTAAGCATTAGCAAATAATCTCGATTCCGCAAAATCAATTGATTTTGGCGATTAGCCGCTGTAGTAAAAACGACGATGATCAATATTTGCATTTCAATTCATTCCTAAATGTCCGTTCTCGTCGATTTTGAATTCGGAAAATTCTTCTGGGTTTTCTTGGATTGTTTCTTTGACCCTAGTGAGCGCCTTTTCTAAATGCAGGAGCTGGCGAAAGAGCGGATCGTTGATAAGCTGCTCTAGGCCGTCCAGGCCAGCTGCTTGGGCTCCGACTTGGGCTCGAATTCGCTGAAGCGCTCCGGCTACATCGTCGATTGAGGGAGATTGTTTCACCCCGGGCATTTTGGAAAAAGCCCAATTTACAGTCTGAATATGTAAAAGCATTTAATTTGAGTTCAACTGTGGTAAATTATTTTTTAAGATAAAATAATGTGTATTTTGCATTCTCCAGAATTGTCATCGAATCATTTTCAAGCAAGAAAAGAATCGTGATATGAGAAAAAGTAGTTTTGGATATGATAATCTTTGAACTACTTCGACGACATAGTGATCGAATTCGAATTTAAAATGTAATAAGAATCATTTTATAACGAACATACATGTATCTTTTTAAATAAAATTATAAATTTTTAGAAATCACGGACTTCAATGTGGCTCAAATGAAAATTCATTTGAAACATAATTATGTTTTTTATCATCTTTAACAATAATTTTCGGTAAGTAAATTCATGGGCAACAAATTCGACTATTTAGTGCAACAGGTGATCAGAAAATAAGCAAACATTTCCAAAGTTATTTTAGGACAGAAAATTTAAATTCATTCTTCTGTTGAAAAAGTTTTATGGTTTCTTAATTTCTTCATTTTCATTTCTTCTTCAATCTCTATTTTTTTTCTCATAATATTAACAAATACCCATCATCGAAAAAAATATCATTTTATTGAAAAGAGAGAGCTGATTCTGAATCAGCGTTTTCTTTTTCTCAGCGATTGAAAACGAGAAAAGAGTGAAAGGGAGAGAATTCGCGTGGGCGAAATGGCTTACTGGCGCGATGCCACTTTCACTTCGCAAATTTCAAATTTCAATCCGTCTTTTTGGTATTTTAAAAATCAAGAAAAATAAAAGAGAAGAGGAATTTCGGGTTAATTTTTAACTCCTTGTCTGTTTCGATTCCTGGCCAGGTGAGCCAGTTTTTCTTTCTTTGCTTGAATTCAATATTTGCTCAATTTAGTAAATTTCATGCTGAAATGACTGTATGAAAAATGCTTGTAGAATGAATTCGGGAAAGATGGGAGCAGCGGGCCTCGATCAGGAGATCGGGTACAATCCGATCTTGACCGCCACGGTCAAAAACGAGCAAGGAGTCCGAGATGTAGGAACGCTCTCAGAATATTCTCTCCAGGGTTCTGTAAAAGATGAATTTGTCGAAGACGTGAAGAACAGACTCAGAGGATTGTGCGATAACGTCGAATGCGAACCGTTTATCGGTGAGTTTTGCAAATGATCGGATTTCCCTAAACCCCGGATTTCGCCACTGACGGAAATCAATACTGGTGGGAAAGACGTTTTGATTTCCGTCAACGGCAAAATTCGGGGTTTGTGAAAGCACGTTTTTGCAGGAAAATATTTGAACTTAAGACTGCTTTAGATCATGAAATCTCTTACTCCCTTCAATCTTCCTCCGGTAATGCTGTAACAATGCGTGTATCCCGTTCCTTGGCGCAAAGCAAAATGCCCTGGCAGTTGAAATACGTCGGAGCACTCGAAGTAGAAATTTATTTTCAACCCTTTTTCATTTAAAATTCTAGACAGGCAAAAACAAATCTTGCCTGATGAGAAATCAAGTAACAGTCGGCTGCTCGGAAAACGTCACTTCTTTCCTGACAGAATTGGGATTCAGAGCTGACACGGAATTTCTCAGCAAAGGATATCTCTACAGAAAAGGGAGGATAAAAGTCGTTCTATCGAAGCTTTGCAAAATGAAAGAACCAGGACAGCATCAGGAACAGAATCTTTTGCCGCTGACGAAAAGTCATCTTGTGGAAGTTTCAGTTACGACCCTCACGGGTGGAGAAGACCCAGGAAATGCTCTTAATCTTATCTTTTACGCGAACAGGCAGGATGATTGCAATCGTCAGCTGTGGAAGTAGATAGTTATCTTAGAATAGAGGGTGCTGAACTTGCTATAAAAGCTGCTCAAGGTTTCAACTCATTTATTTTCAGACCTTTTTAAAATGAAACTGAAGAAACACATCCTGTTTAACCATCAATGAAATTTTTTATGTTGAGAGCATTTGACAGGCCCAGATCTAAAACATTTCGCGGAAATGCTGAAACCACAAGTGAAGCTTACAAAAGTCGATCACCGAGAAATTCAATCACATACACGCCCAAATTTCTGAGCTAGAAATGGCTACTTCACTACACGATCTTCTTTTCAAAATAGAAGAGTCCACTGTTTCTTCTTTTCAATCGTATAAGTGCAATAAAATCAACCAATTTATTTATTCGGAAATATGATATATTTTAGTCAAGAATAGAGTACATGGCTTGTGCGAATTCTGCAGGTTTTTTCAAGACAGTCTTGTTGCACTGATGTGTGTTATTTTATTCAGTGTTTGTGAATGCAACAAGTAGTCGCTGCAAGATAACTGACATACTCCATGAAATCTATTGATTCGCTCTCATCCCAATCCAAATCCTTGAGGAGTTTTTCGCCAGTATCTTCATCACCTGCATGGAGGGCTGCATCTTGGAGAGAAGGAAACTCCTCTGGAATAATCTTAAAGCAATTACGATCTCTAAATTCTAAAAGTACCTTCAATGAGACCTCTTAATTCCGCTTTATTAAGTTGCTTGTCTTCACCGGCTTGCTTGGCGAAAGTTTTGTAAATCAAAGTCATTGTTGCTGCAGATCACCCATACTCTCAATAGCTTACGGACTTCTCTCTTATAAAGATATGGATGAAACGAAGAGAATACGGCAGTTTTATACAAAAATAACTTCCGGTTTAATAAGACGCTATGCATCCTTGCTTCATAAATGTCTATTTTTATCTTTTTTTAAAAACGTATCTAATTTTCCATAAGTATACCTTATAATGTATTATAGCACTTATTTATCATCAAATTTTCAATATCGAGAAGTTAATTTATGCAGGCTTTTAATCATATTCGTGCAGAGATTTGCAGAAATTAACTCCTGTTTCAGTCCTTTTTTAATTTTTTCATAGCATTTGGCCCGTTGCACAAATAAGTGCTGCAACCATTGTCACAAACTCAGTGAAGTTCACGTCTCCACTAGCGTCTTGGTCCAAGGCCTCGAAGATTTTGTCGACCGCATTTGGATCTTGTACACTTGCCAGCATACCAGCGAACTCATCATGTAAAACATTTTTGAAATTGGAAGTTCTTAATTTATTACCATCAAGGAGAAGTCTCAACTCTCCTTTTGAGAGGGTCTCGTAGGGTTCTTCATTTGATGCATGCTGATGGAAAACTCCTATCAGCATAGCCATTGCGCTTTGCAAAGCTGACATGTACTCGACTTGGTTTTTTTGTATTTTACCGCTTTGGAGAAATGGATGAAAACGGGCAGCTATATACAAAAATACTTCCGGTTCAGGTGCCTGCTTTGACTGTATCCTCGGTTCATGAACGAACCTAATAAAAAGATCATCCTAACACTGCAAGTATGGTTATTTTCCAAAGAGGAGATATTAGAAATCGTCGCAGAAAGAAGCTTCGATATTTCATTTAAATTAACTTAATTTTCTCTTTCATTTCAAATGATGTAGATAAGAAAAAGTGGGTCCCTCTGTTGACCATTACTGTTTGCAGAGCATTTCGTTCGCTACACAATCAAGAGCTGCGACCATTGTGACGAACTGTTGAAAATTCACATCGCCGGCGAAATTTGTAGCAAACCTTTGAAGTCGGCAAAAGAATATATTTTCTAGCATTGCTTCAGGTTTTCTACATTTGTCTCGCAAGGCAAAAGCAACGCAGATATAATAGAAGTCGTTCAATTTTTTTTTTTGTATTTTTATTTCAGTTGCAGCCTAAAGAACTACTGTGAGCACAACATTTCGTTCGTTGCCGCGGTAAGCGCTGCAACCATTGTGACAAACTCAGTGAAATTAACGCTTCCGTTTCCATCCTGGTCCAAGCCCTTGAAGATTTCGTCGACGACATTTTTATCTTTTGAGTTCCCCAACATACTTCCGAATTCGGCTATGATATTTTTAAAGGTTTGCGACTTTTAGAAAGCTTACTCTCAAGGAGATTTTTTAGCTCTTCCTTGTTGAGTGCCTGATCTTGGCCACAATGCTTGGCGAAAACTGAGATGAGGCCTGCCATTGCTGATTGCAGAGCAGACATCGTTGACTCTCGTTCCTATCGTTTTCACTGTTATAAAGAAATGAATGAATGGATGAGAAAAAAGGTAATTTTATATCCGAGCTACTTCCGCTCCAGCAGCTCGCCTGAACTGCATCGTAGGTTTATGAACGCACCTAAGAATAAGGGCGAAGTGCATTCAATGTTTTATCCGATGACGGATAAAACCACTCCTAGTGATCTTGAAATCTGGATTCGAGAACGGATAATAACCATCAAGATTGAGCCTTGCTAAGTGAATGCAAGTAGCATTCGTGACTCAGGATTCGTGAGTATGGGAATGATTGAGCATGCTCAACCGCTTAATCTCCATTATCTCTTGAATATGGGCTAGTGGTTAGGATTACGGACTGGGAACTCTCAACGGGGGGTCCCGGGGGTCTAGCCCCCTGGGTTAGGTTTAGGGTTAGGGGCAGCTCGAATGATAACCCGGTCTAGCAGTTCGGTTTGACTTTATTCTGGGTTCACAAACGCACCTTTGAAGAAGGATAAATGGGTTCGCTCAATGAACTCAGTTACTATTGCGATGCACAAAACCATTAACGCGATCAATTAAAGCCCAATTCAGAAATCGCTAAAAAAGCTTGGCAATATTCCGAGTTGTACTGATTGCACGCAATGTTTGTTGGTATAAGAACATCGTCAATATTTATCGGCCGATGGAGAGCAAAACTGGCTCAGTCCGACGCTCAGAGTTTTCAGAGATGCTTTCCTTTTTCGGACTGCTCGGGATAGCTGCTGCGGGCTCTCTCAGGTAGATTGTCTGACTGTCTCTGGAATAGGCTTTCAGTCGGGAACCGTTTTTGGTTATTTTTTATCGAAGGCATGTTGAAAAGAGAATGTTGCTTCAAGTACGCCCATTCTCACTTGCCTAACAGTCATTTTTCCGGTAAAATTCTGAACTTATGTCGCCTATTTTTTCCTTGTGAGGAAACTCAAAATGAGCGGTGCGCAACACCGGCGTTTCTAGCCTTTCCGAAAAGATTAACGGAAACTTATTTTATTTCCTCATTTAGCCCTGAATACGAATTTAACCCGCGTGGTTTCTACCGAGACCCTTGCCCGGACACACGCCCAGGGCAAAAATGCTCAGCCCTAGACAATTATGTTTGGAGAAAGGATGAAGCTTTCAAGTATGAAATCGTCGAGCGAAACCGCGAATATCCCGGACTCGTCGGTTACATGATCAAGATGACATCTCAGAAATGGCTCGACGAGAGCATCTACGTTGTCGAAAAGCACCAATCTGCGGAGTGGATTCACTGGGTCACCATGTGGGTGCCAGTTGGCGAGCGAGTGCGTGATGAGAATCTTCTCGATACGGCGGTTCTCTTTATTGACGGGGATGGTAACAGAAACGACGCTCCAAGCTGGGATGACTTATTTATAACGGTTTATTCACGGCGCTAAGCAATTCCATAATTTTTATTTAGATCGGACGCGTTTACGCAAGAATAACTGGCTGTATTTACGTCAATATCAAACAGATTCCAAATGAAAGGCTTGTCTTTAAAAACGACTGGAAGGTACGTAGATACGCCTGATAGAACGTCAATTTATCTTCTGACTCTTAGGAGACCAGAACTGAGGATGAAATTATCGCCCTGACGTGGCGTCACTTCTTGGACTTTCCCGATCAACCAGAATGGCTTGTTCGATTTCCAATGGTAAAAGCGAGTCTGCGAGCGATGGATGTCGCGATTGAAATCAACAAAGACCCACGAGAAGTCGCACTTGGACTCAGTGGAGTTGAGCTCAAAAGGTGGACTGTCGCTGGAGCATCCAAACGAGGCTGGACAACTTGGTTGGTAGCTGCCACTGATCCTGAACGAATCAACCTTGCCGCTCCGATTGTCTTGGACATCTTGAACCTTCAACAAAACTTCAAGCACATTTACAGAAACACTGGCAACTGGACTTTTGCCATGTACGACTACTGGGTCGAAGGAATCAACGGAAGGCTCGACGACCCGAACCTCCAGCTCATGGCGGACGAGATTGACCCTTATGAATACAGAGAAAGACTGACAATGCCAAAATTGGTCATTTCTGCGAGCATGGACGAATTTTTCCAACCAGACGATACTTGGTACTTTTTCGATGGGCTTCCAGAGCCAAAGTATTTCAGACTATTGCCGAATGCTGAGCATAGTACTTCCCTTTCTGGCCTTTCAAGTAAGTTTGGCATAAAAAAAAGAAAACATACTAGATAATTAAGCACCGCACTTTGCCTTCGTTCTCCGCTCGATGTTCCTCGCGGTAAACAAAGATTACTCCCTCCCGAAGTTTAGCTACAGAAGATACGATGATCCGGTAGCGAAGAATGGTGGAATCGAGCTGACATTTGAGACCTTTCCGAAGAATGTCTACGGGTGGGTGATGGATAGGAAAGTGGTTTCATACTGAACGCAGCTTGAAATCAAGGAAGAAATACAGATGCATCAGATTCTCTAGCGAATTACACAGATTCTTGTGTCTTATATAAAATTGGGACGAATGCTCTTATTTGACGATAATCGAAATTCTCGGTGTCTAAAAATTTTGTCTATAAATGTAAATTGAAACTGGCTTTTGCGTCAACATCTTTTTGGAACATGAATTTTGTCTGACCTTGAGCGTTTTTTCCATCATAGATACATAATTTCCTCCATATCATGGATCACTTTCCAGGGTTAACATTTTCGGAATTTTTCCTGAAAAACGTATAGCTGCGTGAATTTCTATGGAATCGCCAAAAAGCAAGACTCGATTCCGTCGAGATTTCCGAATCGCTGGTTTGCGAGATAACGAAAAAGGATTCTACGCGGGCTGTGATCTCTTCGTTTGCCCAGATGAGCTCCCTCCAGGATATCCCGATAAAGCACCTGTGGGAAAGTCAGTGAAGAAGTTCAAGAGAGTCCCAGATAGCAAAGCAAAGCCTATGCGATTTCAAAATCCAGAAGGCGCCATGTGCAAGGAATCGCTGAAATTCGATCCGGATGAGTTTTGCATTGAACTTGCAAAGGAAATGCTTGTAATTGATTGACAGCTAATGTTAACAGGACGATGTAAATTACATTATGTGAGCATTTTTGAAAGATGAACATGACCGGAGTACTTGACGAATTCATTTTCACGCATAAACAACTGAATCCTTCTTGGAATCCGCCACGACTCGAGCCAACTGACCTTCAAGTCCAGGTTTTTGCTTCCTTATCAATGCTCGAAAAAACAGTCTATTTTCTAGCTGCATGTTGCCAAGCGAATTATGGCAACTCAAACTGGCCCAAAGACTTTTGTTCTTGAACTGGACGAAGCACCGGACGCTTATCGGTTCGTATATTTTTCGTTTGCAATTGATGATGAAATCTTTCTAGAGCTTTCTGGTTCGAGATCGAGTTCCAGGGGCCAGACGATGTTCAAGGCATCGAAGTAACTACAGAAGCTCAGATTCTCCCAGTCGCCCCACCATTCGAAGATTGTATGGGCGAAGCCTGCAACGGAAGCCTTGTCTAGCTGATATTGACTTCTGTCTTGCAGACGTATATTTATAAAAAGAATAAAATTCTTACCAAATTCTTTCACCGGAGCTATAAGATCTCTTGCCCACAAGATAACATGATAGATAAGCGTTAATATCTCCTGGGTAGTTGTCATGGCCTGGCGAATTATTATTTTTATCTGTGGCTCGCACAGCGCTAGAATCCCGCGGCAGCTAGAATGGCGGCTCTTCGACTTCAGCGCCCGCGAATATGCGATCTCAACATGATAACACTCGGCTGGCCGTTTTCCCACTCAGCCTCCCTGCCAGTCCCTCTCGGGCACGAGCTTTTGCAATTACTACGCTCCCGGGGAGACCTTTGAGCACTCGGAGATTCTTTAGCTAACAAGAATTTTAAACTGGTGTTTGTGTTTCTTCATTGAAAGAAGGATAAGCTGATAGAAACGATAATTAAATAGCGAATAATTTATCATATTTTGCGAACGAAATTCTTCTTCGCGTGACTGTAAGATGGATTCTCAATCATCCTTCTTGAAAAAATGTATTTTTCTTGACTCGGAAGAATGCAAAATTGAGTCGGATTCTAGTCAAAAAGCGCAAGTGTCGCGACGGTGGGATGTTCCGCCGCCCGCAGATCAGGCAGCAGCCAATTTTGGGCCGATTTGTCATTTCTGGTCTTGGCGGCCAGCGCCACTTCACCAAATAACTGCTTGCTCCTTCCTGCCAATTTCGGCGATCAGTTTATTCCTCACTTAATTTTCCTGCTTCGAACTGAGCTTCCATTTCAATAGTAAATCACTGTATTTATATTCTAGAGAATTTTAATGGAACGGTTTGTAAGAAAGAGGAGAGAAGAAAGTAAGTATGGCGCAGCTAGTAAGATGAACTAGAAATAAATACCCGAACACACTTCATTTTTTTTTTGGGTAATTGCATTTCCAGCTGCACGAAATGAAATGCCGTTAAATTAAATATTTTTACAGAGTTCTGTTTAGAGATACACCGATTATACAGATACTAAGCGTTCGCGGTAGAAGATGCGACCCAGCAGGAGACTGTAGTTAGAGTGCTATACAGAGAGATAGTTAAGGGTTTGTTTTGGACTTTGGGCATCGCGCGGTGGGGATACTGAGCCAAGCCCGACGGTCAAGGTCTCCATCGTCGTCTCGTTTTCTGTTTCGGCGTCCAAGGGTTGCGAAGAGCTAAATCAAAAGTATTAAACAAGGTTTCCTCCATGATTTCAATGACATTATGATGAACCCGTGGAAGAGTGTGTGCCATTAAGGGTATACGCGCTTCTAAGAAGCACTGGCTGATAATCCCTAAGCTATGGTGATTGTATCGATTCCCGACTGAGCTCTTGTCAAATCTCTGCTGACCGTAAGTCGCACCCTTGTATCAAATATTTGGCTTGAGAGAGTCGGAATATCTGGTGCTTGAGCGCAGCGGCGGATTGAGATCCCCTTGAGCCGAAAGCGCCGCGTCAAACAGAATTCAAGAAGCCGCCGCCGCTGGACAGCGGAGCTGTCTTATCCCGAGCTGCTGTTTAAGGTGGTGGCGGAGGTGGTTTGGGCGCGCAGCACCCGCCGCTGTCAGGGTTAAAAATAATAGAATGAGCTCCGCGACGACCCGCAGCGCAGTGGAAAAGCTCCCGGCTGCCTGATGAGAGCTCTTTGAGGGCAGGAGATAACCTTAGCGCGGCGAGCTGACGGGCATCACCTTATTAGAGTTTAACCTTAACCCCTTCGGCTGGCCCTTTTTGTGCATTATGCTAATTTTACGCTCAATCTTGCCTTACAAGCTCATATTTCCTTGGCAGATATTGATGGGAATAAGCCGCTAGCGGCTTTTTTCAATAGAAAAATAAGCTTTGCATCGGATATTGGTTACCCTAAATCCGCTAGGAAACTACCTTTCTTGCTGCTAGTGCGTTTTTATGCACGGAAACCTCAAAACGAGGTTTGCCATATTTTCGACCGAGTGAGCTCGGAGCAGGGAAACTTGCGCGAGGCTTGGCGGTGGTGGTGGAGGAGCATAACGAGCTCTACCCCCGCCGCGGGAGAAGCAGCGCGCGGCCCCTCATCTCTCATGTTGGAGGGCGGCCAAAGCATTGCGAACGAACGCGAAAATTGGTTTCGGAATTTGGCGATCAAAGGCGGCCCAGCAGCGGCTCAGACTGCCGCTGATAAACTTCATTTGCCTATAGCGCGAAGCTCAAATTTTCAAGCAGCAGAAGTTAAATCCCCCAGCTTGGAAGGGGATTGAATCCGCTCTGGCCATGTCCCGCCGGGCTCCGCTGATAAAATCCCATGTAACAACATCAGCTCGCATGAGAATATCATCCGATCGACGGTTTGTTAAATGGATTCGTTTTGACGAGGGCGCCTTTCCGCATCAAGAGCGTCTTTTTAGAGGCAAAATTCCTAGCTCAACTATTGTTGAAGACGTCCCTTTTTGGCTCGGACAAAATGTTTTGACTCGGAGGAACTGAGCTTTTGCCACGAGAGTAATATTTTCGTTCCAGTCCGTCAGGAGCATATGTCTCACAAGACGGAGGCGAAATTGATATTTTTGAGCCGAAAAGTCGCCTTTTGACACAATACCAAGACAGGTCTGGTCAGCATTAACGTTCGACCTACTGAAATCGAACTCCCACTGGCTCGATTAGCCATAATAGCCGGCCCTGAAAATCCTGTAGAGTCGCGAAAGTTGACAGTGAAAATAATCGTCTTCTGAGCGATTCCGAACGGGCCCGGGCGGTGATGGACGAGATCTTATCTTTCAGTATATTCCGGGTTTAAATTAATTTCCAAGTTCTATAAATAAACATTCTTCTTTGGTTTCACTCTGATAAGTTTTCGTAATGGAATGTACAAACCTCAGAATCGAAATCTTTATTTAGAGCGCTAGAAAAAGCCATTGCTTATAAGAGAGAAATGCTAAAGTCTATTTAACCACTTTACAAACCCCGGCCAGAACGACTTTCAAAAAGGCACCAGGCTTTACGAGAGGACGGGTGAAAGGCCCGACCCTTGAAAAAATCAATGCGCGCGCTATGGATAAATATTCCCTCAAGATTTCGCGTCTGAATGAGCCCCTATAGAAGCAAAAACACACTCACTCCCCAGGAGAGGGGCCATCGCGTCAATAATTCAACGCTTCGAAAATAAAATTTACCTTCCGTCGAGGTCTTCCTTGACTCCCTTGCGTCGTCGATTTCGGCGCTCCTTGAGTTGCTCCTGTAGCTTGGCCATTTTAGAGCGCGTGATGTCGTTCTCGCGGCGCGTCTTCTGCAACCACTGGACTGAAGAACAGTTGTCAAAAACTTGTTAGAAACAAAAAGCCATAAATTTATAAATCCTGACGCGAGCTTGTTGCCAGGCCCTAGTCGGCTCTGGCCCGAGATAACGGAGGGCTTTACTTGGAATTTGAGTTATCTTGTCTAAACTGGAGCCAAGAGTGGAAACAGGGCTCTTACCCTATGTGTTGGGAAAATAAACGTTTTCTTTAAATTGATACTATTCAGACTCGATTACTGTTTTTAAAGGACTTCAATTGAAAAAAGACCACAAAGACACGGAAAATATCTTCATCCAACTTACTGTAATTTTGGTCGATCGTAGGGGGTTGTTGCTGTTTGCTCGACCTTGAAGACTTTGAAGATTTCGACGATCTCGACGATTTTGAAGAAGAGTGACGAGAGCTCGAGGATCCAATACGAACAGATTGTCTGATTCTAGCGTGTCCAATTGCTCGTCGTCCGATCATGACACCGTTCTGGCTGCGGAGGAGCTGAATGAACGAGTCAGAAGTTGGAAGCGGTATTCAGAGACAGACGGTATTCGGAAAAAGAATGAAAGGGGAGAGATTAAAGATTTATTTTTGCGTGAGTATCGGGATGAGTTGCGATCACGTCAGCAATGCATAATTTATTGGGCTGCGAAGAGAACGGTTGGTGGGAACATACCTCGGGCAGATATTGATGATTCGCAGTAGAGAGCAGGTCTCGCAGAATTTGAACGATTGTCGACGGATCGCGTCGCGGTCGTCCCGACTCGTCTTGGACAGACGGGTGGAGGGAGCCTGAATATACGCGTTATTCCTACTGTAGTCCAATTTAATATGCGCTAGCTATACTACTCAGCAGGCGCGCTTTGAAAAGTCAAATCGCACGTGCTGTCAAACCCTTGAGGGTTGTCGATGGTCCTTCGCGCGGCGAAAATAACTTTCCCTTTAGGTTTTCGATACCTGAAGGATCGCCCCCTCGAAATGTCAAATGTCAACACAATGTCAACAGCTGGCGGTGACCCACAGAGGATCAGCTGCGGTCAGCTTTGCAACGCGCGCGTTTCAAAGATTAACGACTCCCTCTGGGTCTACTCACAGTAGCACGTGAGATACGCACAGTAAACTAACCTGAAAAGGTGCCAGAAAACACGTGTGGTCCATTGTTGGTGACGGACTCGATCTTCGGTGCTGAGGTCGACTTTGATTGAGATCGGGGTTTCTGCTGGGATTTGCCGGATCTCGTGGGCTGGGTAGGTATTAACGGATAAGCTTGCTTGGGGTTAGGTGCTGTTGAATGGTTTTGTTGAGGGGTAGGGGTGTTCTTTGAGGTAGCAGTTGCTGATGACACAGGCGACGCTGATGGAATGGTCGACGGCGTCTTGGATGATGAAGCTGAGGCGGTTTGGTTGTGTTTGCTTTGAGTCGGGGTTTGAGAAGAAGCGGCTTGCGCTGCTCGATGCTTGGCGGTTTGAGCCGCGGTGGCGGCTCGGTGAGCAGCAGCTGCCGCAGCCATCTGATGGTGGATTTGCTGGTGGTGGTGGCGCACCGATTGACGCTGTTGCTCGGCGACTAGGCTACGCAGCTCGGACACCATTTGATGGGGGTAAACTAAATTGCCAGTTATGGCATGAAAAAACTTCATAAAAGTTTACCTATACAATTTGGCTGATGACCGGGGAGAATCATTTGGTGGAATCGGTGAAGCTCTGCGCGGTACCTCGTCCATTCCTCGGGGCTTAGGACGGGCTGAACAAGTCCTGGATTTCGATTCGAAGGGCCTGGGATAGCAGCATTAGGAGGAGGGGCTTGTTGAGGAAGGCGGGATGTTGATGGCTTCTCCTGACTTGAAGAAGGTCTTCTTGGGTCTTGTGGTGCGCTTGTTCCATTTTGGGTACGCGCGATTTTCGGGTCTGTGGAATCTGCCTTCTCGCGTGACTGGCGCTTCGTAGATCGACGTTTTCTTTCAGATTGCTCAAGCTGCAGCTGGACGAACATCATGTGATCTTCCACGCGGAGAGCGAGAGTAAGAGGACTTCTTCCTGATAGAAAATCATCGACCTAAAAATGGATGTTTTTACTACCATCTATAATAGGACTAAAGATAAATTCATTTCCACGGCTGCGCTGGTAATCCTGATAAAATTTGAAAGCGAAAGAAGTAAAAATGAGAGAAATCGGAGGAATTCTTCAATTACGCGTCCCTGGAAGACCGCCGCATCTTCTGGGAAAGTTTGGAGGCGCCCTGTTGGTGGTGTTACATCAACGTTTGTGGTGTTGCATCGTGGTGTGGTACGTGTATGGAGCAGTTACTGCACCAGTGGACGCTGTTCCGTCACTGGTTACCACACCACCAGCCCGCTAAAGTAATCAGCCCGTGCTAAAATTTCGGGTTCAAAATCTAATTTTGCTCTAATCAGTTGAACCCGTCGTCGGTCTAGTAAATCCAGGTGGTGGTGTGGTAGCACCGTGAAGTGGTGGAGCGGCTCCGTGGCGCTCCAACTCACGGTCCAGCTATAGACACCGTAGCCACTACGCTGCACCAAGGTTCTAAGAGTTAGACTCTTTTCAGAACGAATCCAATGATATCAAGCGGATTTCAAGTTGATTTTTTCTCCTGTTATCCCCCTTGATGATCCTTTATCCTCCTTGTTATCAAAATCTGAGGAAAATTAGCGGATAACCTGGCGCAGCGCCATTAAGTATCTGCACCAACCGTAGCGCCACTACACCACCGTACGAAGTATCTCGAGGATGTTTGGGCACGCAAAGGGCTTAAGGTGGAGTAGAGCCCCGATCCTGCCAAGCCGTCATTTGGCAAGTCAAAAAGTCAAACATTCGGGGCCACAAGACCAATTTCAAACGAGCTAAATCATCCCCTAAAGTGCTCATCTCGGCAGAAACGAGCTTTGAGGAACTGCCAAACATCAGAGCAAGGAATCAGGAGCCGAATTTAAATTCTCTCCGTAATATTTTCAAGCTCACTCTTTGCTAGGTAGTAGACCCTTTTACAACCAGCAAAGCCAAACGACTTTTCGCGTTTTTGACGATTTCTGCGGAAAATCCTCGATAGTTCAAAATTTATGGTCCCCTGAGTCGATTTTTCTGATCTTTTTAAAGGCGAATCATTGAAATTATGGTAAGGGCCTGCTATTTGAACTGAACTTAGATCTGTAGTTTGCGTTCTTTGGAGGGCGTGTTCTACTATTTCGCCTCGGAATGGAGCAATTTGTTTCGAAAAGTGGTCTTTCTAGTCGGAACACGAGTTGGACCGCCGCCATTGTCACCAAAACGCACGGCAAAATGACTTTAAACTACTCCAAAATCGATTCGACATGACCCGTCCCCAAAGTCGATCGTAGACGACGAGCTAAGGAGAGGATCGACCGCTGTCTTTACGCTGCTTGAGGCTTTTGACAAGGTAAATTAGCTCTTTAAGCATCCTAATCATTCAAACAAGCTCTTTTTTTCGGGCTTATATTGCCCGAGCCAGGCATTTTACGTGCTTCATAAAGTCTTCGCGGCTCGGCCAGGCAGGCCTGCCTCAACTTTGTCAAAGTATGATAATGATGTTCAACGTCATTTAATATTCTTATATGTAGGGCTGATTTATCAAAAAATAAAGTGCTCTGATTGAGCGAGTCTCAATATTTTCTGGCCTTTGAGTGGAACGAGCGGCGCATTCAACCTCGACCGTGATACGTTTGAACATTTTCTTGTCGCTTCCACGTGACGTCCTCGAATTGAAGGTCCACGAAAAATCACTGGCGCGTTTCCACATTGAATGCCACAGCGCAAACGCGAAAATAAGCCCCAATCTCATGTTTATATTTATTTGGCTCATTCGGGAAATGGTTATTTTCCTCCTCTTATCTTTTTTAAAATTGTCCCTTTTTTATTCAGAAAATGATTTTTAATTTTGGAAAACGGAGTTTTTGAGGCTTGAAATACTTTTTCAAATTAGGTGATGAATAAAACGCTGCGGAGTAAAATATCTATTCAATACCGATAATTTCATGCTCCATGCTCGAGTCAGGAAAAATCGAAATCTCGAGTCCCCACTCGTCATTGATCATTATAGGATGTTTGAGCGGCGCGATTGAGATGAAAATCGCCATAGAATCTCCATAGAGTCCCGCCGTACAAAAGATCAACCAGTGCGCAAAGTTTACACACAAGTGGAGCAAAAAAGATCACAGATCAACCAACTCGTCAGCCAGACGTTGCCCAGCCGTAAATAGTGATTCTTTCTATTTTTACAAGAGGGGAACGGCTCTAATCAAAAGCGCAATTAGAGGTACGCGGCGGATTTCCGCTAATAGGAGGTTGAGGGTTGCCCAGCTCTCCTCGTTCCTTCGTTCTTTTCCGTTTTGTGTGATTATTCTTCAAATATTGAAGAGGGGCGAGAAATTCCAAATTAAACATTTCATGAAAATATTAAATCGCCAAATTTCCGATTTTGCATTTTCGAAATTCTTCTTGAAAAATTGACTAGCTGGAATGTCCAAGAATTAGAAATTCAAGAAGAGGGCCATTCGGAAAGGTTGAATCGCTCCAAGCTCCGCTAACCCTTTGTCCATCCGCCGTGAAAGGGATTCATTGATCGCCAGAGTGACCACTGACCACAACGCCACTCTAACCTCACTAAGCGAGCAACAAAGCTCAAGCCAACCCGATCGAGCTCACAATATTGGGCGCCCAACAAATTGGAACCAATTTGTTTACCCAATCGAGAATCGAGCACCTCCGGTTAGGTGACAATTCTCTCAAATAACTCGCTAACCCGCTGGTCTTCTATTTTTAGCCGCTTCTTTTTCCCGCCGATTTCTTTTCAAATTTTTAACCCGCTTACATGCACGCAGCGCGCAAAAGGCCACCCTGGGACGTTAAATTTCATGATGTTCGTTAAAAAGGGCGAGGAATGTACGCGCATTAAATTTTATGATTAGTTACCTGTTGCTCGGAGAGTGATTCGATTGCCTGAACGACGGATTGTTCGGTTCCTTGCTGCCCGGTCTAAATTTGGAAGAGTTAGCCACCTCCATGATGGGCTCAAAAGGGGCTCATTCGGTTATGTCGCGCCTGTCAGGACGCCAATACGGGGGCTCTTTCTGGCTCTCACTGGGCGGCTGGCCAAATTCAATACACCAGTAGTGGAAAATCAGCCCCGCCAGTAGCATTAGCCTTCATATACAGCCTGTCAGATCTCTTGATACTCTCTATTCATATCCTACGGGTGGGGCAAGACGACTTACCGAAAAACCAGCTTCGAGCTGCGGAATGAGCGTAATCCGCGAACCATCGCGAATTTCAAGCTCGTCGAGGCGGCCGGTCTTCAAAACTCTACGAGAAATACAGTAAGCCTATTTTGCCTAAACCAGCAGATAAAAACCTTTCTCTGCTGAGCAGGGTAAGCCGCTCGCGTGGCGTTTGGACTTTTCTGGCTACTCGCCAGCGCAGTTCTTCCACTGTCGCGGTGGCGTCCAGTCTGATTTCGAAGCTTCCTCCCGTGGTGGGCACCACCTCCACCACGATTTCGGTATCTTCTACACTGTCAGCGTCATCTCTATTCATTTTTCGTGCTTCTTTTTCCCTCTCTATGTGTGAATTCACGGGGCTAAAAGCGAAAGATCGCAACGGAGTGGCACGGGGCGCGTCCGCGGACGAGAAATAAAGAGCACGGGCGATCGGGGGCCTGGGTGCGAGCTCCTGCGCGGCCCTCGCGCGCCACCCTCGTACTCGCACGCTGAGTGGGAGGGGGTCTGGTAGTGGCTAACCCAAACCCCTGCCAGGCTCAGGGACATCCTCGCACACGGTTCCTGTATGTCAGAACACTCTCTCAGGAGCCAGTTGGAGGAGCACCTTGCCGAGCTTGGTGCTTATCGCAAAGTGCGTCGCCTCCCGCTGCCGACCTTTTTACACCAAACGCTTCTTCCCGTCAGGCGACTTCGAACGAGATTGACGATGTCGATGTTGCTCGCTTGCATGTTCATGTCAACATGACCATGCATTAAGAAGATCATGCTCGGCGAAGATTGAGCAGGAGAAAGCGACATGCAATGAAAATAAGGGCCGCGGGGAGAGAGCTCCTTATTATTTTTCTTTGCAATGAAGCCTTGTTTCCGATACGGGTCAGCGCGGGAATTCCCGCAAGGGCAATATTTTAAAACCGGTATTTGATTGACGGCCAGCAAAAGGCGCAATATAATGCTCATATTTTTACAAGTACTATCAGTTTCGTAAGTTCAAAGACCGTCAAATCTGTCCAAGTAATCCAAGTTCATCCCTTCCACACTTGATTTACCATTGCTCCCCTTTGATTACGAGCGCAAAAAGTAAGCTACTAATTACACACATGTTTGTTTCGGAGCTGTGTTCGCACTGTCATTTTGCCTCTCGTAGGAAAAGAAACGCTTCGGGTGGACGAGGGAGGAGAGCTTGAGGCTTTAATGGTGTATAAATTATACACCGAGCTGTTTCCTATTTCAAAGTGCTGATTAGCCTCGTGAATGAAGTCTCTCTCTCTCTGGAGCGAATGTTTCAGGAAACAATAAAGCCCTGATTATTTTGGGCGAATAAATTTACGGCGCGTAAATGCATCAATTCCTTCAGATTCTCAAAGGAAGTCCCGGCGATCGGATGAATCGATTCCAATAAAACCGCGCTCGTGCCTTGCTTGGACGGGTTAACGATTTCAATTGGGGCGACTTTTCTATAATTTTTTTCTTGAGGGGACTTGTACCGCGACCATGAAGACGCTCGATAGCATGTGTGGTTGAGCGTGGGATTACAGGGTGCCCGCCACTGTGAAGCAAGGCCGGTCAGGTTGTGGTCGCTGCCTGTGGCTTCGCGCATACTGCCCAGCAGCTTTGTAGTGATTTGCAGGGGATCCTGAGCCCAGAGATCCATATCATATGGTTCGCTTCGGCTCTTTGTGAATGCAAATTCCCACAAACAGCTGTTTGAGCGAGAGTATTGAGCTAATACTAATATTTAGCTCTTTGAGGAAATAATAATTTGTTTTGCGCCGGCCCCTAAATGCGGATTTCCTGAACGCCTCATAAAGTACAATAAAAGGTGAAATGTACAGTCGCACAGCTGGAATGGGTCTCATTCGCCGGCGCGGTCAGGTCACGGTAACTCTCTTTGATATGGGTTTATGGGCCTTGAGCTTCGCGCACGAGGTGTTATCCCTCTTTTTGAGGAGGAAAGCTGTTCGCATATTTGCACTTTATTATTAGCCGATCTTTGATACTTGGTGGATACCTTACCAAAAAAATCCTTTAACTACCAAAAAGACAAAGGCGCAAGGTCGGAAACTTCTTCTCGTCGAGACAAATAAGGCTGAACTATTGAGCCTCAAGGATTATTCCCCAAAGGAACATTCCTTTCCGCCAATTTTCACGAAAAAAGTATTTGAAACGAGGATGCTGATTTATTGCTGTAAAAACAGCGACAATAGGGAAGATATTTTTATTGGCAAGTTTGGGCAGGAAGGCGGCGCAAAGTTTGTCAAGTTCCCAGCAGCGGCCGCGCGTTGTGCTGGACGAGCGATTAGGCTTAGCGTGACCGGTTAAATGTCAATATTTGAGCCCGGTCGAGATGCCCCTAATCCCCCTAGCTGGATATTATCACCTTTGGTCGAAGACAGTTTGGCAAAACGTCAATACGGGAGCTGCACGGTATCTCCAATATCAATTCTACGGCTTTTTATGTTTTGCCCACTGCAGGTGCCCATTGACTGGTCTAGGTTTATGTTTGTTAGCGACGGTAAGCCGGTATACAAGCTTTGAAGGACTCTGTAAATAAACACTTTGTTGAGCCCCCTATTTATGATTAGCAGCTAGAATTTCGTTGGTGAAATTTTATCAACGTAAAACATTTTTGCCGGAATGGCTCTGGAAGCTGCTTTCCATGAGAATGAATTCGCGAGCGGCGATCAGATCCGCACGGCAAAGCCACACCCTTGTCGCCGAGAAAACAAAGCTCGCGCTTGTTCATCCCCTTGTCACCACAAGCCTCTAGGGCCCCTGCCTGGTGATAAGATATCGGTTCAGGGTCACATGTTTGATCCAAACAAATTTCAATTTGGGCAAAACAATCGAACTTAGATTTGGTGGCGATAGAAAGGCTTGAGGGTTCGAATTCGTAAAGAAAAGTTTTAGATGACGAAGATGAACTACACTCGTGTACTTTTTGGTAAATGTTATCATCTTGATAGAAGATGTTTAATATATAAAGAAAATTATTTCAGAAAAATTATGATTTTCAAAACGAAATTTATAAGAAAAACCGAAAGAAGAAAGTCAAGAAAACGCACTAGAAATCTATTTACTTGCGCCCGTGAGAGGGACTATCGCGGGCGCATAATCCCTACCGGAGCCCGGTCGAAAACGAGCGGGAGTTTATGTATTCAAGGGTTGAGTGATAACTCCTCGGCGGTGCTATTTTATCGTCCGCTTCAAAGTGCTTCGTGTCAAAGCAGCTCTGCTTGTCAGCTCGCTCCAGACAGCGGCGCGCTGATACCAGTCACTATGTTTAGCAGTCTTACAGCTTTCATGTTGGGGCTCGAGTTTGCAACTAAATATTCCGGTGTGTACTCGCCTCCTGTGGCTTACACCGCGCGTTTGGCAGCGACAGGAAACGCGAGATTCAAAAGCCGAACAAAGTGCACAAGGCCCTTATCGAAAGAATCAGAAAAACTCCGATTCCCCTATCACTGTAAATCCGTATATTCTGTCAAGGCTTTTCCGAAGATTCTTAATACTAACGGCATTTGATAATAATAATCCTAAAGATAAGTTGAACAAGCTTTAACCCCTTAATCCCCTGAACCAGTGTTTTACTTTCAAAAATTAAATTAAGGGTAATAAGTTAAGTCGTCTGTTTGAGTTGAAAATATCAAAGAGCGCTCGAGCGTGTGGGGAATAAGGTCGTGTGGTTTTGCATAAGATCGGGATTTTCATTCAAAGTTTGATGAAATTTGGCGCGGGTGAAATTTCGATCGACCGGTGCGTTATGCGGTGCGGGCCGGCGCTCCTCGCCGTTTTTAATCACATAGACTCGCCCCACACTCGCGCTGCAGCGGTGCTAGACAAGCTTTGCTAGAATTTCCTCTGAATTCTTAACCATCTTTCTTGCCAACGTTCTATTCGAATTTTCTAACTTTGACTAAATTAAACTTTTGATTCATGCTTCTTTCGACAAGATTTATTAACATGCGTTTGCTTTCTGAAAGTTTTTAATTTGTTGAAATCAAGGAAGAGTAAAATAAATCAAATCGACAAGAATCAAAAGCGAGTATTTTTCTAATATGGAGGTCGAGGGCCGACAATCGTAACATTCAATCGGATGAATTCTCCATCGGTGCGCTGGAACTTCACTTGCTGCTTTTGAGGCTGCGGATAGGTGTGAGATACTGGACTCCAGTTTTCTTGATCATGGCAGTCCACAAGCTCGCTGGTCAATTCTTCAGACGAATAGACGTGTTGGTCTTTTGATGAAAGTTGTTCGACGGACACACTTATTTTTGGAGAATCTCCTAGAATTCTGTTAGCATAGGTTCATTTTAAAGACAAACGATTGAAAAGAGGAGTTCTTCCCATAGAAAAATAGTAATTGCCGTTTCCACCGGCACTTTGCAATGCACTCTTGAATTGAACCATCCAACAATTGACATCGACACGCAAGTTTTGATCAGCACGAAACTAAAGAACTTGAGACGCTCTTTGAACTTGGACGGAACTAACTTTGAAATTGACTTTTGATGCGCGATTACCGATCAGTGCTAGAACTTTCACTAGTGCTTCCCTATCCATTTCATTTCTCGGACCACCAGCAGTCACTTCTCGGTCGTCGCCTCGATAATGACCAGATCCTCCTAAATTTCCGACACTTTTCTGAGCAGCAGCTAACGCTCGTGGAATCTCCTCGTCAGGAAAAGATTCCATAGTAATAGCATTTCTATAATGACTATCCATATCTGGTCTGATATCCATTGTCATACGACCTGACATTTTAAAATTTTCGTAAATTGATCTCTTCGCTAAAAGTTTCAACTTGCTGCAATACTCGATGGTGGTTGCTATTTATGTGCATCAGCACAAATATTTTTCAGCAGATTGATATCGTTACTATTGAAGCTGCTCCTACTCTTACCTTCCTAGGATTGTTTGAAAGTGTTTATTTCAATTAAGACAGAAGGGACTATTAAGAGCTCAAAATTGAATCAACCAATTTCTATCAAAATCTTCTTCGCAAGTTTTCATCAAAGAACTTGCTGAGTTCAAAAAACGGGCAAGCTTAGCGAAAACTTGCTTTCTCCCGATTTCGGTAACCTTTTGAGAAAGAGTGAAAGACATCTTTCAGTTACCGTATGCTCTCATTAAACAGCCAAGGGGACGCTACCTTGTTCTATTCGTACCTATCTTGCGTTCCTATCTGCCGCTTTTCCGTAGAAGCATCAGATATGATAAAAAGAGACGAGCTTGGCGAGAGCAGTTGTTTTCAAGACAGCCAAACAGATGTGGTCATTTGGGGATTGAGTCTTATAGGAGCTACCGTTTTCGTGGCAACTAGTAAAGTGAGCTTACTTTTGCACTTTATCGAAGACAAAAGATGGTACGGTGACTTCATGACTTTTGCGGTCACTCTAGCGATGGGAACGATGTTTGCAGTGACTATCTTTCAGTTTATTCCAGAGAGCCTTCATTTTCTCCATGTCCAGGTTTAATCAATTTATCACCAAACAATAAAATATTTCAAGACGTACAATGTCTCTTGTGAGAGCTGTCACAAAGGCTTTTGGGCAAGCAGTATTGTTGACCGACATAATTGCTTGGCTATTTGCAGCATGGAACAATTCGAAAGAAGTGAGCTTTACAGAATCGATGTCGGAGGTTCGAAGAAAGGGTTTCTTTTTTTTAACGATTTCAGGCGCTTCGTCTTTCATGAGCACAATGACCGTCTCATACTTTTTCTTCATCGTCGTCTATGATGTCCAAAAGATCATCCAATGCATATTCTCTAGGGAATACACTACCCGATCTACAGATATAGAAGAAAGAATACTGAAAACATATGGCAGCAAAGAAGCTTTTAATTGTGACCGGACATGTTCAGAGCCGTGCACTTGCCAGGAAACTCATTTTGTCGAATCCCGCATCAAAATAAGCAACTCAGTTGGGGCTAGCGCTAATGCTGAGGGCCGTAGACGAAGCACTTTTCGCTTGAAAGCTCAGGATTGGCCGGAAAAATATAAATTTTTCGCCTTCGAACAGCCATAGCTCACGCTATACTATATGAAACCAAGGGATGAAGGTATCTTTCGAAAGCTCAGCTTCTGAGGATTGGGGGAACGTAAAAATCATTTCGGAAAATCGACATTTCTGATTGGCCGAAAATTTGAAATAACTATTTTTGCCAGTCAACATCAACTTTTTTCAAATGTTTTTTCTTTCCCCCAATCCATAGAAACTGAGCTTTTTAAAAATGTATCAATCACGTGATTTCATTATCTCTCACGTGAGATATGGCAGTTCGTAGGAAATTCATAAAAATGGTCTCAGAATCGCCCCAGGCAATGAAAAAAAGTTTTTTCCAGGTGATTTCTAGGTTTTCGATGATGAATAAAACGATCAACATAATGATTTTCCCCCTAGTTGAAATTTTTGTCAAAATCGAAAATTTATATTTTTTCCGACCATTGGAAATTTGTTAATACTGATGCATGGGTTATTCTTTTGACCACATCTTTCGAGTGCCTCATTGAAGGTATGCCGTACACAAATTAGTTCATTACTGTATTTCTCCAGGAATGGCCTTCACGCTGACATTGCAAGACGATATCACTGCTGGTTTTTCAGTTCTATTTGCGATGCTATTAAAGATGATACCAGTACGAATCTATGAGTCTCACATGACATGACCTTATTTAGCAAAAACTCGGGAACGCCGTGATCTTGATGCGCTCTGGCCTGTCTCCTTTTTGTCAAAGTGCTTTGGTTCTCACTTCAGTGTCTGCTATCTATCCAGGCGTTTGTATCGCGATGCTTCTTAGAAATATGCACATAAAAGCAGCTGTAAAGGCCAAGTTCTTGAGAGAGGCGATTTTCTGGCAGTTAGATTTTCTGGCAGTTAGACTTTCTGGCAAAGGCGATTTTCTGGCACTGCCAGAAAATCTAACTTCCAGAAAATCGCCTTTGCCAGAAAATCTAACTGCCAGAAAGTCTAACTGCCAGAAAATCGCCTTTTTAGTATGCATATTATTTGAAACTCTGCAAAAAACTATTTTTAATAAAATCATTTATAAATTCGAAAAACTGGTGATTATCACACAAATTTCATTCCGGAGCAGTTTCAGCAGGAGTTTGCACCTTTCGACGGGAGCGTTTGATCTAAAAGCCGACTATTCAGGGCGCTAAAAAAGACGACGAATTTGGAATTGAAATTTCTGCGCTAAAAATAGAATGAGGGCAGCATCCACAGTTCGTTCTTGCTATTTTCGGAGTAACAAACGGGTTAACAGGCAGCTGAAAAGTTAGATTTTGATTTTTCTGAGAAAATGGAGGATGATGAAGAGAATGCGGATAGAAAAATGTTGAAACTGACACCGATTCCACCACCTTCTGAGGAAGAATTTTCAGGATAGTTTTATAACAAGTTCAGTTTCAAAAAGCATTTGCGTGCGCCATTATCTCAGTGGGTGCTCACTGTGACCAAGTACTCGAAATCAGATGCAAACACCGGGTGATTAACACAGAAATTCCCGGAAGAAGCTGATTTATGTTTGCTACAGCTATTAATCTTGAATAAATGGGTCAAAAGTGGCCTTTGTCAATGAATTTTTATAAAACGTGTAAGAAAACATTGGTGGTACTGTCGAAAACCCTGCCTTGGTAACGATTCAACGAAACTCAAAAAACAATGCATCCTTCCTCGTCAAAGTTGCTTCCAGATCATTTGCTTTCAAAGCAAGAAAAGCGAAGAAAACGATTCTGCATTCTAAAAACGACGATCCTGACTTCCGTTTCAAGATGCGAGTCGAGTGTGAAAATCAATCATATTCGAAAGACGCTTCATTCCGCTGTTCAACGAAGATTTGGATGTTTGCAAAAGTTGTTGATATGGAATCTCCTCGTTTTTTTGAGCTCAGCAATTGGCGATGTGGAAAGCTAGAGTCGAAAGTAGACATTCACATGAATAAATGTCTGAAGAACGATGCACTCGAAAAGAAGCGATTACAGTACGCAACGACTGTGTCCATGCTCAACAGGAACCAAATTCGCCCAAAAAGTCAACAGACAATTCGTGGAGAAGTTCAAAAAGATTCACAACTTTCGAGCATGGAAAGAGGCAATCTTTTCACGAAAAAGGAGATGAGACGTCTTGCTCAGAATTCCAGAAAGTACGAAAGAAAAATAAAGGCCGCTACAGTTCCTGATCCTCGACGCTTGGAAGACTGGATGACAGTACTAGGAAAGTGATTTATTTGACCGAGCACAGATGCACGAAAGAAATGACAGTGAATATAGTTTAGTTAAATCTTGAGTTGAATTATCCTTTAGAGCTTGGGACATCCTTGATACGGTAGAAAAGCAGAGGCCGTGCGTTCTTCTTTTTCCTTTGTCTTTCCCTGAACTAACATAAATTCGAAGCCGCAAGCGGCTTCTCTTACGATGCAGGAGTTCTTGGGGCTTCGAGGACCCGAGCAGCGGGAGCTCCAGCTCGAGCGGGTGCTTTCTTTGCTGTTGTAGAAACTGCAGCGAATTTGAAGCGGGAGTCACACCAGCGTTCGCTCTCGCATGAACGGGACCAAGAGGTTCTCCCTTTGAAATCAGAATTGAAAAAGGATTTCGCGTTCTTTTTGATTTACCTGATAGTTAGCGTCGAAAAACTTTTTAAACCATTGAACGAAGTGTGAGACACTTGACAGTGGTGAAAGGAAATTACTTTGCATGACGTTGTCGCCACGGAAGCAGATTTCTCCTTTTCCTTCGCGCGCATAATAATCCATGTCGGGCACGTCAACAAGTTTAAAAAATATTAGCCATCGGCAAATAGCTGAACCAGACGTCGCTTGTTTTCCAAGGCTCTTTAACCGAGAAGATTGTAATGCCACAGCAGACGGTGCAGATGTTCTTGTGAGTCAAGACGACGCCTTTCGGATCGCCAGTCGTGTCGGATGTGTAATTGATCGTAGCAATGTCTGAATAATGAAATTAAATGATCGCCCCTATTTTTATCATTTTTACCTGAAGAAGTCGGCGGAACATTATCAAACGAGCTGTCTTTTCCGATTGCAATAAAATCGTCGAAACTTATGATTTTATAATTGGAGGACTTGACCTTCTTGAATTTTCGAAACACAACGATTGTTTGAAGATGAGCAGGCTTGATTTTGAGAATGAGGTCAAGTTTCTTTTGATTTTGAACGAAGCAGATTGGAGCTTCAATCTGAAGAAAAAGTAAAAATAATCTCGTAAAGAAGTTGTAAACTTACGTGCTCGAGAATGTATTTGACTGCTTGTTCACCAAAAGTATCGTAAAGCGAAACATTGCATATATTTTGATAGTATCCTCCAATGATTACTGCGTCGTATTCGTAGCAATTCGACGAGTAGATCGCAATTTTGCTTTCTCCACTGATAAGTCCGTGCTTTTTCAGTGAATTCGCCAGGTATTGAGATGTTGCAGCGAACTCGCCATAAGTACGGGTCGTGTAATCTGTCAAATCTGGCGTCGGAGTGCCTCAAATGATAGCATTATCACTGGCGGTCTCTCTTCCTCGCTGGAAGCACTCAAGAATTGTCTGAATAACTGTAAAGAAAGTTCTGAGTGATACGCTTTACCTGTGGATAATCAGCTGGCAGAGTCCAGAGTCCTTTCTTCTCGCAGAGAATATTGTGTCTTGCGAAGGTTTCAGAATCTGCTTCATAACTTTGTGGCGCGTCAACGTAGTCTAATTTCTTGTTTCTGTGTAGAGTTATAATTTTGATGAAGACAAACCTTATCTACG